TAAAAGTGCATATGTGTTTAACAATAGTATTTAGTATGGTTTTAATATACGGATAACAAAATATATATGCATATACCAAAAGAAACAACATTCAAAGATTTTATTACAACCTATTAGACCTTTTCAACAACTCTCGACACCGACTAATGACACCTACAGTTTACAGGTAAAATGAAGGAGGTCGTCTCAAAATTAAAAATCATTCATGAATAGTTTTACGTTTACAACTTCGATTTATCGATTTTGCACTATTTTGACGAAAGAACATATTTCAAACAAATATGAATTATACCTTTCTCTTTTGTTTGATATTATAATTACATTTATTTATACAACATATAATGTTAAATTTATTAAACTTTCAAGGAAATAATTACTGCAATTATTTTACATTGTTATCTGCCTTTTTAAGTTTTTTTTTGTTAAATTTTATGTGAGTATTTAAGGAGCAACCATTTAACTTTAAGGAGGGGGGGGGGGGTACATTTTTTTTAGTTTTTCGACGCTATCAATCAAATTATTATGTTTTGATATAGATTAGGCAGCTAGTTTTTTCAATTGAATTGTGTCATATTTTTCATGTCGGGGCCTTTTATAGCCGACTATACGGTATGGGTTTTTCTCATTGTTGAAGGCCGTACGGTTGCCTATAATTGCTTACATTCACTTCATTACAACTTTGGTGGATAGTTGTCTCATTGGCAGTCATACCACATCTCCTTATCTATATATTTTAACAGGACTGTCCGCTAAAGTTTGTGTTTCTCAACCGATCTTCACGTCACTTGTTGAACCGTGACATATTAAATTTTGGGAGGGTAAACGCCTACTGGGTTTAAGGTCAACAGAAAAGGCTACATCGATAATTTAGTTACGAGGGACTACTCCGCTTCACGATACCATGTTAAAGATGATGTGTTTCCTTAATGAACTGGAAACATCAACGGCACCATTTTTTCAAGTCCGCGCCACATGCGCATTTCGACAAGTATTGTCTCTTCAGTGATGCGTATGATATTTATATCTCAACAGAGCTTGTTGTCATTGCAGTGTCATTTAGGACTGATTGACCGTTATAGGTTGACCGTGTCCCGAAAGACAACATAACTTGTCCCTTTGTCGTAGATTCCTTTCCCTGTTTCCGAAAAATGACCTTCGTGTGTCTTGCAAGAAGCGAAAACTGCTTACCCTGCCCCTTTTCAGGACATAGCTTTGGTTTTCTACTCTTTTATTCTTTTGCATGCATAATGGTTTTTTTAAATTTCATCTCTGACCATACATAGAGCAGGTTTAGATCCAATTATACTAGTAAAACCCCGCCGCATGTTTTATACGCATGAAACAATTCCTGAACAAGTAGGTCATTACGATTAATAAGTTTTTTTTCACGATAGAATTTTTAGTTTACAATCTAATATTTTGACATTATGCGTCGCTCTCATATTTATTTCCTGTTTATTCAATCAAAGATATTAACTTTTTTTTCCTTTTTTCCTCTTTTTTGGGGTTGGAGATGGGGGTCTTTAACCAAAATACAGACCATGTGTCAATCTGAATGTCTGTTTTATATGTTGCATTGTGCGATTTTATTTCCTACTGCGGAAGTCATAGAAATAGCAAGAAAACGAAAAAAAAAATCTGAATCTGAATCAGAAGAGACACCAAGGGCCTTTCAAAATCTTGGTATCTATTTTGTTGTGAATTTATTGTACTCCAGCTGATTCTCGCGAATGAGGTTCTTAAAGGCGAGGCAATTCATCAGCTTCCTCCTCTCTCTCTGGTCAGCTACGGCATCCGTTTGCCGGGAAGTAATGAGTACATTGAGGCATCCGAAGCCAAAATTAACAGACATTGTAAAAACATGTACCGCCCTAGTCGACAGACATAAAACAATGATTTATTTTAATTAAACATCTACTACAAAATACAGGTTTGTTTTTTGTTTGTTTTTTTTTTAATTTTCCAACTCGACGTGTAAAAGAAATGAAGCATTGAAGTCCTTCCTTTTCTTCATAGTCAATTCACAAATAAGTTTAATTTTGATAAGCAAATATAAAATAAGGGTTGCTTTAGTAATTTACATGGCTTTAAACATGTGTAGATTTTGATATATATATTTGTTTAATAATGTTTTAAATGAAAAATATCACAGATTACTCTTATCATTGCACTCTTATCACAATTAGGCATGTCATAGTAAAATCACCAATAAATTTATAATTGTCATATTTGGAATTTATTATTTTGTCTTACATGAGGGTACCCAATTTGCACAAATATTTGACAATTTTTTCACTATAATCTATGTAAGGAACAAACAAAAGTTTCCATTCTGTAATTATATTTTGTAGATGTATCCTTGTTTACAATATAGTTCCAGGTGCGGATCCAGGATTTTGAAAAAAGGGATGCCGTGGCAAGCCAATGTTCGGAGTGATACTAAATCCGTCGCTGAGTTCCACAAACTTGATTTTGAATCCATAATGAATAATTGAAAAATTGGTTTGAAGCGAACTCCAAACGACCCAAGATATGAGGAATAACTAAATTGCACCCATGCGCAACGATACATCCGTAAAAATCGAATGGTTGATGTTTTGTGTTATTCCTGCACATTTTTTGAACAATTGGACAATAGTCCATGCTTGTTATGCATGTGTATGGAACGGATGTCTGTGACTTATTTTGATTTTTTAATCTATAAAAGTTGACTTTTTGTAGACATCGCATGTAACTTTTCCGTAAATTTTACTATTTTCACTAGAGGCTTCATCTGTTGATATATGGGTCTTTTAAAAAAATGTCGAATTTTAGATTGCAGAATTGAATTAAAGTTTGTTTTGCATTACCAATATTTTTTTTAGGAACAAAACTTCTATATATTTTCATTCTGAGTATTGATAAGTTGTTTGCCAAGTTTCCATGGTGTACCGAAAAATATACAGGATAAAGGTATACGCACTTTTTTTTTCATTAAATATCTTGAATTTTCTTTTCTCAACACTGATATGTAAGAAACGTAACGTGTTCAATTTTCAGGATGCTTGGTGATTTTGAAATCATCACTGAATAGTTCCATATTCATAGGGAGAAACAATTTACCGGTTGATCTAGAAGCGGTCGCAGGATAGACATGCATTTCATTTAAGCCGATTGAATTTAGTTTCTAGAAAAAAATGTTACATATCAATAATTAAGGAAACTGTGATTTTTTCGTTAGAGTTATCATAAAAGTTTTAAAATAATTCACTTTAATAGCAGATTTCAAGGTAATCAGAAAACAGGAAAAACCGATGATCATTTGAAATATGTGTTAACCTGACACTGTACGCACACAAATAACGCAAAAAAAAAAACAACTGACTGAAGTATATTTTAATCTTATAAAAATAGACCTAAATCATGTTCATTGTCGATGTTTTGACTCATAACTGAATCATACAAACTTTCATTTGAACATTTACAACTGCATATTATATAAAAATAAAAAAATACCAAAGGTGTACTGAAAATTCGACATTTTGTTTAAATGACACATATAATGTGACCCTTTAGTGAAGCTTTTAGAATATTTAGCTATGTTGAACGACGTGCACATTCAACAGAAAATCGGTACAAAGTTTATATAGCACTGAATATAAACGCTGTAACTTTATGAAACAACAAATATTCAACTGTAGTTTATGAATGAATGAATGTGGTTTTTAATTTGATAGAGGCTTTTGTGCTTTTTGTAAATGATTGTTTGTTTTGATATTGTAACACAGTGATGACTGCTGTACCCATATTTTGACTATTTTATTTATTATGTCTGTTTTGTTCACGCATCGTTGTAAATATAACGGAATTTGATGAGACTGTCGTACAAGTGAGAGGTTTAGCGCTATAAAACCAGGTTCAACATGCCAAGAAATTGCCTCCGTTGAAATTTTGCAAACATCCCATAGAGCAAATTACATGGATGATTAATTTTGACCATTTGGTATATGGCTGTGTTTTAAGTGAGACGTACACGCGGGTCATAAATTAATTTATTGAATGAAATCAAATCTTTAACTACTAATGGATGCCGTAGGAGGTCGACCGGAATTTTTAGCGAGGATTTCTTGGCATGTAACAGATAGAAAACTCAGGGTAAACATTCGTAGAACCGAGACAAGGGGCAGTGGCAAATATTTCATGTATATTTTGAACACAAAGAGGATTACCCCGGTACCCTTTGCCAAAAATAATCTTCTTTTTCTTCTATTTGCCAACGGACTTTATCTTATGAATTGTAGTTTCACTTTCCATATTCGGTATTTATTCTAATTTAAGCTCCACTTAGTAAAAATCACGTGATTCAGGAATATAGTATCTTGGAGTTAGACTATTTCTTTCTTTTCGGGCGGGGACTCCAAGCAATCAACATGCATGTGTATAACGGCACTATAGATTTTCTTATTAAATAAAAAAAGTTGCCGGTCCGGTACATGAATAGATCGGTTAGAAATCAAAGTTTCAATTTTAATTAGATAAGAGGGTTGAAAATAGAGAGCACCTTCTTATGAACTCTACATCTGAAAGGTTTAATTTTTTTTTATTATTTAATTGAAAGAGAGAAAAACAAATGTAAGACAAATTGTGAATGGTCTTTCTTCCTTTCTCCCGGATCCACCATTTTCTACATTTGAAAATGCCTGTACCAAGTCAGGAATATGACAGTTGTTGTCCATTCGTTTGATGTGTTTTGTCATTTGATTTTGCCATGTGATTAGGGACTTTCCGATTGAATTTTCCTCGGCCTGAGTTCAGTATTTTTGTGATTTTACTTTTTATTAACTTTTTTTCTATAGATTATTTTTTTTAATAGAATATGAACTTTCCTGTCGCTAAATTTGTCTTCTTGTCGCTAATGTTGACTTCTTGTCGCTAAATTTTACATTTTGTCGCTGTAATTCTTCTGATTGCTAATTAGTAAGACCGTAAATTCGTTTTTTATCATATTCCGTAATGTGGGTACCTGTCAAAGTCTTACTTATCGTCGGAAATCTGTGTCAACAAAAGCCTAACAATACCTTTATACCCATGTAAACCCTTATATTATGATGCTACTTAAAAACATTTAATAATGAAAGATAACCTATAATTTGTTTTTCCGCCTTAGTCAAAGTTTTGACTGCAAAAAAGTCTCTGAAACATTTTAGTCTGCCATGGAAACATCAAAATGGCAGCTCCAGAAGTGAATGCGTTGTTAAAAAGGGGGAAGAGGACTGTCGCCACTCACTTCAAGTCGGAGTGTTTCAGGAAGAGTGGAAATAAAAGTCTTCACGAGTTTATGAACTATTTGTTTGATCCCAGAAATAAGTCTATTGATGATGTTGATGTTTTAGATTGGTGCAGATGGCTGATAGCTGGTGGAGTAACTTTCGATGAATTCTCCAAAAATGGTATGACCCAATAGGCAAAATATTCCAAAACTTGATCACCAAGCAAAGTCTCAATTTAACTTTGCCTACCTGTAATTTATGCTATGTTGGTACAGCTACAAAAAGGATTCTTCACATGAAATTTCAGTTTAAAGAGCCTTTTAATGTCTTTTTTATTTTACAATTCCATGATTATTACATGTATCTTCTTTACAAGGTTTCAGATAAATGTGCTAAATATGTGTGATTCTCTTACACCAAAAAATCCTGCTGGTATTCTATAGCTACATTAACCAAGACAAAAAATGCACTGTAAAAAAGAAGGCTCATTAGCTCATCATCAATGCAATTTATAAGAAAATGGAAGAGATCTAAATGTATATCTTCTAGAATAACAAAACATGCAACACCCCAAAATAAATCCCAGTTATTTGAAAGGAATGGAAAATTTTTAGACTGCAACAAGTTTAGTTACTTGGAATATTTTATTGTGATAAGATAAAAAAAAATGGTACAGGAACAGTTAGGGTGCAAAATTTTATATATATTAATATATATATAAACTTTACAAGCATTTTTTCTGTAAAGGTTACAAACTATTAAATGTTAATGACAAAAATGACAATTAAGAGCATCGTTGTCTACCTTTTCTTTTTTTTTGGAAAGCAATTTTGATACTTTAGTTTTGAAGCATTTTCTCTGTATAACATTTAAATAATAGAAAATTTAATTTCAGTTAGAAGATATGACAATGCTGTGATATGTGGACTAGTGTGGACAGCTAATTTTGTGGCCTATAGATGTAGGACATGTGGTATATCACCATGTATGTCATTATGTGCAGACTGTTTTCAGGCAGGGAATCATGAAGGGCATGACTTCAACATGTTCCGAAGCCAAGCTGGTGGTGCCTGTGACTGTGGGGATGTTAGTGTCATGAAAAAAGAAGGGTAAGAAAATGAAATATTTATGGCTTTAATCATATTAATATACACTGAATCAGTGTTCAAATGCTGACATTAATATCAATTTATGAATTGTTACCTGCATTGTCAACATCAAAAGCAGGTCTAGTAACCTGTCCATCAGAGAGACTTGGATAGAAAACGTCAAACTTTTCTTGGCTTCTATTGAAGGGAATGATTTTATATTTGGTCTGGAGTTTGATTATATTGAGTAGTATTGTGTAAGCAATTTTTACATCAGCCATGATGATGATGTGGCCACTTCCTGTTAACATTTTGTTTGAAATTTTACAACACCCATTGAACAAAGAAAATTTTCATCATGCTGTTCTTGGTTTCTATGGAAGGGATAGTCAGTTATGCTCAGTATACATGTTACCTCAATCAATTGCATGCAGCGATGGAGTTCTTGTTTAGTGAAGCTCTTTATTTTACATTTTTTTTATCCCAGCTCTTGATATGATAGGAACATGATCTATTTTGTAATGTTTACCCTTTTGTTTCAGGTTTTGTACACGACATGGTCCTGATAGACAGACACAGAATTTTACTCCACCACAGGATTTATTGGTTGTAGCAGAGATAATGATGCCCAGGATAATTTTAAGATTACTTCATCATCTGAGGGACAATTCTAGTGAAGGTTGGTATCTTCCTTTATATTCACCAGCATCATTTTCAATTAACTTAATTAGTCTACAATAAGCTGATAAGGAGAACAAAGTTGTTTCTTTTTGGATAAAAAGGATAACCAAAATTTTTTTGTTTTCTGGTTTGAATTAACATTCATTGCTTACTTCTTTATTTGGTGAAAATTGTTGCCCCCCTGCTGCTTGGGTCACAAGAGATATTTTAATTATACCCTGTCTCCGAAGAGGGGGTATATTGTTTTACCTTTGTCTGTCCGTCCGTCCTTTGAAATTTCGTTGCAAATTTCTCAGGAACTACAAATCAGATCTTGCCGAAATTTGTAATCAGTCCTCATATGATCATGCTATACGGTGTGATGCAGTTTAAGATTCATCAATTGTCAACTTCCTGTTTACAGAATACATATATATTCATCATATGATGGACATGTATGAAATGATTTCGCATATTTCTAGGGAACTACAAATGTACTAATGAGACCTTCCTGAAACTTGTTATCAGACTTAAATGCTGCTTCATGTCAGCATGCTGTACAGTGTAATGTGTTTTTAGATTCATTGCTCATCAACTTGGATTACTTAGATATTCTTACATAATGGCCATGTATGAAATTTTGGTCACCTTTTTAGCTCACCTGGCCCATAGGGCCAAGTGAGCTTTTCTCATCACTCAGCATCTGTCTTCCGTCATCATTGTCTGTTAACTTTTACAAAAATCTTTTCCCTATTAATTATTATCTTGAAAACTATATATAATGGATACAGAGAAACTTGAAATACAAAAAAATGATCATCACAACAACATCTACAAATAAGTCAACATGGCCTAAATTGTCTGACGACTTCTTATTAAAGTTATTGCTCTTTAATGACAATTTTTACCATTTTTTTCATTTTTGCCTCTATGTTGAAAACTATATAGTAGATAGAAACTTAAATAAGCAAAAATGACCTGCAAGACAAGATCTGCAAATAAGTAAAATTTTGTTGAAATCATTAGCAAACTTTTTATAGGAGTGATTGCTATTATGCATAACAGGGTTTATGTGTGTGTTTTTGACAATAACCAAAGGAGATAGAGAGGAACTTGTAAACAGATAAAATGATTAGTAATACAAGATCAACAAAAAAGAGATTTTTGTCATGTTTTATTATTGTCCACAATGTTTGAGAGTGTCCATTGTTGAAGATGCACATATACCTAGTTCAGCGACACAGGCTCTTTTGAGCCTCTAGTTCTAGGGAACTACAATGTATATACAAATAAGATCTACTTGAAATTTTGTCATTCTTAAAGTGAACATCCTTTACCGTGTGATGCGTTTTCAGATTTATGCCTCATTAACTTCCTGTTTACCGAATACTTTAAATTTTTAACCCATAATGGTTGTCTTTCTGATATTGTTAAACATCTAACCCTCTTGTTTAATTAATTTTGTATTTACATTGTGTCATAGATCAAATTTATTTGTTCAGTGTAAGTTGAATTGTTTATGTTAATATGTCTTTTGATTGAGTTAAGCCATTTCAATTGATATTTTATAGTGTGACTTTCTATGTTTTGATGTTACACTATTATTTCAGGTAGGGTGAAGGTTGGCGCCTATTCAAACGTTTAAACCCGCTGCATTTGTTTGCACCTGTCCTAAGTCAGGAACCTGATGTTCAGTGGTTGTCGTTTGTTGATGTGGTTCATAAGTGTTTCTTGTTTCTTTTTTTTTTTTTATATAGATTAGACCGTTGGTTTTCCTGTTCGAATGGTTTTACAAGTTAGTCATTTTTGGGGGCCTTTATAGCTTGCTGTTCAGTGTGAGCCAAGGCTCCATGTTGAAGGCCGTACTTTGACCTATAATGGTTTACTTTTACAAATTGCGACTTGGATGGAGAGTTGTCTCATTGGCACTCATACCACATCTTCTTATATCTATGTATGAAATATTCGTCATATTTTTCTAGGGAACTACAAATAAGAGCTTCCTAAAATTTGTTTTCAGTCTTAATGGGAACATGCTTTACTATGTGAAATAATATCAGGTTCATCGCTCATCTACTTCCTATACCTGAGATATAATTTAGGTAAACATACTAATCTGCTAATGATTACTTTTAATTTTGAGACCAGTTCATCACTCAGTATGTAAACACAAGAAATATTCATTGATGGAGTTTAAACAATGTTGTCAAAAACAAATGGAGAACAGCAATAAGATATTCACAAGAGTAAATGAGGTTTAAATTTATTTATAGTGCTTAACCTATCAACTAAAATTCAAAAGATCAGAAAGCATCCATTAACTGTACACAAATCAATCTTTCAGAGGATACATAAGATAGGGAATGTTGCATATATTTTCAGAGATGAAAGATACATATCAGTTAGACATGCAGGATGCTGACCAGTTCTTAACATTTCTACACACACTAAGTGATATGGGGGCAGCCATGAGAAAGGTCATTGGGCAGGCACTTTCCTCGAATGCCTTGTACAAGGAGTTAACTGAAGGTTTGTATATAGTAAAGTTAAACATACTATAAAAAATGGAAATACATTGTTGTATTACATCTTCGAAGAACTTAAGAGGGATGTAATTTATTGTCCTTCATCATGATACATTATTTTTATGCCCCAACTAGGGGCATTATGTTTTTCAGTCTGTGCATCCGTTCGTCCGTCTGTCAGTCCCGCTTCAAGTTTAAGTTTTTGGTCAAGGTAGTTTTTGATGAAGTCCAATCAACTTGAAACTTAGTACAGATGTTCCCTATGATATGATCTTTCTAATTTTAATGCCAAATTAGAGTTCTGACCCCTATTTCACAGTCCACTGAACATAGAAAGTGATAGTGCGAGTGGGCAGGTTAAAGTTTTTGCTCAAGCTAATTTTTGTCCCGCCAATGACGGAGTCAAAAAGCGAGACAAATATGCTGTTTCCGGCGTCGGATGGCGTCAACAATATATTAGTTTGTGATTAGGTCTAGTTTATGGTGAACCATGAGTGGTAGGTCAATGATATTTGGTATGCAGTTGTATGAGCATTGGCATATCTCATTACCATGGAGATTATTTGGCCCCGCCCCCTCAGTCATGGTTTATCGACTTTGAAACTTGACTTAGTTTACATGTATTAGTTTGTGATTAGGTCAGTTTATGGGGAACCACTAGTGATAGGTCAATGATATTTGGTATGCAATTGTATAAGCATTGGCATATCTCATTTCCATGGAGATTATTTGGCCCCGCCCCTTCAGTCATTTTCTATTGACTTTGAAACTTTTGCTTAGTTTTCATATATTAGTTTGTGATTAGGTCAGTTTATGGGGAACCTATGGTGGCCTGTTAAGGCCATTTCGCGATTTCATGTTTTCGCCCTTCATATTCTATAGGGCGAAAACACGAAGTCCTAAAACGTGAAAATGTGAAGTAGAAAACGCGAGGTCGAAAATGCGAAATATTTTTTCTTTTCGATTAAGCATTTTTAACTTCACGATTTCGCATTTTCGCGTTAGGAATGCACCATGATCACAGGCACTCAGTGACATAACACATTTATATATGATTTTTTTTCCGAGACAAGTACCTATGTCTTAAAGGGGCATTAACAGCATGTTCACCGATTTGACTCAAATTCTCATATTTGATTTATAACATACTAAAATGTAAATTCAAATAACAAAAAAGACTGAAATAAACAATTAACAAAACATGTCCTCGATAATATATATCAGCATTCCTTATAACACGAAAAGGTGAAAACGCGAAATAGCGAAATCTAAAATGCGAAAACGTAAAGTCGAAAATTGAAATCAGAAAGAAAAAATATTTTGTGTTTTCGAGTTTTTGCCTTTTCGTGTTTTTTTTTTACCAATAAAATGCCAAAATTAAATGGGAAATCTTGAAAAATCAGTAACAATAGTTTATTTTTCTGTACATATTACAAGATAGAGTATGTATCACTATTGACATTGTGACCTAATTTCAAGGAAAATCCATATGTAATATAAGATATAGGGAAAGGTGGGGTGGGGGTTAGAAAAATCAACATAAGACTTTAAACCCTTTAAACATATTCAGTCATAATCACTTAAGCTGGTGAGACATATAGCATATTAACTCTTTATTTTTCTATATTTTTTATTATATTTCAGTAACCTTACTACCAGATGGGTCAAATAGTTATTTTGTTGACAGCCAGAAAAGATATAACACTGCATTAAATAACATGACTACACCAAAGGGATTTGATGAATATGAAAGTAAGTAGAAACCTGAAATAAAGGTGTTTAAAATAGAATTATAAAGGACATTCAGTAATGAAATATCGAAGGCATCTCTTGCTAAAATATGCTAAATGTTCTTGTTGTACATATATATCAAAAAACAATTGGAAGAAGATGGAAGATGGAAGGAGAAGAAACACAAAGTGAAAGATATTCAGTCTCAAACAAGTCATTTTTCATAAAACATACAATACAGTATGCTTCCTCAGTATTGAAAGTTTTATACCTTCTCCTAAACTTCAGGAAATAAACTTCAGGAAATGTCTAATGGGCAAAGAATTTTGACCTGGCATCTCCAATCATTTCATTGACTTTAGCTAGTTGATAAAGTGCTGCCTCTTAAATTGGATTTCAAACATATGGCAAAGGTTGAGAGTAAGACCAATGTAGACTAATATCATTTTCTAAATAATTTCACATTTTTCAGATTTTCGATTTGGTGGTAAATATTTGCATGAGTTTGATACCCTTCATTAGAACATATTGTTATATCACTATTGATATGTTACCCTCTATTAAAACATATTGTATCACTATTGATATGTTACCATTACCAAACATTTTCAGTGCGAAAAATTCTTAAAGATATTTATAAAATGTTAGCTTTAATACACTAAAAGAAAATGAATATAAAAAACAAGAACATTATCTGCTGGAGAAGTTAAACAACATTCATGAGAATGCAAATTCCTGTATTCCTGGTATAGTTTTGATTCTTTTTAATAGTTAATGAATGCATGCTCTAATTACATCCCTTTTGGACTCTTAAAACACTGTGATGTTCAATTTTGCTTGTTTTGCAAAGATCCTTTACCATCCAGGTCAGGTTGGATTTTATTAAAACAAAACAAAAAAAATGTCTAAAATATTTTTTGCACAAACGAGGAGTTAAAATCATGATAATAATGGGAATCATTGTTTGGTCCCTAAATTATAAGATATAGCCCAATTACTTTGGTAGTTTTCAACATAGTACACATTTGTTTGTAAAATTAAATATGAGCAACAGCCTTACCAAAAAAGATATTTTACTCCCATCAACATCATTGTATAAGAGGTCTTGCAGCAAAATAAGTTTTAGAGTTAAGCCATGACTTATATCTAATAATTAATGACAAGATCTCAAAAAGAGATTATTTTGGCAGGTTTTTATTCAGTTTCTCCTTAAATGCAAGAAATTAAAGACCTGAAACAAAAAAGTGAGACAAAATTCAAAAGTTAATACTGATGTTTGACAGATTAATGTCTTTGGACATCTAAAGAATTATAAATGATAGCTTTATGGTAGTTTTGGATTGTTAAATTCACGGGAACAAAAGTAACCTCCTCCTTTAAACAATTTTTAGCAGAATATTTAGATTCTGAGAACACTTGAACCAGAGTGCCAATGATGACATATTTGATGCATTGGTAAAAAAGTGATTAAAGCAAAAACCTATCCTGCTACAAGAAGAAACACATTTAAAAATGTAAAAAGTGAATGGCATTTTGCTATATAAGGTAACACATCTTCTTTTCATCTTGATCTTGTATACCAATTTATTATTTTTTAGCTATGCCAGGTCTTTCTCAGGAAATGAAACATAAGACATTACTTGATGAACTTACATTCTGGATGGTGAAGTATGAATTCCCACAGAAAATGGTTACATTACTTCTTAGTCTGCTACCTGATGACAATTATAAAGTAAGGATAATTCTCTCATATTTTAGCCTGGTTTCTATGAATAGAAATTTTTTAAACTGCTAGAAGTATTGAAAAATGAATATCTATTCATTTAATAAATTCTTATATACATTTAATTCCATATACTTGAAACTTCACAAAATGATCTATACACATTTGAATTATAGTGGCTGTATTATGCTCAATGGGAGGACATCTTTTGAATTTAGGGTAAATAGGTCAAAGGTCAAGGTTGCAGCAGCTATAAATAGTGCCAAACTCTTGGTTTCCAGATCTCTTGAACCATATGTCCAAGCAATGGGATTGGTAAGACCTCTAGTGATTTTTTGGTTGATAGGTTAAAGGTCATGGCCACAGCAGCAATTGATAGACTGAAATTTGGGCAAAATTTTGTTTTTTACATATTGTCTTTTGAACCATATGTTCAAGTTTTACCGTATATGATTTGGTAATTCCCCATGAGATGGCCTTTTTGGATTTTGAGGTAGTGAAATTTCAGAAATTATTGTGAGGTTTTTATTAATGCGAATAATGCGACTTGTGATTTTCGCAATAACAAGAACTCGCATTCTGATATCTGATACATATATCTGTAAATTTTCCTGAAATTGCAATAACTAATTCCTCATTTTAGTCCATTCTTCAAAATCGCAATAATGAATGTATGCAATAATTCTGAATTTACAGTAACTATGTCAAAGTTAAAGGTTACATCAGCAGTTGATAGACTGAAATTGAGGTTAAACTTTTGTTTTTTGGAAAATGACGCTATCAGCGGCATGTTTCCGATACCATTGACCAGAACTTACGGAAGTCGATTATTGCCTCCGCCTACCGCACTCGGTTTCATATTTACTATTTTACATACTAACTGGAATCTGCTTGTATTACGCAACACTCGAACAACGTGTTGTAGTCGGTCGGGAACCAGTTTACATACTTTATTTTATTTACCAAAAAGATATCTTGACCTGTCCATATGTTTTTTGTTATTAAATGGTATCTGGAGCTATCCCTTTGTTATATTTTTCATATTTATTCGAGCTTTCACTTTTATGCACATGTCTTACAATCGTAAACAATCGGTATGTATATACATGATAAATAGATCCGTTTTGTTATGGTGTTGGACTTTTAACCCTCCAATGATCAGCAATCGCTAGACAAAATAGTTCTCCTAAATAATGTCAGCCTTTCATGCCATTTCAACTTTACAATCATTAAAAAAAGTGAAAATCGGAATCATTTTGATATCCATTGGATAGAAACTGGTCTTTATCCAGATTTACGAAGATTTTAAAAATCGGAAATTAGTAATACGGTTATATACACGCGGTGCGTATGAATCTTTGTTTACAAAACATAGCCTGGCATCCTGACCCAATCTAATACTTCGTCGAGCAGTTGGCCAGGATCCCAGGCTATACAAAACAGGATTTCGGAACGTCTCTAGTTTTTAGATCGTAAGTCACTATAAACTCAAACTGAAAGTAAACAGTTGTTTGTAAGACGCAGGTTTACTCACCATAAACAAGCTGATATTTCAGTATGGCATATATTTTAGGTTAAAGACGGTCTCATTCATTTAAAAAGCATTTTGAAAGTAGACGATGGGATTATTTCAGGTTTGGGGAACGAGTAAATTATCACAAAGTTCATTTCTTGACGACCTCATAATTTCATCATGTCGATGGTACAAATCGATTTTTACTGTTTACTGTCGCTTCTCATGTTTTGTATTTAAACGGTCGTTTATTTTTAAACCCGAACCAGGCATATGCATTCTGTAATTGTGCAAATCTTCGTTCTTTGGTCAATTGGCTTATGAATAGTTGTATCAATTTCAACTCTTACATTATTTTTTTTTTAAATATATTTGCATTACACATGCAATGGCAGTACCTTTCCAATTACTATTTATGTGTTGTGTCTAAATTAAAGTTGTAACACTTTATAGTGACTGGAAAGGGTAGAAAAATTCATCAGATGAGAAAAGGCTGAAGATACTTCAAACGGCACCGAATCATTAGATATTGACTCTTATAAAAAGAAACTGAGATTTGGATAGTTCCACTTCAAGGTAGAAATGTTTATCTCTTGTGAAATGAAATAAAAAAAATATTGTAACACTGTAGTTAATTAATAAAGATACTATTATGTGTATTTCTGTATTGGCCTTATTATTGGTTCTCGACCAGCAGTCAAACGGCACCGAATCATTAAATATTGCATCTTATAAAAGGAAACTGAGATTTGGATAGTTCCACTTCAAGGTAAAAATGTTTATCTCTTGTGAAATGAAATAAAAAAATATTGTAAAACTGTAGTTAATTAATAAAGATACTATTACGTGTATTTCTGTATTGGCCTTATTATTGGTCCTCGGCCAGCAGTATTGGCCTTCCGCTTCGCCTCAGACCAATACACCCAAGACATGGACCAATAACAAGGCCAATACAGAAATACTTACGCAATGATATTATAGAATGACAGTATGGTTCAATAGCGGGAATCAGCCCCTCATCTACTTTTTACATAAATATTAACTTCTGGCTTCAACGCTTTGTTCGTCTTGTCTGGAGATCTTGCTGTAGTTCCAGTTCAGCAAGCATTTTAGAGACGTATCCCGTCCATCCTCTTTTGACTTGTAATCTCTGGTGATAGATTTTGCCGCTTGACATTATATCCTTTCAAGCTTGTTTTTTTTTGTTACCGTGTAGGAGTCCCATACTTTGGCTCCATATTAAATTGTAAGATCCATTCCTAAAGATCTAGTTCAATAACTGGAATGCTACCCAAGTTGAATATATGGTGACCCACGAGAACAGCATTATCACTATTGAAATTGTGTTTAATACCATGATTGTTCAATGTCATTAACTTAAATGGAGACAGACATTTGACCTGAAAGACATGAAAGGTGGTGTGGGAGTGCAAAATCAAAAACTAACTGACTATGATATATGGTTAAAGAATGAATATCAATTACATGGGTCAACATGGTCAAGGGCAGAGTTGTTATAAAATAAGAAGTGGTTTCAAGTTTCATATAAAGCGACCTGACTGACATGAAAAAAAAAATCGGAGGAGTATCCCTATTTGTCTAATCTTCAAGGTGAAATAAAACTAGTAAAACAATATTATACTATTGTCTAAATATACAGAAATATAATTTGCTTCAAGTAACAGAAATAACTAGGTCACTAGTAACTTATTTAATGAGTATGTGGGGTATAAGAGCTTGCTAACAACAGGCTCTTCATAATTATTTGGTTTGAAAAGGATACAAGTAGTCTATATTCTTGATTTAGAAAAATGTAATTGCAAGAAAAATATCACATTACTTAGAATACTTTAGATCATTCAGGTAGTCTTTATTTATATGTACAAAAGAACAGCCAGTAGTCATTGGATATTGTAGATCATTCAAATAGTCTTGACCTTTTTATTAGTACAAAAGAACAGCCAGTAGTCATTGGATATTGTAGATCATTCCGGTAGTCTTGACCTATTTATTTATACAAAAAAACAGCCAGTAGTAATTGGATACTGTAGATCATTCATGTAGTCTTGACCTATTCATTTGTACTAAAAAAACAGACACATATACGAATATCAATTATATGCTTACGAGACATGTTGCAATGTTAAACTTATTACGGTATGTGAAAATCAAGACTTGCATAAAAAATATCACAATATTAGAGGCAGTGGTGTCATTTTTCCTCAGAGCTTTCAGCTCTTTGATTGATGAGTTCCTTTAAACCATTTGTCCAACCTTCACCAAACTTATGTGGAGATTGCCGATTTGATTAATGGAGACGTTATTATTTTTTTAGTCAGAAGATAAAAGGTCATGGTCAAAGATCCTATAAAAAGAGTGACAGTTTAGGGAATTTTTTTTTTCCAAAACAATATCTTTTGAGCAATAGATCAGATATTTCCTTATCCTTGTTGGATACCTTTGGGTAAAAAGACACCTTTTGATTTTTAGGTCAAAGCTCATGATAACAGCAGCACTTAATAGCCTGAAATTTTTACAATTCCTTCCCTCCTCACCATTTGACAGAAATTGTCAGCAGACTTTACATTCTTCAATGTACATGACACAAAAACCTATTTCTTCTTCTAAAGACAGAAAAGATCGCAACTCTGATTATGCACCCATGCAGTTTCTGTTATTTTTTCTAATCTTTCTAAACTGAGTTATTATTATCCCATTCTAAAGGAGAGGTACATGTATTCTGGTGTGCTTCTGTATAGTCATCTGTGCATCTGGTGATCCATAAGACTTTGTTTTATGCACTTTTCTCTGCAACTACAGCTCACAACTTCTTGATATATGGTACTTAGTGTTATCTGATTATGCCATATGGTGGATCATGTTTTTCATTCCTTCATTGTTCTACTTCCTGTTTGTTGAAAACTTGTCAGTAGATATAATTAGTGAATGGAAGCTCCCAGTTTATCTTATTAGTTATTTTTATACGACCGCAAACAAATTTTGCGGTCGTATATTGGTATGACATTGGCGTCGTCGCCATCCGGGCGTCGCCGTCATCGTCCGAAGACACATTGGTTTTCGCATTCTAACTTTAGTTTAAGTAAATGGATCTCTATGAAATTTTACCATAAGGTTCAATACCACAAAAGGAAGGTTGGGATTGATTTTGGGGATTATGGTACCAACAGTTAAGGAATTAGGGGCCAAAAAGGGGCAAAAAAACAAGCATTTTTCTAGTTTCCAGACAATAACTTGTGTTCAAGTGTATGGATCTCTCTGAAATTGTACTTCAAGGTACCATACCACAAAGGGAAGGCTGTTATTGAGTTTTGGGGTGATGAATCATAAGGGGGTTCTAAAAATTTTTGGGGGGGGATTTTTTTTCCCTTTTTTTCCTTTTTTTTTCTTTAAATTTTCAATTTTCAATTGGTTATTTCTGATTTATATATAAAAGCAAATAATAATGATATGGTTTGAAAAGGTAGATTAAAATTTTTTAAGTTCTTAGACCACATTCATTCTGTGTCAGAAACCTATGCTGTGTCAAATATTTAATCACAATCCAAATTCAGAGCTGTATCAAGCTTGAATGTTGTGTCCATACTTGCCCCAACTGTTCAGGGTTCGACCTCTGTGGTCGTATCAAGCTGCGCCCCAGCAGAGCATTTTATTTAGGAATATTTTAACGAATGATTCTATAGGTATGGTATCTATTCTGTGTAATCAACTCCCAGAAAATTTAAGACAGATCTTTAAAACTTCACAGGATATACACCCCAAACATTACCTGTAACATCATGGACAAGATTGACAATTTTTGCAGACTTCACCTAAAAAGAATTTCAGTAAATTTTAAAAATGAAATTGCCTAGTATTTGATTCTTTTATTTGAACATGTGTGAAATTTGTTTTAATTGTCATTTTATGCAGATAAATTTGCAGATGGCTTATAAGCATTAAGAGATAATGGGATGACACTTCTTTTAAAAATATAGTTATTTGTATACTTCACATTGAATAGAGTGTATAAAGAAAGTATGCAGTGTTAACATTGAATATATTTGGTAGGAGGAAAACTCATTATAATGTATGGACTTTTGTAGGCCTGAAAAATGACTGAATAGTTCCAAATGATTTAAGATATATCACTTCTATACCTTAAATAATGCTATATATTAGTAAACTTTCGTCAGTTTATGTCAATAAAGTCACACATTGATATTACTGTAAAAGCTATAATTTTCTCAACTTATTTCAGGAAGCATTTACCAGAGCATTTATCAGACATTATAGTAGAATGACCCTGGTTCTAATTAATGGTCTAAACAGACCAGCTATATCTAATAGAGTAGTCCACATTAGTGTCCAGTTGTTCAGTAATGAGGTGCTTGCTGTAAAAATGGTGGAGGAATATAACTTGCTATACATACTGATAGTTAGTCTGACAAACATGTTGGAGAGTATATTGACAGAGAGTTCTCTACAAGGTTAGTATTTCAAAGGGTAGAAACAAGGAATTATTTGAATCTGGAATAATTTTGAATTCTGGAAAATTGATTAGAAATGTATGATGAAAACTAACCCAACTAAATAGGGTTAGCCATGCGTGCATGGCTAAGGTTAATTTTACTTTCACTATCATTTCAGTATGAACTAACTAACCCCCCTTAGCCATGCGCGCATGGCTAACCCTATTTAGTTGGGTTAGTTTTCATCATATATTTCTCATCAGTTTTCCAGAATTCAAAATTATTCCAGATTCAAATAATTCCTTGTTTAGAGGTAAGTTACAGTTTTATTTCACTAGTATTACTGATTTATAAAGTGATTAGTTACATGTTAATGAAATATAAATTTGTTGATTCTTTGATGTGTAGTCTGTACATTGATGTATGTTAGATGGAAAGTCAAAATAATTTCACTTGATTTTTCAATTTTTAGTAAAATGATACACTGGTTTCATACAGATATTCATTCTTAGGTCATGAATTCATAGTAGATTATGTAGCATATTGAATTCCTTGTAGTGAGTTAAATATTCTGATTGAGTTTGGAGAACATTTTATAGTATTTTTTTCTTCATTTCAGATACACAATCCAATTTTCACATGGTTGTTGACTGTGCAAACATAGCCATGAAGGAGCATTGCTACTGGCCAATCGTTAGTGATCTCATTAATCTGTTTTCTCATAAAGCAATTACAATAAAGTTTTTATCAGATACAAGACTGGTCACTATGTGGTTGGATCTTTTGAGCTACCTTCAGGGGATGAACCTGAACAATAGAGAACTCAGTCAGCATGTTGAATTTGAATCAGAAACATATTATGCAGCTTTCTCCGCTGAGTTAGAAATGGCATCCTCACCAATGTGGTCACTAATCTCACACTGTAAATTAAAGGTTAGTGTATAGATACAATTGTTTGTTATACACCGTTAATAAATAATGATTGTGACCTATCAAAACACAGGGTTAAGAATCATTTGCAGAACAGCAAGCTCTCTTGTCCTATAAATGTTGAACCTGTTAAGGATGACCTCCACAAAGACACATTAGAATTAAATTCTCCAAAAAATTCATGTAACTTCATTTTTATAGAAAAAAATCAAAGGGATATAAAATAAAATCTTGTTCAATATTAGAAAATCCATAGTCATACTCAAAGAGTCATGAAATAGTGTCTTAAATCTTAAATTTCTCGTAATCATTTAAGATACATGAAATGTGGTCTTGTTCAACCTAAAGCCATCCATAAATATCAATATACATAGGAATATATGTAGAAAATAATTTACTCCCCTGCATTGAAGAGCAGTGAAATATACAGAACAGACAATTCACTCATCCACTTGTTTATAGATATGTGGCCATTGTGGATTCCTAACTTTTGTTTTGGTGTACTAATTGCTTTTTATTCACAGACCCCCATTTAGTACTTCTGACTAAAAAATGACAAGATAAAAAAAATATTTATGTCTCAACCAAGGCTTCCAAAACGGCCATATATGCCGGACATTTGTATAATGTCCGGTAAAAGTCCGGCTGGGCAAAGCATGAAACGGTCATCTACTTTTTAGTTTTCAAGGCTTTAAGGGTGTCTTCCCGATTGTCCCACTTTTTAAAATTACAGGTAAAAAAGAAATGAAATTTTGTGGGACAATCGGGAATTTTTTTATGTGGGACAATTGGGAAGCTTGAATGTGGGACAATCGGGAATTGTTTTGATAGTGATAAATTTGTTTGTATAGGATGTAGAAGGAATATTTACAGGTAAACAATCAGTGTAAATCATAAAATATGAAATAAAGATGAACAAAAAATCATGAATATTTATTTTGCACAGAATAGGTACAATTGAAGTATCATCAAACATAGAATATAATATTAAGTAAAAAAATATCACATATCAATTTTTCATCATCAAACATAGAATATAATATTAAGTAAAAAAATATCACATATCAATTTTTCATCCTGTCTTGTGCAAAGTCATTTATTTTTAGTTAATACCAGGCCAAGTTATTCATTTTCAAAATCCTCCTCCCCTCTCCCTTTCGAAATCAAATGGTCGTCCCCTTATTGAAAGCTAATGGGAGAACGTCATCAATAGTCTTAGAAAAGTATGATCATAAACAGCATTACCGTAAAAACTAAGATTCTACTGGTACAGCATGTTTTACTACCTTACTGTATTTTGTAGAAAGTCTTTAAGAAAAGGATTATACATTCTGTATATGCCTGTCCCAAGTCAGTATCGTGACGGTATTTAAGTGGTTGTCGTTGGTTCATGTTTGTCATAACTTTTTTGGTAAATTGTTTAGTTATTTTGGCTGTTAGTTTTCTCAAATGAATTATTTAAAATTTTCCATATCGTGGCATTTTATAGCCGACCATACGGTATGGGCTTTCTCATTGTTAAAGGCCGTACGGTTGCCTATAAATGCTTACTTCCACATCTCCTTATTTTTATATTATACAACTAGTATTACATAAAATTAACATTATCAATGTTCCATGTAAATGAGGTAAAGTCAGATTAACTCTGCCACAAAGACATGTACACCCTGCTACCATTCCATACACCAAAAGTATTCGACCTACTACTTATAGCATCTGAGATACGGACTTGACCACTGAAACTTAACCTTGTTCATAGATCCATAAAATGAGGTCGAGGTCATGTGAACGATGATGTCTGACGGACATGTAGACATTGCAAGGATACCATATATTAGTAACCAAGTATAGTTATCCTGGAACTTATGATAAATGAGACATTCAAATGACGAAAACAAGCTATACAGTTCTTAGCAGTCAATAAAACCATGAAAATGAAGTCAAGGACAATGATTATATGACAGACGGAAACTTCGTAACACAATGGATCTATATACAAAATATGAATCATCCGATTCCTCTACCCCCTGAAATACAAAGCTTTACAAATAGTTAATGGTGTTACCGTCACCATCAGATTGTATTCTGTATGATAAAGAATCTTGTGTAAATGGCATCTGACTTCACTGGTAAAAGTGCAAAGACTAGTGGAAACATCTCTCCATCAACAAGTGCGTGTATAGTGTACAGCGTAATTAAGTTTACACTTTTCTTTAAATTGCATGCATTATATCTTTATTTTTGTTTTAACTTTAGAAAAAAATTAATTAAAATCATAGTATTGATATTTGTTTTATATAAATAAACGTAACCTTATAGATATAATTCATAAATGTTATATTATTTACTCAAAAGTGCATTAATCTGATGATATACAAAAAAAAAATCATATTTTATGCTTTTTTAAAATTTATATTAAATAAAAGTTTGAACATGCAATAATTAATTCTTGTTTATTTAGCAAAACAAACAATATATACCTTGTTTATTTAAGAATATTTTACTTCATAAAATAATGTGGGACAATCAGAACTTTTCATGTGGGACAATCAGAACTCTAAAATTTTAAAAAGTGGGACAATCGGGAATAAACCGCTTTAAGAGACGGTCAATTTAACATAGTTCGCGATCTTTTTGACCCAATGTTTTACCTTTAACAGCCACACATTTCCGGTCATAAAAGTGACATGATCATTAAGTACTATCAAAACAACCCCTACTTTAATACCTTCTCATTTTAATCAAGGCTATTTAGTTGTCAAACAGCTGAAATTTACCTGTTCAGGTGACAGGTAAACTATTTTGAACCGGACATTGATCGGTCTATTCAAAGTTATTTTCTTACATTTCAGCGGTTTGCATCTAATTAATTTAGTCAAAAAGATTTAAATTATCAGAAATACGTTTACAAATATGATTTGATGAAAAAATTAAAAAGGTGAAAATGAAAATTCGTCATAACGTTTGAACCCAGAGACATGTCTCTGTTTGAACTAGTACACGTGTGCGCATGTGCCCAGGTGTGAAATTTAATTATGCATCCTAATTTCTTCAAAAAATGCTTAAATTGTCATTGATACCTTTATCTCACATTTATTTCGAATATTTTCTTGAAGAAATAACGTAGAAAGAGCTACTTCCACTCATTCACGCTTTGCAAACGTACACGGAATTTACGTATCCGTCTCTGGTCCATGTTTTACCATTGTCAAGATCCGGTATAAAACGAAAGTAAAGTTTTTGACAACGTTATTTTGCACAAATAAAGAGTCTAAGGCAGATATAAGTACGCTGATGTTGCACACTTCGAATGATGCACTGCCAATTTAACAGTTTACGTCAGAACTTCGAATTTGAATCAAAGAAAGTTTAATATCGTTTTTTTTTAATGTCAATCATTGGGATGGCCAACTCGGCAACTGATTACCATATAATTGCCTTTTGTTTATTTAGTCTTAACGGATTAAAATCGGGATAATACATAAAATGTCCGGCTGGCTAAAAAAAATTTTGGAAGCCCTGGTCTCAACCATCATCAGGATCGTTGAACCAAGCATGGCATACACTCACTGGTCAATATTTGGAACATACAATTTTACCATTTTTGCATTGAAGATGTTGAGTTGACTTTGGTTATAAACAGATGTTATATGATAGAAATAATGGGAGAATACGGTCATAATTAACTTAATTTTTACAAAATTAAGCCATAAGATTTTTTAATTTTCTAAAAAGACTACAGACAGTACACATGGAGTACTGAAACTTGACATTATTATTCATCACTTCTAGAATTTGTGTCACATACAAAAAAGAAAACCCTACAGTGAAGGTCATTGTAAAAAAATTAGCTTAACTTAGTCACTCCTGTGTATGTACAAAAATCCTTTCCTCTCTCTTACTTTCAAACCCCTTAGAGTTGGGTAATGAAACTTGGCATAATTATTATTACTAGAAAGTGTGTTCCGTACTAGGATGAAAATTCTGCAGGGAAGGTCATTGGAAAAAAGAAGTTCAACTTTGACATGTACAAAAATTATTTCTGCTCTCTATCTTAAAACCCCTTGCAGTTTGTGGATGACATCTGAAAATTTCTGCTTTCCATTGGCATAAGCTATGTTTAAATCAAAGCTCCTATTACAATTAACTTGTTTACTTGAGTGGGGCCCTCAGTGATTACTCCCATCACTATCCTCTGGTTTATCTCTTAAGAAGTATGTTCCGAGTTCATGTTTGATAGCATATTGTGATGATAATTGATTTCATAGTTTTGACAAATTCTGCATACAAGGCTATAGGAAATTTGTTTTCTGTTGCTCTTAATTCTATGGTTTACTTATACAAATAAAATTTCCCAAATCTTCAATAAACATTAATACAGTATACATGGCTAAAATTTCTTACCCATGAAACAACACGTAACAATGAAAAAGTATTTAAAAATGAGTATAGAATTTAATTTGTTGTTCAAATGGTAGAACAGGACTATCAGAATTAATTATCATAAGATCTTTTACAGGATTCTCCAGAGTTGACAAAATCTATGATAAAGACATGTCTGAATGCACTACAGGATTGGTACGATGCTATCAACTGTAAAGATTCTATAAAGGTTAGTTATTAAAAAGTATGATAAAGACATGTCTGAATGCACTACAGGATTGGTATGAAGCTATCAACTGTAAAGATTCTATAAAGGTAAGTTAACAAAATCTATGATAAAGACATGTCTGAATGCACTACAGGATTGGTATGATGCTATCAACTGTAAAGATTCTATAAAGGTTAGTTAACACAAAGTATGATAAAAAGATGTCAGAACACACAGCATGTATAGTGCTACAATGTTTCAATGCAAACACTAAATAAAGATAAGTTAACAAAGACTTTGCAAAAGACATGTCTGAATGTTCCAAAAAATTCATAAAATGCTATCAACTGTTAAGATTTTGTTTAAACAATAACTTAACGAAATATATGATAATATATGCATGAACCCACCACAGGATTGTTGTGATGTTACCTAATGTAAACATTGTGTAAAGGTTTCAAATAAACATCATTATAAATACTATACCACACCAGCTATATCAACATTGAAATTTGTTATTGCTTATCTTCAATGATTTTAATGCATATTTGATATTAGAAATCAATGTGTATCAAATAAAGGCTTGTATAGTCCACGGTTTTATTCTCCAAAATTAAACCTGCCAGACGGTTGCGGACTATAGAGTACGATAACAAATAAGAGAAAAAATTCGATTTCGTGAGGTAGTTTGTTTACATTCCGCCATGTTTGTTATTGGTATTGTAGAGGACGCTCATCATTTTCAAAACTAATAATTTTACCTAATCCATATCAATATGTTATTTTTATTCAATATCAAATATATACTGATAAATTTAAAAATTAAATGCTTCACTACAAATTTCTCGTTTCTTTACACTGCATTGCTTAAAATAAACTGGAATCTACTTGAATTTAACGGAACGAAAAAAGTATAAGGGTCAACCAAGAACCAGTCTACGATGTATAAACTACAAAACGTAATCGGTTATTCGTTCCGTTTTCGTGTTTCATACTGCAGGGTTTTCATTAAGAGCCGGCACCCGGCGGAATGTCGCCGTTTCAAAAGACGGAAATCGCCGGTTCAAATGCTTAAACAAAAAATATTTTTGAAGAGAATAAAATAAAAACAAAGTTTTATTAACCTTTTGTCTCATGGAGTTTTTAGTTTAATAGATTTTTCAAAAACGATGGCTTTTTATAACCGACTGGACCATTTTGTCTGACTGAAAGTAAACTTAAAATCGGCGTCAGTAAGACGTTTGCCTGCATTCAAATACAATCTTCAATCAATCGCTTGAATGATCAAGATTGTCAATGGTAAAATCAAGAGAGATATTGAAATAAAAACGTATGTTATCAATGGATAACTCATGAGAAACCAAAATTAAAAAGTTTTAGAAGGCAATTTTTTAAATTGCATGTCAATAAATTAATGAAACTGAATGAAATGAAAGACCAAAAGTAAATGATTTCTTTACCAGCAAAAAGACAAAATCATTGGAACCATTTACAGGTAAAACTTTTTATTTGAAGTTATTAAATTTCAAAGAAGCCTTAGAAGGTCTGTACAGTCTCATGTTTATATAAATGAGGCCTGCCCAAGCTTGCCGTCTATGCCCTTTTTATAATGTAACAAGTATTTCATTATTACCACCCTTTAACTCTTGGGAAGGGAAGGGGGTTGAAAATAGTGCCTAGGCTAGGAGGGGTGCTGGCCATTTTTTTTTGGACCTTTTCTCTTCAGTTTGTAGTATATAGTTCCAGGTTTATCATTGCCCATTTGTTGTGGATGGGGCCATCACAGAAGCCTAGGATAGGAGGAAGGCTTCCCATTTTTTATACGACCGCAAACAAATTTTGTGGTCGTATATTGGTATGACGTTGGCGTCGTCGTCGTCGTCGTCGTCGTCGTCCGGCGTCGTCGTCGTCGTCCGGCGTCGTCGTCGTCCGAATACATATTGGTTTTCGCACTCTAACTTTAGTTTAAGTGAATGGATCTTTTTGAAATTTGACCATAAGGTTAAATACCACAAAAGGAAGGTTGGGATTGATTTTGGGGGTTATGGTACCAACAGTTAAGGAATTAGGGGCCAAAAAGGGGCCAAAAATGAGCATTTTCTAGTTTCCAGACAATAACTGTGGAACGGTGTATGGATCTCTCTGAAATTATACTACAAGTTTCCATACCACAAAGGGATGGTTAGGATTTGCTTTGGGGGGTTATGGCTCAAACCGTTTAGGAATTAGGGGCAAAAAAGGGGGAAAAACAAGGTTGTCCTGGTTAATGGACAAATACTTTAGTACAAAACATAATTTAAAGCAGTGTAAGGGAGATAAATCAAATACATCATTGAAATTATCTCCCTTACACTGCTTTTAAATTATGTATAAAGTAATGGTTAATGAACAATAAAGATAATCTAAAACAGTGTAAGGGAGGTAATCCAAATACAACGTTTTGGTTACTTCCCTTACACTGCTTTTAAATTATGTTTAAAGAAAATAGATTAAGTTAGCACTATGGTAAATTTAAATGGGTAATTATGGTTGCCAACTCCATTGGAAATTTGAATTGAGATTATGACCATATCTTGAGGGAAAGAATTTTTTTTGGGGAAAAAGGGGGGGGGGGGATAAAAAGAAATTGTGGGGGGTCAATTTTTTCTCATTTCAGATTTCAGAAATTTAAAAGAATTATTCTTCAAATATTATTTTTTTTTCAAATTTCAAATATTGAAAAATTTCAAGAAGTAATCTTTAATTGCACAGTATGGCGCATTAGATTTGTAAAATCTTTGATCACATTTATTTAATTGTTATGCCGAATCTAACAGTGTATTTAGATTTTTAATTTTGGGTCCAGTTTTCAAATTGGTCTACATTAATGTCCAAAGGGTCCAAAATTAAACTTTGTTTGATTTTAGCAAAAATTTAATATATGAGGTTCTTTGATATGCTGAATCTAAACATGTATTTAGATTTTTGATTTTTGGCCCAGTTTTCAAGTTGGTCCAAATTGGGGTCCAAAATTAAACTTTGTTTGATTTCAACAAAAATTGAATATATGGGGTTCTTTGATATGCTGAATCTAACCATGTATTTAGATTTTTTATTTGTGGACCCCGTTATCTAATTGGTTCATATTGAGGTCAAAAGGGTCCAAAATTAAACATTGTTTGATTTCATCTAAAATTGAATTATTGGGGTTCTTTGATATTCCAAATCTAACCGTGTATTTAGGTTTTTAATTTTGGGTCCTGTTTTTTAAATTGGTCTACATTGAGGTCCAAAGGGTCCAAAATTAAACTTAGTTTGATTTTAACAAAAATTGAATTCTTGGGGTTCTTTGATTTGCTGAATCTAAACATGTGTTTAGATTTTTGATTATGGGCCCAGTTTTCAAGTTGGTCCAAGATAGGGTCCAGTATTTAAACTTTGTTTGATTTCAACAAAAATTGAATATATGGGGTTCTTTGATATGCTGAATCTAAACATGTATTTAGATTTTTGATTATGGGCCCAGTTTTCAAGTTGGTCCAAATTGGGGTCCAAAATTAAACTTTGTTTGATTTCAACAAAAATTGAATATATGAGGTTCTTTGATATGCTGAATCTAACCATGTATTTAGATTTTTTATTTGTAGGCCCCGCTATCAAATTGGTTCATATTGAGGTCAAAAGGGTCCAAAATTAAACTTTGTTTGATTTCATCGAAAATTGAATTATTGGGGTTCTTTGATATGCCAAATCTAACCGTGTTTTTAGATTTTTAATTTGGGTCCCGTTTTTTAAATTGGTCTTCATTGAGGTCCAAAGGGTCCAAAATTAAACTTAGTTTGATTTTAACAAAAATTGAATTCTTGGGGTTCTTTGATATGCTGAATCTAAACATGTGTTTAGATTTTTGATTATGGGCCCAGTTTTCAAGTTGGTCCAAGTTGGGGTCCAAAATTAAACTTTGTTTGATTTTAACAAAACTTGAATATATGGGGTTCTTTGATATGCTGAATCTAACCATGTATTTTGATTTTGGACATTGGACCATAATAGGTAAATTAAAAAAATTCAAGTTCTTAGACCACATTCTTTCTGTGTCAGAAACCTATGCTGTGTCAAATATTTAATAACAATCCAAATTCAGAGCTGTATCAAGCTTGAATGTTGTGTCCATACTTGCCCCAACTGTTCAGGGTTCGACCTATGCGGTCGTATTAAGCTGCGCCCCAGCGAAGCATTTTATTATTTATAGTTGGACCTTTGGCTGTCCACTCAAGTTTTACTGAAAAAGTAGGTAGGAGGGTAAATGCCAAGGCTAGGGAAAAGGCTCTGTTTATTTTTTTCAGTTATAATTTTCCCCTTGCTGACCATTAGCCCACTCGTTGAAAAAAGTACCAATGTCAGGATGGGTCCTGCCTCAGTTTGATTTTTTTTTACATTAACCTATCTCGAATGGAAGCCTTTGTTAAAAGTGCTGGCTAAGAAGGGGTGGACATTTTCCCACTTCAGCATATATGTCCTTTCCCAGGTTTGCATGTTTTTATTGAAATATAGAACACATGAAAATAATATTTCTTTTCTGGATCAAAACTGAAATTGTCAGATTTTGCAGATGACATATATACATGTAGGTCTTTACATAAATATAAGAAGATGTGGTATGAGTGCCAATGAGACAACTCTCCATCCAAGTCACAATTTGTAAAAGTAAACCATTATAGGTCAAAGTAAGGCCTTTAACACGGAGTCTTGGTATTAATAGTTTATGCTGACCCTCCGTTGCTTTCTTACTTTTTGCGAAATCTGGCAATACAATAACAATTAAGATTATTTTTGATATATTTTTATTTGTCTTATTTTAATACGCAATATCACAAGATTGACCTTACAAGCTAAAAAAAAAGATAACATTCTTATGAAACCCCATTTTTTATGTACTTGTAAATAGCTTGAAAATGCCTCAGAGTGCACCATTTTCAATGTAAGTTCAAAAAAAATTTTTGGGGGGCAAGCCCCCCCTGACCCCCACTTTTTGATCAGCCACTTCAAATTACTAAACAGCCTGTTCATTGAAAAGTTATTGAAAGCCCTGTACTGACGCATGCGTTTTGTTTTAGCTTAAGATCCTTTAAACATTAATGTGATAGATATATTAAACATTGTTTTACACAAGGCTAGAACTGTTTTACTTTCAAAGTTGTTTTCTAGTGATATCTATCAAGTACAGATTTTCAGTACACTCTCATCGTATTTATTTTCTTTTACACCTGCTATTCAAACTTCCAGTTTAAACATACACAAGTTTCTAAATTGTTTTGAGTGATTTTGACTTATTTTAACACTCTTGAAGTGTTCTAGAATCATTTACAAGCAGTTTCAACTTCTATTTGATGATGCAAAACAGGTTTTTCCATGAAAATACCACAAACGACCACACACAATTTGAAATTACCGGAAATTCATTAGACATTTTCTATCAGTTACAAAAAGTTTTTTTACCTGAAATTTAGTGGCGAGAAGGGGGGTGCGGACAATGTACCAGTGCAAACTATACAAGCCCAATTACGTTACTGGTACATAAAAAAAAAAAAAAAAAAAAAAACACCAAAAAAGTGTAATAATGAAGTGAAATGATGAATAAACAGAAAAAATGTTTCCTTATAAAGGTTAAACTTGACAGAAATATGAAATAATTCAACAAGTAGATAGAAAATGTATTAAAATGTTATGTCTTATTTCAGCCGAATCCGTACCAGTTGACATTCCATCTGCCCTTACATAGATATCTAGCCTGCTTTATGGTGCAAGGGATACAGATTCAGGGACTCCATCTCAAAGATATACCTTTAACAGAGAAAATGTTAAAAACCTTATTGATACACCCTCTGCAGATACAGGTATTAGTTGAATGTCATTGCTTGGTATACTATACTTCTAGTAGCTTTGGCATTAAATAACTTTCATTAGTCTGTCTAGATCAAATAAGTTTATAGTATACATTTACTTACAGTTTATCTCTTCCACATATATTATACCTGGTTAAATTAATATAATCAGAGTTTACCAATACAACCATGAAAAATGCAATACTGAGAAGATGGAAAGTAAATGAAATGATAAAATTATCTAAGATAATGCGAAATGATAAGTCAAAAATATAGTGCATCTTGGTTGATAATGCTGGAAAATGTACAATTGCATTATTTTGTTCTCTCTTGAGTTCATAGTGGTAGAACTTAAATTTAATACTTTTGTACATGTGTCCCAAATCTATAACATAAATAAACCTTAACCAATTCTCAATGCTGTGCTATTTTAGGTTTTTCACAAGTTAAGCAGATTCTTTCTTATATTGGTGAGGATTTATTCCCCCTGTTTATCCCCATAATAGCGAAATTTGAAGTGTCGAGTCTGTAACTTTAGTATACACTATCAGATTAATTAATTTTTTAATGTAAACAAATCTTATTAACCACATAGCAGAGATCTAGTCCATTTTGTTCAATTTTCTTTGCAGAGGCTTTCTAATCATGTTGACAGTTGAATTACTACAATAATGTAAAATTAAATGTGTTCCCCATTAGGAATTTCTAAACAAGATGTTGAAAATATCCAAATTTGAGGTCTTCATTCAATTATTATTAGTTTGCCATAAACAGACATGTCTGATGTTGACTGCTATTCCCTTCACTGTAAAGATAATACAGAATTACTTCTGTTTGAGTTATTCTTCCACCTTTTGACACTCCAGGATATGATGTTTATACACATGTGATTTCTCTATAATTAATTACAGGTTGGAATTGCTGAAATATACAGCCAAATGTGGGTTAGAAATGGATTACAGATCAAAGGTCAAGCTATGACCTATATACAATGTCATTTCTGTTACTCAATGGTAGATGCAGACCTATATTTAATGCAGGTAATTGTGAAATGTTTTTTGTTTGATCAGTGGTCAAAATACATCGGAAAAGAATAAGTCAGCATTATATAAACATGATTTACTAAGAAAGAAGAAACAGCACTTTTCTAGTTGTTTTATATCTGGACAGTTTATAGGAAGGTCTTCAGTGATGAATTACAGATCTTTCATGTAACAAAAAGATTAAAACTGTCCCTTATGTTGAAATTATTTGATATAGTGCAGTATATATGTAACACTATCAAACGTGTCAATCACCCAAAACCTGACTGTCTCACTGAAACATGTCCATTTCACTCAAGTATGTCCTTTTTAAATTCAAATCTCCCCCTAACATGTCAGAGTATTGTCCTTGCTCAAACATGTTCGTATTATTACCTTACCAAAAATAGTCTTTTATCGTTAAATTGTCCTCTGTGACATCAATAATGTCTGTCCTCTAATAATAAGTTTTGTTTGTACTTCAACATACAATTTTATTGGCAAGTTGTCTTATCTGTATGTTTTTTTGGTTGAGAATATGATATAATTTGAAATAGTGAGTAAAACTACTTTTAAGCGTACAAAATGTTTGGATAGTTGTTTGTTTGTATGAATGAAGTCGTGTGCATTTCATTGATAAATTGACAATAATGGAATTGAGCATGTGATGTTGCTGCACTGATATATGACATCATTGCCTAATATTTTCGAGTATCAAGTCCTGTCCATGATCTTAAAAATTTAGGCAGTAAGATCAAAGGGAAAATGAACAAATTGCTGATAAACAACAGTATTGTCTATTCAATTTATACTTTTTAGTAAAAGTTGAATTTCTACTTCCTATCCTTCTTTTTGTAAATAATTGGGAAGGACAAAGTACAACTTGGTGCTAATTTTGCCCTGTAAATTGACTGAAATAAAATAATGGATGATAGTATTATTGGATACATTTTTAATATGCTAAGTTTATGCCTTTACTGTCTTTTCATGGTGATATTACAAACAGATGGCTCATATTTTAAAAATAAAACAAAATTGTTTCATTAAAGTAAATAGATGCATCATTTAATTCTGCGAGAAAATTTAATATACAATTATTTGAAGGCTTATGCTTGTCTGCTTATTTCATAGTTGTTTTCCAGGGTTCACTTTCTTATATAGTAAACACAAATAAAATTTATTATTCCAGATTTGTGCTTGTAAACTTGATCCAGATTACTTTGTAAGAACAGTTTTAGAAAGGTAAGACAACTTCTGTTTAAATTTACTGTGACTACTGGACTGTAAGTGTTTCACTCTTTGTTATATAAATGTCCATTCAAAAATGTAAAGGTGGTAATTTTTGAATTTCTATTTAATTGACAAAATCATTCTTGTATGTTTTCAATTTTCAAATGTATTTTTATCTAAAAAAAAAGTGAATTCATACCAAATTCAGAAATGTTCACTGTCACCTGGAAGAGCATTAAAACCCACAAATGATAGTAATCATAAAAGGAGAAGGGATGATTAGAACTTATTATTTTGCCCTTAAACATAGTACAGTACATTCTTTCGAAACTGTGCTTATATTATTGATAAATGACTTTGATAATTTAGGCTGGTCACTTTACTGCTGTAATTTCAAGAGTGATGTCACTGTGGCATCCTAAACATGTCAAAATAGACAGATTATTAATGTCGCTGTGACATCATAAAAATGTCCCAAAGGATAGATTTGACCAAAACAAATTTTTACATTTTACATTTTACATTTAGTTTTTTGTAGCATTAAATATGAACAGTGTGCCTTACTCAAAAGTTTGTTGGACTCTCATCACATCTTTGTACAATACATCTAGATTTCTGTTTTTTAAATGGCTGTTTCCCATATTTTAAATAATAATAGAAAGATCTCAAAATTAAGCAAAGTACAATGAGTAATATGTGTTGATAACAATTTATGAACTATAGTCTTTTATTTATAGGAGGAAAGCTAACTGTAGGATAGAATTTTTTATTTAATTTTGTCTGTTGTTTTAAAGGGCCAGTGAATCACATCAGTAATTGTGTTGGGCTATATTTCAATGTAATATCAATGTACAAGTGTCTATATGTTATTTGTCTTCCAGGTTCCATATAGACAATTGGTTATCCTACTCCACCACACCACCTCCTATGAATGTGAAGCTTGAAGGAGACCATGAAACAGCTATGGTAGATGCTGTATTGACCTACTTTAGTACATTGTTAGGAATCAGGACATATCTAGGTATTATATCTAGTTCAGTTGAGCATGAATGCAGTCTTTTAAATGTAATCTACTGTGGATTAATTTATTTTCGTGGGTTATCAATTTTCGTGGATTGAGGAACACTTGCATTTTCGTGGATATTTGATTTCGTGGTTTTGCCAATCTCTGCATACAAAGCCAAATTAACATTTGTAATTTGTTGAACATTTGAATTCGTGGTTCACCTGTACCCATGAAACCCACGAAAATTGGTATCCAACGAATAATAATGAATCCACAGTATATAGAAAGGCTTTTAATTTATGAAATTTCTATCAGTCACTACTTAGTCATGCTCCATTGACTTTGGAATTTTCATTTTGTGACAATTCATAGAACTACAAAAAGAAGCATTCAAATCATAAAGCTTTTGTCTTGTTTTGTTTAAATAGTCCTATGCACTATGATAATATTGTTATGGAGAGTTTTTCAGTAATGGATGTTGTGGGGGCAAGACATATATCTGTGTGAACAAATTTTATTTCAAGAATAGCTCTTAAAGAGGGTTTGAAATATTTATTGTAGGAATTAAAGAAGTCAACTTGACAAGACTAGAAATGTCTACATTATTGTGTATGGCAGACCGACAGCACAGTCAACTGATGGATTTAATGCCAGAAAAATCTGGTATGACTGGTCATGGCAAGGAATTGTTTGAACCCACTCTGAAAGAGGTACTTTAATTCTAAGTGATGGTTATGAAAGGAATGCTTTATATTTGCACAAATTTTTGTGAAGTTAACCTTATATAAGCAATTGTGCCACACAATAATGGTTAATGAAATATTTTTGAATTCCATGTGTCATAGACAAATCTAGCTAAATGCAAACATTTTACAAAATTCAGAGAACAATTGAAGGTCTTTCCACCCATAAAGATCAATTTTGATATAGAACTATTAAAATTCAGTTTGATATATCATATCCAGCGTCAAATGATAGCTTATTGTACACTGATTCCAAAAATATATGGTTCCTATACATTTTTTTTTTAAATAAGGGAGATACATTGTTACTTCCGGTTTGAAAAATGTCACTTCCGTTTTTTTTTTATAGTTTACTTGATACTGATTCCAAAAATATATGGTTCAATATACTTTAACATTTAATAAGTACAAAAAATAGCTACTTCCGGTTTACACATGGTCACTTCCAGTTGGCTTTTCCATGGTCAAGTGGCTTGCAACATAATGCAAAAAGTCCCATGGCTTTATCATGTATACATATGAGGTAAAAGCAAAGGTCAATATCTAGAACGTCAAATTTACCAATGACATTGAGCTCAATTTCAAGGTCATAAACCAAGGGCTTCAAATCAAAAGACCATAGGTCTTAATTATACATGGTTAATGAGTTATATCACTATATGCCAAATTATACCCCACGCAACAAGTTGCGGAGGGTTAATGTTTTTGACCCGTCCGTCCGTCCGTCCTTCTGTCCGTCCGTCCGTCCGTCTGTCTGCCCGTCAGTCCTGTTTCTTGTCATCGCAACTCCTCTCAAACCACACAACAGAATTTCACGAAACCTTTTTAGATAATAAGGACATACTATGTAGTTGTGCATATCGACAGGAAATTACGATTCAATTTTTTTTCCAGGAGTTACGCCCCTTTGAACTTATTTGCCCAATATACTACTGCAACCTTTTGTCATCGCAACTCCTCTCAAACCACACAACAGAATTTCATGAAACCTTTTCAGATAATAAGGACAAACTACGTAGCTGTGCATATCGACAGGAAATTATGATTCAATTTTTTTCCAGGAGTTACGCCCCTTTGAACTTATTTGCCCAATATACTACTGCAACCTTTTGTCATCGCAACTCCTCTCAAACCACACAACAGAATTTCATGAAACCTTTTCAGATAATAAGGACATACCAAGTAGATGTGCATATCGACAGGAAATTACGATTCAATTTTTTTTCCAGGAGTTACACCCTTTGAACTTATTTGCCCAATATACTAATGCAACCTTTTGTCATCGCAACTCCTCTCAAACCACACAACAGAATTTCATGAAAATGTGTAGATAATAAGGACATACTATGTAGATGTGCATATTGACAGGAAATTATGATTCAATTTTTTTTTCTGATACAATTTTTTTTCTTACACTTATTTTATTTCTCCAATGACAATGTGGGGACGTGGGGTATGTGAAATGCTCACTAAGGTTCTTTCATTTTTATACGACCGCAAAAATTTTTTTTGGATCGTATATTGGTATGATGTCGTCGTCGTCGTCTTCTTCGTCGTCCGAAGACACATTGGTTTCCGGACAGTAACTTTAGTTTAAGTAAATGGATCTCTATGAAATTTTTTAAGAAGTTCAATACCACAAAAGGAAGGTTGGGATTGATTATGGGGATGATGGTCCCAACTGTCTAGGAATTAGGGGCCCAAAAGGGGCCCAAAACAAGCATTTTTCTAGTTTCAGGATAATAACTTGTGTATAAGTATTTTGATTGCTCTGAAATTGTACCACAATGTTTAATACCACAAGTGGAAGGTTGGGATTCATTTAAGGGGTTATGGGGCCAACAGTTTAGGAATTAAGGGCCAAAAAGGGGCCAAAAACAAGCATTTTTCTAGTTTCCGGACAATAACTTGTGTGTAAGTGTATGGATCTCTCTGACATTGTACCGCAAGGTTCCATATAACAAAGGGAAGGCTGTGATTGAGTTTGGGGTTAATTGCCCCAAACATGTGGGAATTAGGAGTCAAAAAAGGGCCAAAAACAAGCATTTTTCTAGTTTCCAGACAATAACTTGTGTTATAGTGTATTGATCTCTCTGAAATTGTACTACAATGTTCCATACTACAAAGGAAAGGCTGGGATTGAGTTTTGGGGTTATTGCTCCAAGGGGCCTTGAAGGGGATTTCAAAAATGAGGGGGGGGGGGGGGGGATTTTTTTTCCAATTTTTTAAAGGGATTCATAATTTTTTTTCAAAATTTTTCAAATTTCTAATTTTTGAAAAGTTTCAAGAAGAAATCTTCAATTGCACAGTTTTGCACAATAGATTTGTAAGATCTTTGACCACGTTTATTTTGTGTCAGAAACCTATATTATGTCAAAAATTTGATTACAATCCAAATTCAGACAGTATCAAGCTTGAGTATTGTGTCCAAATTTGCCCAAACTGTTCAGGGTTCGACCTCTGTGGTGTGTTACGACATGTCGCAACTTACAATTTAGTAAAAAAACTTGTTGTCAATATCTTATACGGTTTTTGAAAAGAATTGAAAATAAGCCAAAATCAAAATTTAAAATATGACCTTGACCTCTGACCTTGACCTTATTTTCTTTTCTTTGGACCAAGGACCTCAAATAAAAAGATACTAGGTCTCTATCACTTATGGTTTACAAGATAGAAATGCATATCACTTATATCAAATGCATAAGGGGAAATAACTCTCATATGGAGTGTTCGTATGGCTTCGGTCAAAATTGAACAAATCATGCAAAGGATATAACGAGCAATTTTATAAAATAAATTTGTCGCTTTCTTATACTGTTACGGAGGAGATGCAGTCACAAGAAAAACAGTGTTCGAGGAGATAACTCCTACAAAGAAAAGTATTTGGTTACGCAGGGTAAATTTCAAAGGCGCATAAACTGTTCCATATCATATACCAAACATCTAAGCGACATCTTGCGAAACAAAATTAATACGCAAGAAATAAAAGTGGCGGAAGAAGAAAAAAAAAAAAAAATTAAAAACCAATTGTTCAGAGAACAATTGAAGGTCTTTCCACCCATAAAGATCAATTTTGATATTGAAATATTAAAACTCAGTTAAATACATCATATCCAGCGTCAAATGATAGCTTATTGACACTGATTCCAAAAATATATGGTTTCTATACATTTTTTTCTAAATAAGGGAGATAAATTGTTACTTCCGGTTTGAAAAATGTCACTTCCGGTTTTATTTGATAGTTTACTTGATACTGATTCCAAAAATATATGGTTCAATATACTTTTACATTAAATAAGTACAAAAAATAGCTACTTCCGGTTTACACCAGGTCACTTCCGGTTGGCTTTTCCATAGTCAAGTGGCTTGCCACGTAATGCAAAACGTCCCATGGCTTTATCATGTATACATATGAGGTAAAAGCAAAGGTCAAAATCTAGAACGTCAATTTTACCTATGACCTTGAGCTCAATTTCAAAGTCATAAACCAAGGGCTTCAAATCAAAAGACTATAGGTCTTAATTATATATGTTTAATGAGTTATATCACTATATGCTTAACTTTTAATAAAAGAGGGGAGAAAACTCCAATTTAATGTTAGCGTACCCTTTTAACCAAAATTTATGTGTTACGACATGTCGCAACTTACAATTTAGTAAAAATATGTTGTCGATATCTTATACGGTTTTTGAAAAGAATTGAAAATAAGCCAAAATCAAAATTTAAAATATGACCTTGACCTCTGACCTTGACCTAATTTTCTTATTTTTGGATCAAGGACCTCAAATAAAAAGATACTAGGTCTCTATCACTTATGGTTTACAAGATAGAAATGCATATCACTTATATCAAATGCATAAGGGGAAATAACTCTCATATGGAATATTCATATAGCTTCGGTCAAAATAGGACAAATCATGCAAAGGATAAAACGAGCAATTTTATAAAATAAATTTGTCGCTTTCTTTTACGGTTACTGAGGAGATGCAGTCACAAGGAAAACAGTGTTCGGGGAGATAACTCCTGCAAAGAAAATTGTTCGGCTTAGAATGGGTGAAAATAAAAAGCGCATAAACTGTATGATACTATATAAGAAATATCTAAGCGACATCTTGCGAAACAAATATTTTACGCGAGAACAAAATTAGGCGGAAGAAAATAATAATAATCAGAACAAATACAATAGGTCTTTCCATTGAAAAGTGGAAAGACCTAATTAGAGTGTTCATGTTGAAAAAAAAATCACTTTATATATTGGCATATGTTTTGAGCAAAATTTAAATTAATTTATTTTCTTAGTGTTTTATTTCAATTAAATGAAATATGTGGATAAAAGCCAACATACCCTTTTATTTCAAAATTTGGGCCACATATGTGTAGTAACTAAATATTGAACAAAGGTTTATCATGAAAAAAATCAATTAAAAATGATTGCTCTTTACCATGGTACTGATGGCATCAAGAAGAAATGTGGCACCCCACCCCACCCTACCCTATAAAAAATTTTTTGTGGTCGTATATTGGTATGATGTCAGCGTCGTCGTCGTCGTCCGAAGACACATTGGTTTTCGCACTCTAACTTTAGTTTAAGTGAATGGATCTCTATGAAATTTTACCATAAGGTTGAATACCACAAAAGGAAGGTTGGGATTGATTTTGGGGGTTATGGTACCAACAGTTTAGGAATTCAGGGCTAAAAAGGGGCCAAAAATAAGCATTTTCTAGTTTCAAGACAATAACTTGTGGAACGGTGTATAGATCTCTCTGAAATTATACCACAAGTTTCCATACCACAAAGGGATGGTTAGGATTTGCTTTTGGGGGTTATGGCTCAAACCGTTTAGGAATTAGGGGCAAAAAAGAGGGAAAAATAAGGTTGTCCTGGTTAATGGACAAATAGTTTAGTACAAAACATAATTTAAAGCAGTGTAAGGGAGATAAATCAAATACATCATTTGAATTACCTCCCTTACACTGCTTTTAAATTATGTATAAAGTAATGGCTAATGAACAATTAAGACAATTTAAAACAGTGTAAGGGAGGTAATCCAAATACAACATTTTGATTACTTCCCTTACACTGCTTTCAAATTATGTTTAAAGAAATGCATATTTATAAAGGAAGACCAGTAAAAATATCTACAAATGTTGCATCTTTTTTTTTTTTACAAAAAATCCGTATGAAAGATTTGACACCATTTTTAAATTCTATTATAAAACATATTAAGTTAGCACTATGGTAAATTTAAATGGGTAATTATGGTTGCAAATTCCATTGGAATTTTTGTGGGAGGTCAATTTTTTCTCATTTCAGATTTCAGAAATTAAAAAGATTTATTCTCAAATATTATTTTTTTTTCAAATTTCAAATATTGAAAATTTCATGAAGTAATCTTTAATTGCACAGTATGGCACATTAGATTTGTAAAATATTTGACCACATTTATTTATTTGTTATGCCGAATCTAACGATGTATTTAGATTTTTAATTTTGGGTCCAGTTTTCAAATTGGTCTACATTAAGGTCCAAAGGGTCCAAAATTAAAGTTAGTTTGATTTAAACAAAAATTGAATATATGGGGTTCTTTGATATGCTGAATCTAAACATGTATTTAGATTTTTATACGACCGCAAAAAAATTTTTGTGGTCGTATATTGGTATGACGTTGGCGTCGTCGTCGTCGTCGTCGTCCGAAGACGCATTAGTTTTCGCACTCTAACTTTAGTTTAAGTGAATGGATCTCTATGAAATTTTACCATAAGGTTGAATACCACAAAAGGAAGGTTGGGATTGATTTTGGGGGTTATGGTACCAACAGTTTAGGAATTCAGGGCTAAAAAGGGGCCAAAAATAAGCATTTTCTAGTTTCAAGACAATAACTTGTGGAACGGTGTATAGATCTCTCTGAAATTATACCACAAGTTTCCATACCACAAAGGGATGGTTAGGATTTGCTTTTGGGGGTTATGGCTCAAACCGTTTAGGAATTAGGGGCAAAAAAGAGGGAAAAATAAGGTTGTCCTGGTTAATGGACAAATAGTTTAGTACAAAACATAATTTAAAGCAGTGTAAGGGAGATAAATCAAATACATCATTTGAATTACCTCCCTTACACTGCTTTTAAATTATGTATAAAGTAATGGCTAATGAACAATTAAGACAATTTAAAACAGTGTAAGGGAGGTAATCCAAATACAACATTTTGATTACTTCCCTTACACTGCTTTCAAATTATGTTTAAAGAAATGCATATTTATAAAGGAAGACCAGTAAAAATATCTACAAATGTTGCATCTTTTTTTTTTTTACAAAAAATCCGTATGAAAGATTTGACACCATTTTTAAATTCTATTATAAAACATATTAAGTTAGCACTATGGTAAATTTAAATGGGTAATTATGGTTGCAAATTCCATTGGAATTTTTGTGGGAGGTCAATTTTTTCTCATTTCAGATTTCAGAAATTAAAAAGATTTATTCTCAAATATTATTTTTTTTTCAAATTTCAAATATTGAAAATTTCATGAAGTAATCTTTAATTGCACAGTATGGCACATTAGATTTGTAAAATATTTGACCACATTTATTTATTTGTTATGCCGAATCTAACGATGTATTTAGATTTTTAATTTTGGGTCCAGTTTTCAAATTGGTCTACATTAAGGTCCAAAGGGTCCAAAATTAAAGTTAGTTTGATTTAAACAAAAATTGAATATATGGGGTTCTTTGATATGCTGAATCTAAACATGTATTTAGATTTTTATACGACCGCAAAAAAATTTTTGTGGTCGTATATTGGTATGACGTTGGCGTCGTCATCGTCGTCGTCGTCGTCGTCCGAAGACGCATTAGTTTTCGCACTCTAACTTTAGTTTAAGTGAATGGATCTCTATGAAATTTTACCATAAGGTTCAATACAACAAAAGGAAGGTGGGGATTGATTTTGGGGGTTATGGTACCAACAGTTAAGGAATTAGGGGCCAAAAAGGGGCCAAAAATAAGCATTTTCTAGTTTCCAGACAATAACTGTGGAACGGTGTATGGATCTCTCTGAAATTATACTACAAGTTTCCATACGACAAAGGGATGGTTAGGATTTGCTTTGAGGGGTTATGGCTCAAACCATTTAAGAATTAGGGGCAAAAAAGGGGGAAAACAAGGTTGTCCTGGTTAATGGACAAATACTTTAGTACAAAACATAATTTAAAGCAGTGTAAGGGAGATAAATCAAATACATCATTGAAATTATCTCCCTTACACTGCTTTTAAATTATGTATAAAGTAATGGTTAATGAACAATTAAGATAATTTAAAACAGTGTAAGGGAGGTAATCCAAATACAACGTTTTGGTTACTTCCCTTACACTGCTTTTAAATTATGTTTAAAGAAATGCATATTTATAAAGGAAGACCAGTAAAAATATCTGCAAATGTTGCATCTTTTTTTTTTACAAAAAAATCCATATGAAAGATTTGACACTATATTTTAAATTCTATTATAAAATAGATTAAGTTAGCACTATGGTAAATTTAAATGGGTAATTATGGTTTGGGGGAAAAAATTGGGGGGGGGGGGTAAAAAAAATTGTGGGGGGTCAAATTTTTCTCATTTCAGATTTCAGAAATTAAAAAGAATTATTCTTCAAATATATTTTTTTTTTCAAATTTCAAATATTGAAAAATTTCAAGAAGTAATCTTTAATTGCACAGTATGGCGCATTAGATTTGTAAAATCTTTGACCACATTTATTTATTTGTTATGCCGAATCTAACGATGTATTTAGATTTTTAATTTTGGATCCAGTTTTCAAATTGGTCTACATTAAGGTCCAAAGGGTCCAAAATTAAAATTTGTTTGATTTTAACAAAAATTGAATATATGGGGTTCTTTGATATGCTGAATCTAAACATGTATTTAGATTTTTGATTTTTGGCCCAGTTTTCAAGTTGGTCCAAAGTGGGGTCCAAAATTAAACTTTGTTTGATTTCAACAAAAATTGAATATATATGGGGTTCTTTGATATGCTGAATCTAACCATGTATTTAGATTTTTTATTTGTGGACCCCGCTATCAAATTGGTTCATATTGAGGTCAAAAGGGTCCAAAATTAAACTTTGTTTGATTTCATCAAAAATTGAATTATTGGGGTTCTTTGATATGCCAAATCTAACCGTGTATTTAGATTTTTAATTTTGGGTCCCGTTTTTTAAATTGGTCTACATTAAGGTCCAAAGGGTCCAAAATTAAACTTAGTTTGATTTTAACAAAAATTGAATTCTTGGGGTTCTTTGATATGCTGAATCTAAACATGTGTTTAGATTTTTGATTATGGGCCCAGTTTTCAAGTTGGTCCAAGTTGGGGTCCAAAATTAAACTTTGTTTGATTTCAACAAAAATTGAATATATGGGGTTCTTTGATATTCTGAATCTAAACATGTATTTAGATTTTAGATTTTTGGCCCAGTTTTCAAGTTGGTCCAAACTGGGGTCCAAAATTAAACTTTGTTTGATTTCAACAAAAATTGAATATATGGGGTTCTTTGATATGCTGAATCTTACCATGTATTTAGATTTTTTATTTGTGGGCCCGCTATCAAATTGGTTCATATTGAGGTCAAAAGGGTCCAAAATTAAACTTTGTTTGATTTCATCAAAAATTTAATTATTGGGGTTCTTTGATATGCCAAATCTAACCGTGTATTTAGATTTTTAATTTTGGGTCCCGTTTTTTGAATTGGTCTACATTAAGGTCCAAAGGGTCCAAAATTAAACTTAGTTTGATTTTAACAAAACTTGAATTTTTGGGGTTCTTTGATATGCTGAATCTAAACATGTGTTTAGATTTTTGATTATGAGCCCAGTTTTCAAGTTGGTCCAAGTTGGGGTCCAACAAAATTAAACTTTGTTTGATTTCAACAAAAATTGAATATATGGGGTTCTTTGATATGCTGAATCTAAACATGTATTTAGATTTTAGATTTTTGGCCAAGTTTTCAAGTTGGTCCAAAAAGGGGGTTCCAAAATTAAACTTTGTTTGATTTCAACAAAAATTGAATATATGGGGTTCTTTGATATGCTGAATCTTACCTTGTATTTAGATGTTTTATTTGTGGGCCCGCTATCAAATTGGTTCATATTGAGGTCAAAAGGGTCCAAAATCCAACTTTGTTTGATTTCATCAAAAATTGAATTATTGGGGTTCTTTGATATGCCAAATCTAACCGTGTTTTTAGATTTTTAATTTTGGGTCCCGTTTTTTAAATTGGTCTACATTAAGGTCCAAAGGGTCCAAAATTAAACTTAGTTTGATTTTAACAAAAAATGAATTCTTGGGGTACTTTGATATGCTGAATCTAAACATGTGTTTAGATTTTTGATTATGGGACCAGTTTTCAAGTTTGTCCAAGTTGGGGTCCAAAATTAAACTTTGTTTGATTTCAACAAAAATTGAATATATGGGGTTCTTTGATATGCTGAATCTAACCATGTATTTAGATTTTTAATTTGTGGGCCCCACTATCAAATTGGTTCATATTGAGGTCAAAAGGGTCCAAAATTAATCTTTGTTTGATTTCATTCAAAATTGAATTATTGAGGTTCTTTGATATCCCAAATCTAACCGTGTATTTAGATTTATAATTTTGGGTCGCGTTTTTTAAATTGGTCTACATTAAGGTCCAAAGGGTCCAAAATTAATCTTAGTTTGATTTTAACAAAAATTGAATTCTTGGGGTTCTTTGATATGCTGAATCTAAACATGTGTTTAGATTTTTGATTATGGGCCCAGTTTTCAAGTTGGTCCAAGTTGGGGTCCAAAATTAAACTTTGTTTGATTTCAACAAAAATTGAATACATGGGGTTCTTTGATATGCTGAATCTAACCATGTATTTTGATTTTTGGGCCCCGTTATCAAATTGGTCCACATTGAGGTCAAAAGGGTCCAAAATTAAACTTTGTTTGATTTCATCAAAAATAGAATTCTTTGGATTCTTTGATATGCTGAATCTAACCATGTATTTAGATTTTGGATATTGGACCATAATAGGTAAATTAAAAAAAATTAAGTTCTTAGACCACATTCATTCTGTGTCAGAAACCTATGATGTGTCAACTATTTATTCACAATCCAAATTCAGAGCTGTATCAAGCTTGAATGTTGTGTCCATACTTGCCCCAACTGTTCAGGGTTCGACCTCTGCGGTCATATCAAGCTGCGCCCAGTAGAGCATTTTATTATTATTTCATGTTATGAGCTTGAGATCACTTTATTTTTGGTATTAGTAATTAGATAGAAATCTAATGTGATTTTTATACTTCTTCACAATTCTCCAATTGCAAAAGTTTGCTTTTAAAAGTGATTATATCAGTTTGAACTCTTACTATCATGTGATTTGTATGAAGAAAATATTAAAATATAAAATTGCAGGTGGCAGATTATAAAGCTCCTAATCTGGAGGCGAGTGGTGGATTACAGCAAGGGACATATAAACCTAAAGGTTAGAAATTTTTCTGTACAACAAAATAGGGCTGGAGTTTGATAGGCTGATTCATTTATGCTTACACATTGTGTCGATTTAAGGAAATTGCAAAGTAAACATTTATGATTTGCCAAAATATCAAGTCTAAATATGGTTTGACATTACATGGTAGTCATGCAGTCTTGATCTTTGACTTATGATTTGCTGATATATCAAGTCTAATGATAGCGTTACATGGTAGTCATGCAGTCTTAAATGTTTTAGCTTGTCATTTGCCAAATGACTACCATGTACTTTTATTTCAATAGACACCCCTATACCATAACATAGAAGCCCAAATTGAGGTTATACCATTAGGTTAAATGTTAACCATAACATGTAAATCAGTTGAATATAGTTTACGGTAACAAAGGAAAATTCCACTGTATTTTAACCGAAAGGAGAATTCATTCCTGTAAAGATATCTGCCGGATACAGAATAACTCTTATTCACCAGATACAGGATATAACTTTTACCGGATCTATATAAATAGGGTGCAACTATAATCCATCATTCTGCCTCTGAAAAAAGTCTGTGAAGGACCGAAACCAGTCAGGCTTTGAACCATCACCAGGCACTGTTAATTATGTGTTTTGTTAACATTTTAATTGTTGCACAGGTGTAGTCAGAAGTGATGACACCAATTAACCCGAGATCGAATGATCAACAGATTAACTATCATCAAATGTGTTAATTGGGACATAACCCTGTTACTTAAAAAAAACGGTTACATAAAAAAGGCTACAAATGTTCTTTGAATTGTAGATTTAATTCTTATGAAATGAAAAAATAAGCCCAATATAAACTTTTTTTTTGGTATGAGAAATATGAGGAGATCAAATCAACACTTCATCACATATCATCACCAGAAGTCTGGCTTTCATCGATCAAAACTAATTTTTCATGAACAATAAAATGTTGAAAGTCGTACAGTTTAGGTTTATTGAAGATTACATGGGGATCTTTCCATGTCTTGATTTGGACACAGTTGTTATATTTCATTGGACATTTAGATTCGTGGATAAAGCCATCCACGATAACCATGAAAATTGGTACCCCACGAAATAGCACGAATAAAAGCACTTTCACAGTAATATGTAAATGCTTTTACATGTATATTGTATTTGTCAGGAGAAATTTGGGAGAAAGATTTTGACCCAGTCCATGTGGCAATAAGAGCTTTATACAAGAAAGACTTACAGTCATCTATGGACAGATATACAGATTAGTAAGATATTCTTTGTTTATTTGACATCAAAATTACATCATGAAACAAAGAAAAAAAAAACTATCTCAAATTATCTTTTTTTTTAAATCATAGAACTGAAGATTTTCTATTTTCTTTCATCAAATGCAGTAGAGCCTTTCTATGCCTTACATTTTGCTGCCAAGTGAATAGTTTTTATACGACCGCAAATTTTGCAGTCGTATATTGGTATGACGTCGTCGTCGTCCGAAGACACATTAGTTTTCACACTCTAACTTTAGTTTAAGTGAATGGATCTCTATGAAATTTTACCATAAGGTTTAATACCACAAAAGGAAGGTGGGGATTATGGTACCAACAGTTCAGGAACTAGGGGCCAAAAAGGGGCCAAAAATAAGCATTTTTGTAACTTCCAGACATAACTTGTGTGTTAGTGTATGGATCTCTCTGACATTGTACCACAAGGTTCCATATCACAAAGGGAATGCTGGGATTGATTTTGGGGGCTATTGCCTCCAAATTTTAGGAATTAGGGCCAAAAAGGGGCAAACAACAAGCATTTTTCTAGTTTCATGACAATAACTTGTGTGTAAGTGTATGAATCTTTATGAAAATGTACTACAAGGTTCCATATCACTAAGGGCAAGCTGGAATTGATTTTGGGGGTAATTGCCCAAAACGTTTAGGAATTGGGGGCCAAAAATAAGCATTTTCCTAGTTTCCAGACAATAACTTGTGTTCAAGTGTATGGATCTCTCTGAAATTGTACTGCAAGGTACCATACCACAAAGGGAAGGCTGGGATTGATTTTGGGGGTAATTGCCTCAAAATTATAGGAATTAGGGGCCATAAAGGGGCAAAAAAACAAGCATTTTCTAGTTTCAGGACAATAACTTGTGTGTAAGTGTATTGATCTTTATGAAATTGTACTACAAGGTTCCATATCACAAAGAGAAAGCTGGGTTTGAGTTTGGGGGTAATTGCCCTAAACGTTTAGGAATTGGGGGCCAAAAAGGGGCAAAAAAACAAGCATTTTTCCAGTTTCCAGACAATAACTTGTGTTCAAGTGTATGGATCTCTCTGAAATTGTACTGCAAGGTACCATACCACAAAGGGAAGGCTGGGATTGACTTTGGGGGTGATGAATCATAAGGGGGTTCCCTAAATTTTTTTTGGGGGGGGGGGGATTTTTTTCCCTTTTTTTTCTTTAAAATTTTCCATTTTTAATTGGTTATTTCTGATTTATATATAAAAGCAAATAATAATGATATGGTTTGAATAGGTAAATTAAAATTTTTTAAGTTCTTAGACCACATTCATTCTGTGTCAGAAACCTATGCTGTGTCAAATATTTAATTACAATCCAAATTCAGTGCTGTATCAAGCTTGAATGTTGTGTCCATACTTGCCCCAACTGTTCAGGGTTCGACCTCTGCGGTCGTATCAAGCTGCGCCCCAGTGGAGCATTTTATTCATTTTTAAATTCCAAATATATATAAAAGGAATGTAAATCATATTTTTTAAAACACTTTTGTTTTGATACTTATATTTACTTGTAATTTTAGGGTGATGGTACCTGTGACAGAGGTTGAAACTGTTATTAGTTCAATGATTCTAGCTATACACTTTCTTAATTTGCTTAGGTCCAAACTTGCATTCTCTGATAAAATGTGCACCATAGTGCATGGTGAATATAATGTCTAATGGTTGACACAGATTTTTCTCTCTCGTTGTTGAGTTTTCAATGTTTTAGAACTCCAAATTCATACTTATTATATGATTGAGTTATTTCCCTTTGAACAGAAATTATGATTTGCAAATATCATTTTCATTAGATAATAATCTATTTTTATTAATGGATTTCATTACATTACATTGTGTAGATAAAATTGTTGACATTGATAGATAAGTTGCAGATCTATATTAGTTTGTGACAAATGAAAGAAAAAATATTGGGAACTATGAATTATATATATAAAGTTTGATTACACTAAGTGTTTTTAAATAATTTTCACCTGTTAATAGATAACAAAACATCTGGTAAAGTGTTGATGATAAGATCTGTAGGACAGTATAAATGAAGTTTGAAATTTACTGTTCATTATAAGACATTTTGAAGATAATTACAGATAAGTTTTATAGATTTTTAATAGATATTGTATTAATGATAAATGACATTTTGGATTTTTTTTCATCTTTTCTTTTGTGAATTGTTTGAAGAATTTGTTTGTTGTTCAGTATAAACTTATTTTCTGAATGCTATATGTATATTTTTTTTTGATGAAGCAAACTCCTTTAAAAACTAAGCTTAGTTTGTCTATTAATAAACATATATTTAGATTTCTGATTTTGGGCCCAGTTTTCAAGTTGGTCCAAATCGGGGTCTAAAATTATACTGTGTTTGATTTCAACATAAATTGAATATATATAGGGTTCTTTGAAAAGCTGAATCTAAACCTGTAATTATTTTCATTATTAATTATATAATACCCCATTGAGGTCCACAGGGTCCTAAATTAAACTTTTATTTGATTTCATCAACAATTCAAAAATTGAATTCATTTTGTGTCACAAACCTATACTGTGTCAAATATTCAATCACAATCCAAATTCAGAGCTGTTTTAAGCTTAAATTTTGTGTCCATACTTGCTCAACTGTTCAGGGTTCGACCTCTGCAGGAAAATCCGGTTTGCTGTCACTCTGACAGCCTCTTGTTTAAATCTGAATTGTTACTTATGACAAATGGAAGTCTGGTTGGATATTGTTGATTTTCACTTTGACCCTTCCAGATTGGCACTTTATGTCGTTTCCATGCAATAACTTATAAAATGTTCATCCAATGCTTTTCAAATATTAATACAGTCGACTCTCGTTATCTCGAAGTCAGCCGGACCAGAGAAATATTTCGAGATACCCGTAGTTCGACTCAAACGAAAACCAGAAGTTTGACAATTTGTCCCTGTGGCTTTTAGTTAAGAGAGTCATTTCCATTCGATCTTAGCGTTATTTTAAAGTTGACAAAATTATTCATTCTCGTATACAAGAGATTTAAAAAAATTTAGATTTGTTTAAATTTTCTTTCATTAAAATATTTTTCTGCAAGAGAAAATACAAAAAAAAAATAAATAAAGACGCTGATTGAGTAGTTTTTGGGTTGATCACCAACGGAAGTCTTAATCCCCACTTTATACACAGCCAAGCTCATTATATATGATTATGATTAATTGTTTTTAAAACATTTTAAATAATTTTTCATAAACTGTAACAATGTATCACTAATTATTTATCATGGTGATCAAAGATAATATTAGGTAAACACTCATGGAAAAAGCATGTCATAAATCAATACAGTGGTCAGTAGCCGGAAATTTAATTACATGTGTATTGTCAGTTTAACTCTTCAGTCCATTTAAATCCCGAGGTCATGTTTTGACATATGTGTTTTAGTTCGAGATAAATATGAATTTTGAATAGTTTTGTTAACCTTAGGACCGTAAATTTAGTTCGAGTCAACCGAAATTTCGACTCATCAGGAGTCGAAATGCATATATTTATATGGAACAAAGTTCTGGACCACGAGAAAACTTCGACTCATCCGAAATTTTGAGTCAACCGAGTTCGAGACAACGAGAGTTAACTGTATGTTGTAACTGATGACAAATTGAGGTCAAGTTTGATATTGATAATTTTCACTTTTGCCATTCTGGAGTTATGGTTCTTGATAGATTGGAAAATGTCTCTTGATTTTTTGTTGCTTTTATCAAATGTTTTTGATCAAGATAATGGATTGGTCATCCAGTGACAAATATTACATGCATATTATGTTTTTATGTTGCTTTTATCAAATTCTAACGTGATTGGAATATGCTGTCAGGAGACCTTTGAGATGGTTCAAAGCTTTTGGAATTTATAACGCTTAAGTAAAAATTGTGAGATAATAAAACTTTAATTTGATCTTCAAAATTGACTAAATATCATTATTTCTTTATATCAAATGTATTGTAACTTGGGGTTATAAGTGGACATGAACAGGACCCTTACCTATTGGGTCAGTTTTCCAGTCATAGTTATGGTAAATTTTCATTTTTTTACAGTGTAAAACAGACAGGCAAATTCAAAGGGAAAGCATCACCATGGCCACCATTCAGATGTCCAAGGGAAATAAATCCTGAATACAAAGATCTATATAAGATATTGCACTGCAAAACTATGCATTCATTCTTGTTTACTGTTATGCATAAGGTAAGATTTTCTAAGATAACATCTGCATGGCAACTATTTTGATTTTGATATTCATAGAAGGAAACTGATTTACACAAGATGTTTTATTGTTTAAGTCATCTATTCCTAGCAAATCAGTTATCAATGGATAAAAGGAGTATGCGTAAATAAAAGAGATATTTTCCTCTGAAACTATTTCCTTAATGACTAGTGAATGTCATGGGGAGATAAGAATATTGTAGATTCATTTATTTTCGTGGGTACCAATTTTCATAGATTGAGGAAATTATGTATTTTCATGGATACTTGATTTTGTGGTTTTGCTTAAGTTTGTGCATAAGCCTATAGAAAATTTGTATTTTGTTGAACTTTAAAATTGGTGGTTCAACTTTTCCCATGAAATCCACAAAAATTGGTATCCCATAAATAATAATAAATCCACAGTACATAGTAAAACTTATGAATTCAGTCAAACTTACTGATCAGCAGAAGATAAACTGAATAGTTTCAACAGCATCTTTAATTTTTAGATTGATATCTTATATGCTGATGGTAACTACTTTCATGATCTGATACTTTTTTGTCGAGCTTGCGATGTTGCTTAAGCAAGACATAGAAATCTTAGATTCCGTCACTCAGTATCATCAAAATTTAGGTTCAGTCAGTGGTTGAATATTTGTTACACATCAATAACTTTGTCAAACCTTTATGGAATTTTAGGAAATTTGTACAGACCCTTATTTATGATCAAAAGACGGTATCCAGAGCAAAATTTTGAAAATATTTATTTTCATTTTTATACGCCCGTTTACGGGACGTATTATGGTATACCTCTGTCCGTCTGTCCGTCTGTCCGTCCGTCCGTCTGTCCGTCCGTCGTCAACATGTCGGACAATAACTCAAAAACGCTTTAACCAATTTGCATAAAACTTTGGTGAATTGTTTATATCTATTGACGTGAGCTCCCTTTCGTTTTTTATAAATTTAAAATTTTAAGTTTCTGACTTATGAGGTTTTATTCATTAAAAAAAGGGGGATTTTCCAGTTTTCGGACAATAACTCAAGAATGCTTTCAACAACTTTCAGGAAATTGTGGATTTGTTTATATCTATTGACATGAGCTCCCTTTGAATTTTTATAAACATTAGATTTTACGTTTCCGAGTTACAGGGTTTTATTCATAAAAAAGGGGGATTTTCCAGTTTTCTGACAAAAACTCAAAAATGCTTACAGCAGTTCTTATGAAACTATGGTGAATTGTTTATATCTATTTAAGTAAGCTCCCTTTAGAATTTTATAAATTTTACATTTTACATTTCTGAGTTATGGGGTTTTATTCATTAAAAAAGGGGGGATTTTCCAGTTTTCGGACAATAACTCAAAAATGCTGTCAGCAATTCTCATGAAACTTTGGTGAATTGTTTATATCTATTGATGTAAGCTCCCTTTTGATTTTCATAAATTTCTAATATGACATTGAGAATTAATTGAACTTTATTTGTTTATAGTCTGACAACAGATTTACTAAGTATTGCGCAACAGCACAGTGTATTGCACATCAGCAAGAAATCTTTAATTGAATATAAATTCAATTCATATAACCAATTTCAAGTTCTTTGACTACATTTATTCAGAAACCTGTAATATGTCAAATATTTAATTACAATCCAAATTCAGACCTGTATCAAGCTTGAATATTGTATCCATTTTTGCCCCAACTGTTCAGGGTTGGACCTCTGCGGGCGTATCCAGCTGCGCTCAGCGAAGCAGTTTATTCTGTATTCTACTTATAAATGGACTTTTTACAGTTATCTTTCAGATTCTGATTATCAAAAAAATTAAAGCAGAGGTATCTTTAGTGAGCTCAACTTGTTTAAACTTGTTGTATGAAGGATATTTTCCCCATTCTATATTGCAAAAATATTTTGAATAATGGACAAACTTTTTTTTTATATACTTTTGATAGTTTCTACAAAATGACACTTGGATTTGTCAATCAGTCCATTATTGAAAGTCTTTAAAGAATACTTTCACTTTCTATTTTTATCAATAACGTCGTCATAACAACCATTATTGTAACATTACTTCCGGTTAACCGCAATAACCGCAAAATTTGTACTTCACTATTTTATTTCATATCTATACTTGTCCTGAAGACGCCACTCTTGCTGGCTAAATATGTCTTCCATTAAAACTATTACTTTGCAATAATTTATGAGTGTTGTTGTCTATAATGTCGATATATTCTTACATTTGAAAGACAACTGTGAATACCTAGAGGTATCCACTCTATTTTACCCTACCACATGATCGCCACTTCAGGTGTTGGTTCACTTAAACAATTACAGTTAAATTTAAAATATATATGACAGGCTTGTATTACTTGTTTAACTTTAGTGAATATAAGTAGGCTTGTCAGTTATTCTTTGAAATTTGAGTAAGTTAATTCCTTCTTCAGTTAAACTATCTGCATATGAACAATAAATATTTATATTCAGTAAACTTGTTTGTTTTTGTATAGGCTTTAATGTCGACAAGTATGCCAGACAGTATTTTATACCATGCCGTCCATCTGATGGATTTATCGTTGTCTTTACCACCGCCAGATACTAGTCGTAAGGTAAATATTTGTTTTTGTCTAGGCTTTAATGTCCACAAGTATGCCAGACAATATTTTATACCATGCCATCCACCTTATGGATTTACCATTATGTGGCCTTCAACAATGAACACAAGTCCACTCCATAAAAATATTTGAAGACTCTAAATCAAATTTACATAACAGGAAAATATGAAAACCATACATGCATGTAATAACAACAAATTTGATCTGGTTTTTAACAAATGACAAAGTCACGCTTTCAATAATTTGGATTATGTCTGTAAACTCTGTTGCAGCATCAAAATCATTTGAAATTTTTCCAAAATTGATATTCATGAATTATTGAAATCTAAAGTTTGTATATTTGATTAAAAAAATGACTATCTATTAAAGTAAAATGTATAATTTAAGACTCATATGAATTAAAGGAAATGCATATATCTTAATTGTTTGAGTATTTTTATGCCCCCGCCGTAGCGGAAGGGGGCATTAAGTTTTACCCTTGTCCGTCTGTACGTACGCCCCAAAATTGGTTTCCGTTCTCTAACTTCAGTTTGCCTCAACCAAATGTTATGAAACTTATACACAATGTTTATTACCACAAAACACAGATCAAGTTTGAATTTTGGTGGCGTCACTTTTACCGTTCTAGAGTTATGCCCTTTACAAATGGAAAAATTGCTGAATTTTTCGTTTCCTTTCTCTAATTTTAGTTTGCCTTCACAAAATGTTATGAAACTTATACACAGTGCTTATTACCACAAAACACAGATCAATTTGAATTTTGGTGGCGTCACTTTAACTGTTCTAGAGTTATGCCCCTTTATAAATGGAAAAATTGCAAAATTTTTATTTTCTTCTAAATATTAAGTAATTTTTAAATTGGAGTTATCTTCCTTTGTCCATGATTATAGTTGAATCAACTACAATCAATGCTTTATACAATGCAGTGTTTAATTTTGACTTCCACTGATAAAACACAGATCAAGTTGAATTTGGGTAGTGTCATTTTAACCATTATTGAGTTATGCCCCTTTATAAATCGAAAGATTGCAAAATTTAAGTTTCCATTCTGTAACTTAAGTTTGCCCCAACCAAACATTATGAACCCTATACACAATATTCATTACCACAAAACTAAGATCAAGTACAAATTTTTTGTTTCCGTTTTCTAGCTTTAGTTTGCCTCAACCAAATGTTATGAAACTTATACACAATGCTTATTACTACATAATACAGATTGAGTACGAAATTTGGTGGCGACACTTTTACCATTCTTGAGTTATGTCCCTTTATAAACACAAAAATTGCTGAATTTTTCGTTTCCACTCTCTAACTTTAGTTTGTCTCAACCAAATGTTATAAAACTTATACACAACCGTTCTAGAGTTATGCGTGTTTACAAATAGAAAAATTGCTGAATTTTTAGTTTCTGTTCTCTACTTAAGTTAGCCTCAACCAAATGTTATGAGATTTACACACAATGCTTATTACCACAAAACTCAGATCAGGTTCAAATTTGGGTAGCGTCACTTTTACCATTCTTGAGTTATGTCCCTTTATAACTATATGATATGCAAGCGGGGGCATCATCTGTGTCCACATGTGGACACTATCCACATTTATTTACAACATTACTTTATTACAGATCAGAAGTTTCAACGGATTAGTCCATGATAAACAATACATTGAATGGTTTTCTGGTAGTAATATTCTACAGAATGCTAAGGAGATTGTCCGAGAAGTTTTGGTGCCAATTCCCCTGGAGGATAAGCAATTCTCACTTCTATCTAGTCTAGAAGAAATGTTTCACTTAGCTCCTAGTTCTTTATCAAGTAAGTTAACAAACTGCCCATTATTTAACAAACTGACAATACTAACCTGGATGTTTATATGACCTAATGACATAGAAGTTAACAACTATAGGTCACTGTACGGTACCTCAGTATGTTATTAAGGTAGTATGGAAGTATATACAAAGAATGCTAGAATTATTTAAACTGTGGGAAAAGGTTGTTTTTTGTATTTTTTTTCCAAACATATAAGTATATGTCACTGAGCTTGTTAAAGATCTAAAGGTTGTGCAAGTTCCAATACTGTGAAAGTATTATACAGGAAAAAACACCCTTTTATGTGACGTAACTTAAACTAAATGATGGAATTATGAAATTAAACATTAAGAGACAGATCTTATATACTTACAAAAAAGGGAAAGAGAAAAAAATGGTCACCATACTTGTTTTCTTGCTACATAGTAGAATGATTAGAACAGCTCAACATCATATAATCAAATTATATAAATTTTTAAATAAATGTAAGATTACATAAACTTCACATTTGTATTTTTTTAAAGCAAATCATGAATCCTAGTGGGAGAATCTTGCTCACATGGCTATTGTGACTAGCCCTGCTTCAATCACGCTGGTTTAAACTGAACTAGAAATGTTTCATGCAGCTTAAATACTTTATACCTGTATGAATGTCATAAATATTATGTCAGCTGTAGTATGTCATTTAAGTCTTCAACAGCACATATTAAGATAGAGATGATTAAACTTTATTATTGTTATTCAGTATCTGGAGGACCTATTACAGCAGCACATTCAGGACAGATTCCAGCAGTCAATCCAGTCCCTGTTCCTACAGAAATAGAGTTTGACAATGACCCATTCCCACTGGTTCCAATTCATAAGTTACCTGCTCCTACAAGTGCCAAACATGTCTCTTCAAAGTTTGAAAATAAAGGTGTAGAAACTGATAAAGCTCAATATACAAATGTGCCAATTAATGAAAGCATAATATCTTTACTGTTTAAACTTCATGCTAAATTATCTGGGAAAGAAGAACAATATATTCCCTTGTCAAGATCAAATCGATCTATCGGTGACGCTCCTATTGGGGATGGACCTTATTTTATTGGTCAAGTTCTAGATAAATTATCTCAACAAAGTACCAGTTGTGCCAGAAACATTGAGGAACTGTACAGTGTGACGAGTCCAAAGAAAGACAACATGAAACACTCAGAAAGAGATGAGGAAAGGTATGCTAAGTCAGGGCATGAATATATTTAATCTCATAAAATGTTCAATTATTTATTTGGGACAACACCAAATAAAAACTGGGAGAATATTTTTTGGATAAAACAAAAAAGATAAAAGAAATATCAAAATGACTGATTTTGGTGTTGATATGAAATCTAAGATAACTTTGCCATCATTAAGAAACTTGTTTATTTTCTTCTTCTCTGATCTAATGATATGCCTTCATGATTATATGATGGTCCTTCATGATTTTTGTAATTTGATCAATGATTTTGCCACTTTGAAGCATTGCTGATCCTTTTCATTAATATATACATCTTGAAATCCCTGTACATGGAATATCACACCGATTTACCCTAATCACTTATTGATTGAAGCACTGTTCTTATTTGGATGCCATTGGTACTTGTTATAGACCTTTCAGAGCATTTGGCATGAAAGAAAAGCTCCTTTTTAGCTCACCGGGGCCCGAAGGGCCCCATGTGAGCTTATGCCATCACTTGGCGTCTGTCATCGTCTGTCGTCGTCTGTCGTCGAAAACTATTTAAAAAATCTTCTCCTCTGAAACTACTGTGCCAAATACCTTCAAACTTTAACTAAATGTTCCTTAGGGTATCTAGTTTATAAATTGTATCCGAAGTTTTGATCCATCGACAAACATGGCCGCCATGGCTAAAAATAGAACATAGGGGTCAAATGCAGTTTTTGGCTTATATCTCAAAAACTAAAGCTTTTAGAGCAAATCTGACGAGATAATATTGTTCAATTGGTCAAAATCTATCAGCTGTGAAATTTTCAGACGAATCGAACAACCCATTGTTGGGTTGCTGCCACCGAATTGGTAGTTTTAACAAAATTTTGCAGTTTTTTGTTAGTATTTTGAATATTATTATAGATATATATAAACTGTAAGCAGCAATAATGTTCAGCAAAGTAAGATCTACAAAAAAGTTAATATGACTATAATTGTCAATTGACCCCTTAAGGAGTTATTGCCCTTTAAAGACAATTTTACACAATTTGTTCATTAAGTTTGCTAACATTTAAAAATCTTCTCCTCTGAAACTACTGGGCCAATTACCTTCAAACTTTAACTAAATGTTCCTTAGGATATCTTGTTTATAAATTGTATCCGAAGTTTGTATCCATCGACAAAAATGGCCGCCATGGCTAAGAATAGAACATAAGGGTCAAATGCAGTTTTTGGCTTATATCTCAAAAACTAAATCTTTTAGAGCAAATGTGACATGGGGTAAAATTGTTTAATTGGTCGAGATCTATCGGCCCTGAAATTATCAGACCAATCGAACAACCCATTGTTGGGTTGCTGCCACTGAATTGGTAGTTTTATCAAAATTTTGCAGTTTTTATACGACCGCAAAAATTGAAAATTTTTTGGTCGTATATTGGTATGACGTTGGCGTCGTCGTCGTCGTCGTCGTCGTTGTCGTCGTCGTCGTCGTCGTCGTCCGGCGTCGTCTGGCGTCGTCCGAAGACACATTGGTTTTCGCACTCTAACTTTAGTTTAAGTGAATGGATCTCCATGAAATTTTACCATAAGGTTCAATACCATGAAAGAAAGGTTGGGATTGATTTTGGGGGTTATGGTACCAACAGTTAAGGAATTAGGGGCCAAAAAGGGGCCAACAATAAGCATTTTTGTAACTTCCAGACAATAACTTGTGTGTAAGTGTATGGATCTCTCTGACATTGTACCACAAGGTTCCATATCACAAAGGGAAGGCTGTAATTGATTTTGGGGGTAATTGCCTCAAAATGTTAGGAATTAGGGGCCAAAAAAGGGGCAAAAAACAAGCATTTTTCTAGTTTCATGACAATAACTTGTGTGTAAGTGTTTGGATATTTCTGAAATTGTACTACAAGGTTCCATATCACAAAGGGAAAGCTGGAATTGAGTTTGGGGGTAATTGCCCGAAACGTTTAGGAATTGGGGGCCAAAAAGGGGCCAAAAATAAGCATTTTTCTAGTTTCCAGACAATAACTTGTGTTCAAGTGTATGGATCTCTCTGAAATTGTACTGCAAGGTACCATACCACAAAGGGAAGGCTGAGATTGAGTTTGGGGGTGATGAATCATAAGGGGGTTCAAAAAATTTTGGGGGGGGATTTTTTTTTTTCTTTTAAAATTTTCCATTTTAAGTTGGTTATTTCTGATTTATATTTAAAAGCAAATAATAATGATATGGTAGGAGATACACACCAAACAGGATGTGTAAATTATTATATAATAAGTATTGTGCAATAGCAAGAAATTTTCAATTGCACAGTATTGCACAATAGCAAGAAATCTTCAATTGCACAGTATTGCGCAATAGCAAGAAATCTTCAATTGCACAGTATTGCGCAATAGCAAGAAATATCCAATAGCACAATATTGCGCAATAGCAAGAAATTGTCAATTGTACAGTATTGCGCAATAGCAAGAAATAATCAATTGCACAGTATTGTGCAAAAGAAGATACTTCGTATAAATTGCTTATTTCTTGATCAATTTCAATGGGGTTTTATTCTTGAATTCTTGGGGTTCTTTAATATGCTGAATCTAACCGTGTATTAAGTTTTTGGATTTTGGGCCCCGTTTTTAAATTGGTCCACATTGAGGTCCAAAGGGTCCAAAATTTTACTTTGTTTGATTTCATCAAAAATTGAATTATTGGGGTTCTTTGATATTCCGAATCTAACCGTGTATTTAGATTCTTAATTTTTGGTTCTGTTTTCAAATTGGTCTACATAAAGGTCCAAAGGGTCCAAAATTAAACTTAGTTTGATTTCAACAAAAATTGAATATATGGGGTTCTTTGATATGCTGAATCTGACCATGTATTTAGATTTTTGATTATGGGCCCAGTTTTTGAGTTGGTCCAAATCGGGGTCCAAAATTAAACTTTGTTTGATTTCAACAAAAATTGAATATATGGGGTTCTTTGATATGCTGAATCTAACCATGTATTTAGATTTTTGATTATGGGCCCAGTTTTCAAGTTGGTCCAAATCGGGGTCCAAAATTAAACTTTGTTTGATTTCAACAAAAATTGAATATATGGGGTTCTTTGATATGCTGAATCTAACCATGTATTTAGATTTTTGATTGTTGGGCCCCGTTATCAACTTTGTCCACATTGAGATCAAAAGGGTCCAAAATTAAACTTTGTTTGATTTCATCAAAAATTGAATATATGGGGTTCTTTGATATGCTGAATCTAACCATGTATTTAGATTTTTGATTATGGGCCCAGTTTTCAAGTTGGTCCAAATCGGGGTCCAAAATTAAACTTTGTTTGATTTCAACAAAAATTGAATATATGGGGTTCTTTGATATGCTGAATCTAACCATGTATTTAGATTTTTGATTATGGGCCCAGTTTTCAAGTTGGTCCAAATCGGGGTCCAAAATTAAACTTTGTTTGATTTCAACAAAAATTGAATATATGGGGTTCTGTAATATGCTGAATCTAACCGTGTATTAAGTTTTTGGATTTTGGGCCCCGTTTTTAAATTGGTCCACATTGAAGTCCAAAGGGTCCAAAATTTAACTTTGTTTGATTTCATCAAAAATTGAATTATTGGGGTTCTTTGATATGCCGAATCTAACCGTGTATTTAGATTCTTAATTTTTGGTTCCGTTTTCAAATTGGTCTACATAAAGGTCCAAAGGGTCCAAAATTAAACTTAGTTTGATTTTAACAAAAATTGAATTTTTAGGGTTCTTTGATATGCTGAATCTAAACATGTATTTAGATTTTTGATTATGGGCCCAGTTTTCAAGTTGGTCCAAATCGGGGTCCAAAATTAAACTTTGTTTGATTTCAACAAAAATTGAATATATGGGGTTCTTTGATATGCTGAATCTAACCATGTATTTAGATTTTTGATTTTTGGGCCCTGTTATCATTTTTGTCCACATTGAGATCAAAAGGGTCCAAAATTAAACTTTGTTTGATTTCATCAAAAATTGAATTCTTTGGGTTCTTTGATATGCTGAATCTAACCATGTATTTAGATTTTGGATATTGGACCATAATAGGTGAATGTCCAATTTAAAATTTTTAAGTTCTTAGACCACATTCATTCTGTGTCAGAAACCTATTCTGTGTCAAATATTTAATCACAATCCAAATTCAGAGCTGTATCAAGCTTGAATGTTGTGTCCATACTTGCCCCAACTGTTCAGGGTTCGACCTCTGCGGTCGTATCAAGCTGCGCCCTGCGGAGCATTTTATTTGTTATTATTTTGAATATTATTATAGACATATATAAACTGTAAGCAGCAATAATGTTCAGCAAAGTAAGATCTACAAAAAAGTTAATATGACCAAAATTGTCAATTGACCCATTAAGGAGTTATTGCCCTTTAAAGACAATTTTATACAATTTGTTCATCAAGTTTGCTAACATTTAAAAATCTTGTCCTCTGAAATTCAGGTGAGCAATTCAGCCTCTTGAGAGCCTCTTGTTTTATATTCTTTTTTAGCACACGGGGGCCACCTTTGGGCCCCATGTGAGCTTATGCCATCACTTGGTGTCTGTCATCGTCGTAAACTATTTCAAGAATCTTGTACTCTGAAACTACTGGGCCAAATACCTTCAAACTTAAACTGAGTGTTCCTTAGTGTATCTAGTTTATAAATTTTATCCCAAGTTTTGATCCATCAACAAACATGGCAGCCATGGCTAAAAATAGAACACAGGGGTCAAATACAGTTTTTGGCTTATATCTCAAAGACTAAAGCATTTAGAGCAAATCTGACATGTGGTAAAAATGTTTAATAGGTCAAGATCTATCAGCCCTGAAATTTTTCAGACGAATCGAACAACCCATTGTTGGGTTGCTGCCACTAAATTGGTAATTTTAAGGAAATTTTGGGTTATCTTGAATATTATTGACTGTAAACAGCAAAAATGTTCAGCAAAGTAAGATCAACAAAAAAAAGTTTTAAATTGTCAATTGACCCCTTAAGGAGTTATTACCCTTTAAGGACAATTTTACACAATTTGTCCATCATGTTTGCTAACATTTAAAAATCTTCTCCTCTGAAACTTCTGGGCCTCATACTTCTAAACTTTAACTGAATGTTCCTTAGGGTAACTAGTTTATAAATTGTATCCGAAGTTTTGATGCATTAACAAACATGGCCGCCATGGCTAAAATTAGAACATAGGGGTCAAATGCATTTTTTTGGCTTTTATCTCACTCAGAAACTATAGCAGTTAGAGCAAAAGTGACACGTAGTTAAAGTGATTGATATGTCAAGATCTATCTGCTATGAAATTTTCAGACCAAGTGGACCCATTGTAGGGTTACTGTCCGAAATAGTTTATTTTTATGAAATTTTACTGTTTTTGGTTGTTATCTTTAATATTATAATAGATAGAGAGAAAGTGTAAATAGCAAAAATGTTCAGCTAAGTAAGATCTACTAATAAGTCAAATGATCAAAATAATTGACTCCTTAAGGAGTTATTGCACTTGAAACGTTTATTGTTTACATTTTTTTGTGCAAGTCTATTACTTTTTCAAAAATCTTCTTCTCTGAAACTACTGAGCCAAATACTTCCAAACTTTTACTGAATGCTCCTTAGGGTATCTAGTTTCTAATTTGTATCCGAAGTTTGGATCCATCAACAAACATGGCCGCCATGGCTAAAAATAGAACATAGGGGACAAAAGCAGTTTTTGGCATATATCTCAAAAACTACAGCAGTTAGATCAAAAGTGATAAATGGGCCATGATCTATCTGTTGTGAAATTTTCAACGAGTTCGACAACCCATTGTTGGGTTATTGTTGGAAATAGTTTATTTTTTATTAAATTTTACTGTTTTTGGTAATTTTCTTTAATATTATAATAGATAGAGAGAAAGTATAAATGGCAATAAATGTTCATCAAATAAGATCTACAAATAAGTCAACATGATCAAAATACTCAATTGACCCCTTGAGGAGTTATTATCCTTATTTTTTTACATTTTTTGTGAAAGTCCAATTACTTTTTCAAAAATCTTCTTCTCTGAAACTATTTTGCCAAGTACTTAAAAACTAATTGAATGTTCCTTAGGGTATCTAGTTTATAGATTGTATTTGGGGATTTGATCCATTCAAAAACATGGCGGCAGTTTCTTAAAATAGAACATAGGGGTCAAATGAAGTTTTTGGCTTTCATCTCAAAAACTAAAGCAGTAAGAGCAAAACTGACATAGGTGAAAGTGTTAAACAGGTTTAGATCTACTTGTCAAGTAATCTTCAGACCAATAGGACAACTTATTGTTGGGTTACTGTCCAAAAATAGTTAATTTTTAGGAAATTTTACAGTTTTGAGTTATGTATTATATTAATATTATTATAGAAAGAGAGAAAGTGTAAATGACAAAATTGTTCAGCAAAGTAAGATCTACAAATAGGTCAAATGCCTGAAACTGAAATTACAGCCAGGTGAGCGATATCAGGCTCTCATGAGCCTCTTGTTTTATGAAAGTAATAAAATTGAGAATGGAAATGGGGAATGTGTCAAAGAGACAACAACCCGACCATAGAGCAGACAACAGCCGAAGGCCACCAATGGGTCTTCAATGCAGCGAGAAACTCCTGCACCTGGAGGCGTCCTTCAGCTGGCCCCTAAACAAATATGTATAGTAGTTCAGTGATAATGGACATCATGCTAAACTCCAAATTATACACAAGAAACTAAAATTAAAAATGATACAAGACTAACAAAGGCCAGAGGCTCCATACTTGGGACAGGCGCAAAAATGTGGCGGGGTTAAACATGTTCTTTGAGATCTCAACCCTCCCCCTATACCTCTAGCCAATGTAGAAAAAACAAACGTACAACAGTACGCACAGTAAAACTCAGTTTAAGAGAAGTCTGAGTCTGATGTCAGAAATAGAAACAAAAGAAAATAAACAAAATGACAATAATACATAAATAACAACAGACTACTAGCAGTTACTGACATGCCAGCTCCAGACTTCAATTAAACTGATTGAAAGATTATGTCTTCATCATATGAATATCAGGCACAATCCCTCCTGTTAGGGGTTTAGTATTATACCATCATAAAATATATGAGAACATAACCCGTGTCATCCCAACAACTGGTTTTAGAATAAATATGTTTAATTCCGATGCAAAGACCCTATAAGTGAATCAATATTAAAGCCAAAATATGCAATCTTTAATGACCTGACAACAGTATCGTAACTATATCCCTTCTTAATAAGTCTGTTTAAAGGTTTTGTTAGCTTTTGAGGTGAATACTGACTTTTTTGTGCTTTGTAAAGAATATTACCATAAAAGATTGGATGTGAAATACCCGAACGTATAAAATGTCTGCATGTTGAGTTATATTTACGAATGATGTCCTTATACCGATGATAAAATTTAGTAAATGTTTTGACTAGTTTATGATATCGAAAACCCTGGTGTAATAATTTTTCAGTAATACATAAATTTCTCTCGCTTAAATCTAATTCGTTGTTACATACACGAGCGAATCGTACAAGTTGAGATATATGAACACCATAGGATGGTGACAAGGGAACGTCACCATCTAAAAATGGATAATTAACGATAGGAAATGAAAAATCATCTCTTTTATCATAAATTTTTGTATTAAGCTTCCCGTTAGTGATATAGATATCAAGATCGAGGAAAGGACAGTGGTCATTGTTAGTATTAGCTTTATTTAAAGTAAGTTCAACAGGATAAATTTCTTTAGTATACATACTGAAGTCGTCATTATTGAGAGCCAATATATTATCCAAATATCTAAAAGTATTGTTAAATTTTTGTATCAGATGTTGTTTCGATGGGTCTTTGCTGATTTGAGTCATAAATGGGAACTCATAACAATACAAAAACAGGTCCGCAATAAGTGGTGCACAGTTAGTCCCCATTGGAATTCCGATAACTTGACGATATACGGAATCTCCAAAGCGAACAAAAATGTTGTCAAGTAAAAATTCAAGGGCAGATATAGTATCAAAGCATGTCCAATTTACATAGCTCTTTTGTTTGTTGCTACTAAAAAATGACCTAAAAGAGTTTGAACATATGTATTCGCATTACGACTTTTTAAATGCCCATCTAATTAGGTGTGTGAATTTTTTCTTAATAAGAATATGAGGCAAAGTGGTATATAGGGTAGAAAAATCAAAACTTTGAACAGATTCAAAATCACCAATATATGCATGCAATTTATCAAGTAGTTTCTTTTGTTTCCTATTTAATGTATAGCATTGTCAAATAGCAATAATCGGTAATTTTTCAGAAGGAGAAAGGCCAAAGAAAGACAAAAGAAACTTATGGAACAATTTGCAAACAAACAGAAAGCCTTCATGGAACAAAATAAAGAAGCAGATATATCTGGTAAATGTTGTTTGATGTCTCATCTCAGTCAAAATAAACTGATTCGAAAAAGAAATTTTATATCATGTTGAAAACAAATATGATAGATCAAATTGTGTGTGTGTGTGCCAGTAAAGATATATTAAAATCAAATGGTGTGTTGAAAGAAAAGTCTCTTCACCCTAAAACTATCATTTTCCCAAGTATTTGTCTTTTTTTCAAATGATATAAATTGTATAATCTAAGCAAAGAAACCCAGCCATTATTACATTGTTTTTTTTATTTCAGATGATGACACTAAACCTAGTTCGTCATCAGAATCACAGACTGGTTCCTTTACTGCTGGTATAGAAAAGGAGTATGAGTGTGTTATATGTGGTCACAGTAGTCCCTCTACTGAAGACAAAACCATTGGTTTGGTAGTGTTGATGCAAGCAACAAGTGGTGTGTTACATTATTTATGCATGTTCTATCTAACAGTTTCGCATTTTTGTCGAGCCTGCGACTTTTGTCGCAAAAGCCAGACATAGTGATCCTACATTCCGTCGTCGTTGGTGGCGGCATCCACAAATATTCACTCTGTGGTTAAAGTTTTTGAAATTTTAATAACTTTCTTAAACTATCCTGGATTTGTACCAGACTTGGACAGAAGCTTATTTATGGTGATAAGATAGTATCAAGAAGTAAATTTTGTAAAAAAAAATCCTGTTTATCCATATTTTACTTATAAATGGACTTAGTTTTTCTGCCATTTAACATTACATTCACTCTGTTGTTAAAGTTTTAAAAATTTTAATAACTTTCTTAAACTATCCTGGATTTGTACCAGACTTGGACAGAAGCTTGTTTATGGTGATAAGATAGTATCAAGAAGTAAATTTTGTATAAAAAAAAAATCCTGTTTATCCGTATTTTACTTATAAATGGACTTAGTTTTTCTGCCAGTTAACATTACATTCACTCTGTAGTTAAAGTTTTAAAATTTTAATAACTTTCTTAAACTATCCTGGATTTGTATCAAACTTGGACAGAAGCTTGTTTATGATCAAAAACTAGTATCTAGAAGGAAATTTTGTAAAAATTATCTTCTTTATCATTTGTTCATTCAATAAATTTATGTTTCAACTCTTTTATAAATCTATAGATTTGATTGCATACTGTATTCATTTTTTACAAGCATAACTTTTTTCATACATTTCAAACGTTTTTTTTCATTAACTGTAAATCTATTATGTGCATTCCCCCATCACACTGAAAACATAGACAACAGCAAAAGTAGGCGAGACACTGGGTTCCGTGGAACCCTTACAAATTTTTTATAAATATTGAAAAAAAGTGGTATTTATATGTTTCCAAGGGAATAATTGGAATAAACTGAAATTGAAAACCACATCATTCACGACAATAAGAGAATTTATTTTCCGAGTTTTTGTGAATGACCTTAAAAATTGATCTTATATTGATCAATCAAGAGTTTGGAGATAACTCCAATATTTAGAACAGGGATGTTCAGAATTCTGAAGATTGGTCATCAAAAATAACTTTGAATAAGAATTTGACAAATAAATTTTAAATCATCAATGATATTTATAGAAATTTACTTTGAAAATATAATTTCACAACTAGATGGCTATGTGGATTTTATTTACAAGATTTTTGTCCAATAACCATGACTTATTTGTATAGAGATTAAAAATTATCTGCTTCTCTTGTTTTACACAATAAAAATAACGCAGTAACTTTGATTACAGTACTTGGTCATAGATTACAGACAGACACACCTATAGAACTTCCAGTGGATGGAGGGAAGTTTAAGTTCCATCCTGTCACATGTGCTTCTATGCATAGGAAAAGATTGAAGACATTGTTTGAACATTTTGATGAGGTTTGTAGTAAATGTGTTGATAGATCACCTTATATTTCATGGAAGGAGTCGTTGATGATTCATATCTGATATAAATATATTTCAAATCTTTGACATTATTATTACTTAGGGGTCTGAACCCATATAAAGTTATCCAAACTAACCCTAAACCTAACCCTTACCCACATCTAACCCTAAAACCTAACCCTAACCTAGAACAAACCCTAAATTAACTGTAGCCGTAAATGAACCTTAACCCTAAATTAAATGAATGTGTTGGTTTATGTATTGTGTCTTTGTATATAATAGATTGTCCTATCCATTGTCATTTTTAAAAATCAGTTTCTGACACAACATTTGAACCATATGGCTAAACACAGATAAGTGGAGGGATGTGTCTATCCTAAGTCATTCTCATTACCTTATGGGTACTCAAAGGGTATCTGCGTAATCTTATCATGTTTTCTACAACTCTGTATGAGATTCTTAACTTGCACATATTGTTATTGTTTTATGAATTAATTAATTGGTGATTTATTTTGTTAGGAAAAATGCCTTTGAGGACCATAGGGTGTGATTATTATTAAAATTTGTATCTTTTCTGTGATGTATAACAAAACTAAAGATAATAGAACATTCATAGGCATTCATGAATAGAAAACTAAAAATAGCATTCTATTTATGTTGAAAATATTAAACTACACAGTATTTTTACTTGAAATGGTCATTTAAGTTGGCGAATGTGTCCAAATTCATAGATTCTTTTTATATTCGTATGGTTCACAAATAATACCCCGTAAAAAATAAGAAAAACAAAAAATAGAAAACAATGAAAAAAACAAAGAAAATCTAGACAGGATATATATTTTATATTATTGAAAGAAGTAGGATGAGACAAATACAATTTGAATTTGATATTTTTAAAATAATCAGTTATCTGGTTTAAGTTTGTAAGTTTTAAAAACTGGCATGAGAGCTCCCTTTGTGGTGTTGTATAAAGCACAGACTTCATGACACAATTGTTATTGAAGAAAGATGTGCAAATTTGATCCAAGCAATTGACATTAGTTTTGAGAGGAAAGTTAACATCAATCCAATGTGAATTCTTAAAAATAATCTATAGTAAGAACAATAGACTGGTGACAGAGTAATAGATTGAACTTATATCATTCAATGAGTTTGATTAAAGCCACATAATGAAACATAGAGAGTGATTGTTTTTTCAGACTTCCTGTCAGATGTCCATCAACATTGGCTGGGAGGGAGGAGTGTTAGTACAGACATGTGGCCACTACTTACATCTAGACTGTCACAGTTCTTATGTGGCATCACTGAGGGTGAGTATTGTAAGTGACAAGTGACCACTACTTACATCTAGACTTTCACAGTTCTTATGTGACATCACTGAGGGTGAGTATTGTTAGTGGCATATGGACATTACTTATATCTAGACTATCACAGTTCTTATGTGGCATCACTGAGAGTGAGTACTGTTAGTGACATGTGGCCACTGCTTACATCTAGACTGTCACAGTTCTTATGTGGCATCACTGAGGGTGAGTACAGTTAGTGACAAGTCACCGCTTCTTACACCTAGACTGTCACAGTTCTTATGTGGCATCACTGAGGGTGAGTACAGTTAGTGACAAGTCACTGCTTCTTACACCTAGAATATCACAGTTCTTGTGTGGCATCACTGAGGGTGGGTATTGTTAGTGACATGTGGCCACTGCTTACATCTAGACTGGTCACAGTTCTTATATGCCATCACTGAGGGTGAGTACTGTTAGTGACTAGTCACCACTTCTTACATCTAGACTGTCACAGTTCTTATGTGGCATCACTGAGGGTGAGTACTGTTAGTGACAAGTCACCACTTCTTACATCTAGACTGTCACAGTTCTTATGTGGCATCACTGAGGGTGAGTATTGTTAGTGACAAGTGACCAATTCTTACTTACTGTCACAGTTCTTATGTGGCATCACTGAGGGTGAGTACTGTTAGTGACAAGTCACCACTTCTTACATCTAGACTGTCACAGTTCTTATGTGGCATCACTGAGGGTGAGTACTGTTAGTGGCAAGTCACCACTTCTTACATCTAGACTGTCACAATTCTTATGTGGCATCACTGAGGGTGAGTACTGTTAGTTGCATGTGTCCACTACTTACATCTAGACTGTCACAGTTCTTATGTAGCATCACTGAGGGTGAGTACTGTTAGTGACAAGTCACCACTTCTTAGATGTAGACTGTCACAGTTCTTATGTGGCATCACTGAGGGTGAGTTCTGTTAGTGACAAGTGACCACTTCTTACATATAGACTGTCACAGTTCTTATGTGGCATCACTGAGGGTGAGTTCTGTTAGTGGCATGTGGCCACTACTTACATCTAGACTGTCACAGTTCTTATGTGGCATCACTGAGGGTGAGTATTGTTAGTGACAAGTGGCCAATACTTACATCTAGACTGTCAGAGTTCTTATGTGGCATCACTGAGGGTGAGTATTGTTAGTGACAAGTGACCATTTTTTACATTTAGACTATCACAGTTCTTATGTGGCATCACTGAGGGTGAGTACTGTTAGTGACAAGTCACCACTTCTTACATCTAGACTGTTGCAGTTCTTATGTGGCATCACTGAAGGTGAGTACTGTTAGTGACAAGTCACCACTTCTTACATCTAGACTGTCACAGTTCTTATGTGGCATCACTGAGGGTGAGTACTGTTAGTGACAAGTCACCACTTCTTACATCTAAACTTTCACAGTTATTATGTGGCATCACTGAGGATGAGTATTGTTAGTGACAAGTGGCCACTACTTACATCTAGACTGTCACAGTTCTTATGTGGCATCACTGAGGGTGAGTACTGTTAGTGGCAAGTCACCACTTCTTACATCTAGAATGTCACAGTTCTTATGTGGCATCACTGAGGGTGAGTACTGTTAGTGGCAAGTCACCACTTCTTACATCTAGAATGTCACAGTTCTTATGTGGCATCACTGAGGGTGAGTACAGTTAGTGGCATGTGGCCACTTCTTACATCTACATTCAGGTTTTGTATGGGCTGGGTTAATATGAGAACTGTTACATACATGAATCAAATATTACATGAGGCCTATTTCTTGGCATAAGTCTGTGATATAAGTCTAATTGAATTTTATAAAGCTTCATTGGGGTATGCTTTCAGTTTTTAGTATAAGAAATAATGTTATAAACATTGCTTTATGCCTTTTTTTATAATGATAAGTCCATTGGTAATTTACAAGTTGCTAGCATGAACACAGTTTAAAAATAGTTTAATAGGTATACAAATTGCATACAAGTAAATAATATTTTTCATAATTTCTGTATTCTATTAAAAATCATTTTAGACACAGCAGTTAACACAGAACTTGGCAGTAAACAAAGGGGAATATTGGTGTCCATTATGTCGGCAGTTAGCCAACTCCGTCATTCCCATAATTCCTGAAGAGAGTCGATACACACTAGTTAAACCTGTTACAAAGGATAAAGTACAGATGGTGAAGGATATAGCTGAGATGATGGTTACTCGGCCTATAACACCTGTAAGTATACAAATCACATACTTTATATATTTTGTTTGTTTGGAGCTTGTGAATACTATATACCTACATCAAAACATCAGACCTGTTTACCACTACTATTTTAATGTACACCCATGTAGGTCATTTTTACACTTTCATAGATATTACAGCAAAAAAAAAAAGATAGGCAGAATGTAATTTTGTGTCTAAAGGAAGTTATTTGTAGGTGTCTGGCATGGTTCATCTGACCCTGGCTTCATTTTCATGGATCATTGATAAAGTTAAGTTTATGTGATACTTGTAGTAAAACTTTTATATTACAGACCTTCAACATGAATTCAATCATAAGTAAAACAGGCTACACATTCCTGCATGTGCACTCTTGTTTTTCTTTCAGCTTAAGTTTCAGAACTTTCAAATTTTATTTTTACAGGTATTTTTTTTTAATAGATTTTTTTCATGATAAATTTTGATATGAAATGGTTTAAGAAATGAGTTTATATTTATAAAAAGTTGGCTGTTTTTTTAATTCCAATTTTCATGGATTTTGAACTTCAAATATAAATTTCAACAAGTACAAGATTTCTGTAGGCTTGTATGCAGACTTTGAGAAAAACCATGAAATCAGATATCCAGGAAAATACAATTTTTCCTCAATCCATGAAAATTGGAACCCACAAAAAATAAATGAATCCACAGTAAATGATTTTTTTTCAATATAAAAATAAGGAGATGAGGTATGATTACCAATGAGACAAATATCCACCAAAGTTCAAATAAAGTGGATGTAAGCAATTATAGGCAACTGTACGGCCTTCAACAATGAGAAAAACCCATACCGTATAGTTGGCTATAAATGGCCCCGACATGAAAAATATGAAACAATTCAATTGAGAAACCTAATGGCCTAATTTATGTCAAAACAATTAACAAAAACAAATATGACAGACATGAACCAATGACAACCTCTGAACTACAGGCTCCTGACTTTGGACATGCACATAAAGAATATGGCGGGGTTAAACATGTTTGTGAGTGCTCAATCCTCCCCCTAACCTTGAACAGTGGTGTAACAGAACAACATAAGAAAAAACTATAAAATCAGTTGAAAAAGGCTTAACTCATCAGATCGATACAAAGCAGAAAAACATCAAACATAAACACAGACTGGACTTGGCAGGGTATTTATCCATCCCTCATCCCTAACAACAAAAAGGACACAAAGTACAGATCTGAGAGTAATCGCAGTTACTGACAGCTAGTTCAAAGGCAATAACAATTAATAATTAATGTATCTAAGACTAGAATATCAATCAGTACACATCCAACATCCAATGGATTTAGTGTAAAGACGTCATTAACAGTCAGAGAAAAAACATGAACTTTGTGCAATGCCAAAATAAAGATATTGACAGATTGTAGTACCATTAAAGTGCATATGTGTATAACAAAACTATTTAGTATGATGTTAAATTACTGTCCATTTTTCATTAAAAATTCACTAACTCACCACCTTCCTTTTGTATTGCACTCATTTTACATTAATATTAAAAATATGAATAAGACTTTCTAATTTTTTCCAGAGATCTTCAGCAGTTACCAAGACCATGGGTAGTGTAATGGAAGATCTCACCAACACAACATACAGTGTCTTTAAAACTTATACAAACTCACACACATCAGAGAGTGTGTTACTGTTTGTGTGTTCTGTAGCCAGGTAAGGAACATACAATTTTTGTCTTACCTGTAACAAAGTCATGGAAGCTTTACATGAGCTTGCTGTTCCCAGGATTGAGGTTGATGTGTCAACAATTTGTTAAAGAGTGTGACTTAGTCATTTAAGAGAATCACTAATTGTACTGTGAATTTATTATACCCCACGCAACGAGTTGCGGAGGGTATAATGTTTTTGACCCGTCCGTCCGTCAGTCCTGTTTCTTGTCATCGCAACTCCTCTCAAACCACACAACAGAATTTCACGAAACCTTTTTAGATAAAAAGGACATATTATGTAGTTGTGCATATCGACAGGAAATTACGATTCAATTTTTTTTCTAGGAGTTACGCCCCTTTGAACTTATTTGCTTCAATGTACTACTGCAACAGTTTGTCATCGCAACTCCTTTGAAACCACACAACAGAATTTCATGAAACCTTTTTAGATAATAAGGACATACTATTTAGATGTGCATATCGACAGGAAATTACGATTCAATTTTTTTTCTAGGAGTTACGCCCCTTTGAACTTATTTACTTTAATGTACTACTGCAACAGTTTGTCATCGCAACTCCTCTGAACTACACAACAGAATTTCATGAAACCTTTTAAGATAATAAGGACATACTATGTAGATGTGCATGTCGACAGGAAATTACGATTCAATTTTTTTTCTAGGAGTTACACCCCTTTGAACTTATTTGCTTTAAGGTACAACTTCAACAGTTTGTCATCTCAACTCCTCTGAAACCACACAACAGAATTTCATGAAACTTTGTAGATAATAAGAACATACTACGTAGATGTGCATATCGACAGGAAATCACGATTCATTTTTTTTCTAGGAGTTACGCCCCTTTGAACTTATTTGCTTCAATGTACTTCTGCAACAGTTTGTCATCTCCACTCTTCTGAAACCACACAACAGAATTTCATGAAATTTTGTAGATAAGAAGGACATACTATGTAGATGTGCATATTGACAGGAAATTATTATTCAATATTTTTTCTTATACAATTTTTTTTTGTTACACTTATTTAATTTCTCCAATGACAATGTGGGGACGTGGGGTATGTGAGCGTGCTCACTAAGGTTCTTTAATTATTATTTGTGGGGTTAATAATTTTTCATGGTTTTAATGGGTCACAGTGAACCACATATTTAAGTGTTCATCTACCAGGTAAGTACAAATATTCTAAAGGCTTGTATGCAAAATTTGTCAAAACTACAAAATTAAGTATCATCCAATGAATACAATTTTTCCTCCTGTATACTGCATACTGTATATCAGGTTTTTTGCTTCAGCATTTTTTGGCGATTTGATGACAGAATGGACGTTAAATTTTCACTGTGTATAATTTTCGCTGAATGGGAAAAGAAACGCGAAAAAATCACCATATTGAATTGTTAGAGATATAAACAACACAAACTAGATTGACTGACAGAGAATCGATATCAAATAAATACGAGTACTTCAAACTAAAATACATGTAATGTTTGAGTTATGACAACACTCAATTGGTAAATTGACGCTAATTAAAGTTACGTTTTTGGACATGTCACTGATTGCTGTGTTGTCACAATTGGATGACATGTATGATTAGTCAATTTAATTATTATGAAAACAGAGATCTTAATTAATGATGCACACTTTTGTGATCTGTCGAAACACAAAAGACTGATTTTAAAGATCTTGTAAATTCACCTTTAGGGTGAAATGAGTTTGCATATCAATTTCGTGTAAACTTGACAATTAACAGTATAATATATGAAACGTTTAGACAGGGATAAATCAAGGAATATGCAAGGAAATTTACACGTTTCTTTAGGTGCCGCAAAGAAAGCGAAAATTAAACACACACGAAAAAAACCTGATATACAGTATAAGGATAAGTACAGTAACCTGTAAGTAAATACCTCTGCTCCAAAAGACGTGTAGACTGGTTAACCTCTGCCTCTCCATCCATCTGTCTCCATCTTTGTTGCATTTTTGTCAATATAAAGTTCCTAGCTTCTAGATATATGGCACCACATTTTTGTAGCATTTTTGTCAATATAAAGTTCCTAGCTTCTAGATATATGGCACCACATTTTTGTAGCATTTTTGTCAATATAAAGTTCCTAGCTTCAAAATATATGGCACCACATTTTTGTAGCATTTTTGTCAATATAAAGTTCCTAGCTTCTAGATATATGGCACCACATTTTTGTAGCATTTTTGTCAATATAAAGTTCCTAGCTTCTAGATATATGGCACCACATTTTTGTAGCATTTTTGTCAATATAAAGTTCCTAGCTCCTAGATATATGGCACCACATTTTTGTAGCATTTTTGTCAATATGAAGTTCCTAGCTCCTAGATATATGTCACCACATTTTTGTAGCATTTTACTCAATATAAAGTTCCTAGCTCCTAGATATATGGCACCACATTTTTGTAGCATTTTTGTCAATATAAAGTTCCTAGCTCCTAGATATATGGCACCACATTTTTGTAGCATTTTTCTCAATATAAAGTTCCTAGCTCCTAGATATATGGCACCACATTTTTGTTATTTTGTAGTGTTACACCTACTGACACATTTTTGTTATTTTGTAGTGTTATACCTACTGACACATTTTTGTTCTTTTGTAGTGTTACACCTACTGACACATTTTTGTTATTTTGTAGTGTTATACCTACTGACACATTTTTGTTATTTTGTAGTGTTACACCTACTGACACATTTTTGTTATTTTGTAGTGTTACACCTACTGACACATTTTTGTTATTTTGTAGTGTTATACCTACTGACACATTTTTGTTATTTTGTAGTGTTATACCTACTGACACATTTTTGTTATTTTGTAGTGTTATACCTACTGACACATTTTTGTTATTTTGTAGTGTTATACCTACTGACACATTTTTGTTATTTTGTAGTGTTATACCTACTGACACATTGTGTTACTGCTGGTTTGTCATATTCTTTTGTTATGGTATAATAAGTCAGCAATAGCTGCTTCTTGTTTGAACTACCTCATCTGAATCAATACATGTTTAACTCGCTTTGAATCAAATCAAATTCAAATCAAATTCTTTATTTCCTAATCACAGGGCCCTTTCCGGCATTACAAAATTTAGCATGATCATTCACACTTTCATACCAATCTTTCTCACTCCGCTCACTCTGATTATTTTAATTAGATACAGTACATTGAAACATACATAAAAGTCATCATATAAAGCATGAATCATAAAAGTCCAGTTCGTGAATAAAGAGAGATAACTCTGATTGTTATCATTAACATTTTCTTTTTTACCAGGTAGATTATCATTATAATTGAGTACAATTATGTTTTCTTTCTGCAAAGTTAAGCTTAAAAATTCACACAATAAAGATAGAAATGCGTTGTCTTCATTTATCATTATCCATATAAACAAGTTATTTGTACTTAGATATTTTACATTGGGAAATTGGTTATCAACCTGATATAGTAAAGTTTTTCTCCTATGGTTATATTTAGGACATTGAAGTAAAAAATGTACCTCTTCCTCTACTTGGTTTAAATCAAAGAAAGGAAATATTCAAGCAAAATCTATTGTATGTAGAATTTAGGTTCCATATGCATCCACTTTTGCACAGAGAGTATATTTTGTTTTTTAGCTCACCTGGCCCTAGGTGCCAAGTGAGCTTTTCTCATCACTTGGCATCCGTCGTCTTCTTACTTTTACAAAAATCTTCTCCTCTGAAACTAATGGGCCAAATTCAACCAAACTTAGCTGCAATCATCATTAGGGTATATAGTTTAAAAATGTGTCTGATGACCCAGCCTGCCAACCATGATGGCTGACATGGCTGAAAATAGAACATAGGGGTAAAATGCAAGTTTTGTCTATTATTCTGAAAACTCTTATATATAGAGAAAATCTGAAAGGGCAGAAATATTCAGAATTTTGAGCTCTACCAATTGTCTATATGTGTAAAAACTGTCAGACGACTTCTTATAGGAGTTATTGCCCTTAAATGACAAATTTTATACCATTCTTTTCATTTTTGTCTATTATCTTGAAAACTATAATAGATAAAGGAAAATTTTAAATGCAAAAATGATCAGCAAGACAAGTTCTACATATAAGTCAACATGGTGGAAATCGTCAGTCGACTCCTTATAAGAGTTATTGCCCTTTGATGACGATTTTTACCAATTTTTTGCGTTTTTGCCTTATATCTTGACAATAACAATAGATAAACAGAAACTTAAATAAGCAAAAATGATCAGCAAGACAAGATCTACAATTAAGACAATATATAGGAATTGTCCGATGACTCCTTATTGGAGTTATTGCCCTTTTAAAAATGACAAATTTTACTCTTTTTTTTCATTTTATACGACTGCAAAATTTTTGCGGTTGTTTATTGGTATCACGTCGTCGTCAGCATCGTCGTCGTCGTCATCAGCGTCATCCAAAGACATTTGGTATCCAGACAATAACTTTAGTATAAGTAAATATAAATATATGAAATTTAAACACAAGGTTTGAAACCACAAAAGGAAGGTTGGGATTGATTTTGTGGGTTATGGTCCCTAAGGTTTATGAATTAGGGGTCGAAAAGGGGCCTAAATAAGCATTTTTCTAGTTTCCAGACAATAACTTGTGGAACAGTGTATGGAATTGTCTGAAATTGTACCACAAGTTCCCATACCACAAAGGGATGGTTAGGATTGGCTTTGGGGAGTTATGGCACAATCTGTTTAGGAAAAAGGGGCAAAAAAGGGTGGAAAACAAAGGTTTCCTGGTTAATGGACAATAACTTTAGCTTTGTTTCTTTATGTTGGTACTTTTTGCTATTTGTTTGCTAGATCTAGTATGAAATATTTTTTAGCTGTTTCTAGAAACATCAAATACTGTGATTTAAATACATATTATATTATAATAGCGTATAACAAAGGGTTCAGTGGTAATAAATTTTTATACTCAGAATTGGTTATTCTTTGTTTGCATTCTTTTTCATTAGAGTTACCTCCCTTACAGTGGTTTTGTTATAAAGAAATGTTGTATTCTCTTGAGGTGATTAGCTGTCAATTTATTTTTAGAAGTTACTTTTAAATGCTGATGAAGGAATTTTATTTTTAGATATTACTATTAAATGTTGCTGATGAAGATTTTTTTAATTTTAGCCATGATTATGATGTCATTTTCTATTTTTAATACTTGTATGATGTATTTAAATGGGTTTTTATGGTTGCAAAGTCCTAGCTGTCAATTTATTTTTAGAAGTTACTATTTAACTAAATTTTTTTTTCCTCAATAGAAATTTCTCTTCAAATATTATTTTTTTGGAGGGGGGTAAAACAAATTTTTTGGGGGGTTCAATTTTTTTTCCCTCAAGATTTAAGAAATTGTCAATTTTCCAAAGAAATAAATTGAGGGTCACAATTTATTTTGCTAATTCTTTGCATATAGTCTGAAAACAGATTTACTAAGTATTGTGCAACAGCACAGTATATTGCACAACAGCAAGAAATCTTCAATTGAATATAAATTCAAATCATACAACCAATTTCAAGTTCTTTGACCTCATTTATTCTGTGTCAGAAACCTATAATGTGTCAAATATTTAATTACAATCCAAATTCAGACATGTATCAAGCTTGAATATTGTGTCCATTTTTGCCCCAACTGTTCAGGGTTGGACCTCTGCGGTCGTATCCAGCTGCGCTCGGCGAAGCAGTTTATTGACTATTATCTTGAAAACTATAATAGATAGAAAGAAACTTTAAATTCCAAAAATAATCAGCAAGACAAGTTCTTCAAATAAGTCAAACATGGTCAAATCGTCAGTTGACTTCTTATAAGAGTTATTGCCCTTTGATGATGATTTTTACCAATTTTTTGTGTTTTTGCCTTATATCTTAAAAATTATAAAATATAGATAGAAACTTAAATAAGCATTCTAATATGAAATTCTCTTTCGCTTTGGAAACAAAGCCATGTTCTAATTCCAATAAAACATAGACTGCTTGTGATTGACGTCACAATTGAAATTGCGACGTCAATTGTATTTTGAACAACGCAGGAGATCAAAATGGACATTTATGCTTATGTTGCTCACTAGGAAATTAAATAAAATCTTTCTAAAAGTAAGTTTACATCTATCTGTTCATTTTTTATTGTGAAACGGTTGATTTTCTATAACGTTTTGGCCTCATAAAATAAAAATGGCTGCCTTTCGAACGTGTATTATAGGTCCACTTAGAAGTACCAAAGTTCTAAATTTTCCTATTAGAATCGAAAAAATTCATCATACCATGCTCTATGCTCATTTTAACATGGGTAGGCATTATATTTGTCAAAATTTTACACCTCGCTAATGCTAGGTATAAAGATATTGACAAATATAATGCCTACCTATGTTAAAATGAGCAGAGCATGGCATGAAAGAATTGTTTCTTAAAACAATGATCAGCAAGACAAGATCTACAATTAAGACAATATGGAGGAATTGTCTGACGATTCCTTATTGGAATTATTGCCCTTTAATGACGATTTTTACCATTTTTTGTGCGTTTGCCTCACATGATAAAAATTATTATAGATAAATAGACATTTTAAATCACAAAAATGATCAGCAAGGCAAGATCTACCAATAAGTCAAATTTTGCCAATATAGTTAGTAGACTGTCACTCTTAATAGGACTAGGAGTGATTGCCCTTAAATGAGTTTTTTTTTACTCTCTTTTGTGTTTTGAGCAAAAACTAAAGAAGATAGAGAGAACCTAAACAGACTAAAGGATTATCAATACAAGATCAACAAAACAGAGATTTTTGTCATGAATTCTTTTCTTGTCTACAATGTTGGAGAGTGTCCTTTCTTGAATATGCACAACTTATTAGTAAAGGTTATCTTACCAATGTTGTAATTAGATCTTTGAATATAGTTTACATTGGCACTAATATCGATTTTGTCATCAGCAAATTAAAACATAACTAAATTTGTATTCTTTTCAAACGGGATGTATAAAGACACACCCATGTTCACTTTGATCTATAAAGAGGTTAACTCCTAACTATCCTACTGCCTGTCGATACATTTATTTTTGGCATAGCACAAGTCATGTCTTCTTTGACTGTCCTTGACGTTAAAATACTAAATTCCTGGGATGTGTTTTAGTTGATTTTAGTCTCTGATGCTTGATTTTTGTCTCGCCTTGACGGAGTCAAAAAGCGAGACATAGGTATGCTGTCGGCGAAGGCAGCGACGGCGGCGGCGTCAACAATGTATTAGTTTGTGATTAGGTCTAGTTCATGATGAACCACTAGTGGTAAGTCAATGGTATTTGATATGCAGTTGTATTAGCATTGGCACATCTCATTACCATGGAGATTATTTGGCCCCGCCCCCTCAGTCAAGGTCTATTGACTTTGAAACTTTTCATAGTTTACATGTATAAGTTTGTGATTAGGTCAATTTATGGGGAACTACAAGTGGTAGGTCAATGATATTTGGTATGCAGTTGTATAAGCATTGGCATATCTCATTTCCATGAAGATTATTTGGCTCCGCCCCCTTAGTCATGGTCTATAGACTGAAAATTTTGCTAAGTTAACATGTATTAGTTTGTGATTAGGTCAGTTCAGGGGGAACCATAAGTGGTAGGCCAATGTTAATTCATGTTCAGTTGTATAAGCATTAGCACATCTCATTTCCATGGAGAATATTTGGCCCCGCCCCCTCAGTCATGGTCTATTGGCTTTAAAACTTTTGCTTAGTTTACATGTATTAGTTTGTGATTAGATCAGTTTAAGATGAACTGCTAATGTTAAGTCAATGATATTTGTATTTGCAAGTATCATTTCCATGGAGATTATATAGCCCCACCCCTGATCATGGTTCATTGACTTTGAAACTTTTACATAGTTTACAAGTTAATGTTTGTGTTTAGGTTTGTTTAAAGGGAACGACTTATAATAAGTCAATGGTATTTTGTATGCAGTTGTATTAGCATTGGCACATCTCATTCCATGGAGATTGTTTATCCATGTACCTTCAGTCATGGTTCATTGACTTTGAATATTTGCATAACTTACATGTTAAAGTATTGCTATTTTAATTTCAACATTTGCATTATCAAAATTACAAAAAGGCGAGACATATCTCTGTGATTACAGTTTATTTTATTATTAATTGTTTTTGGCTTTTAATGAGCTGTCAGTAACTGCGAGTACTCTCAAATCGTACTTTCTTGTTGATTTGACCTGTTGATACTAATTGGAATGCTTTTTTGTCGAGCCTTCGACTTTTGTCGAAAAAGCGAGACATAGCGATCCTACATTCCTTCGGCGTCGTTGTCGTCGGCGGCGTCCACAAATATTCACTCTGTGGTTAAAGTTTTTGAAATTTTAATAACTTTCTTAAACTATCCTGGATTTCTACCAAACTTGGACAGAAGCTTGTTTATGATCATAAGGTAATATTAAAAAGTAATTTTGTTAAAAAAAAATTCCATTTTTTCTGTATTTTACTTATAAATGGACTTAGTTTTTCTGACAGGAAACATTACATTCACTCTGTGGTTAAAGTTTTTGAAATTTTAATAACTTTCTTAAACTATCCTGGATTTCTACCAAACTTGGAAAGAAGCTTGTTTATGATCATAAGATAGTATCAACAAGTAAATTTTGTAAAAAAAAAATCCATTTTTTTCCGTATTTTACTTATAAATGGACTTAGTTTTTCTGCCAGTTAACATTACATTCACTCTGTGGTTAAAGTGTTAAAATTTTAACAACTTTCTTAAACTATCCTGGATTTGTACCAAACTTGGACAGAAGCTTGTTTATGATTAAAAGCTAGTATCTAGAAGGAAATTTTGTTCCATTTTTTCCATGTTTTACTTATAAATGGACCTAGTTTTTCTTCCAGTTAACATTACATACAGTCTGCAGTTTAAGTTTTTAAAACATTTATTAGATTCATAAACTATCCTGGATTTTTACCAAACTGGGACAGAAGCTACTTACAATCAAAAGATAGTACAGAGAGGAATATTTTTATTAATTTTTTTCCTCATTTTTGTTGAGCCAGTGATTAACAGCAAAAAGTAGGCGAGACACTGGGTTCCGTGGAACCCTTACGAATTTTTTGTTCATTAATGTTTACTTATTCAGGGTTATATCTGGTCTATATACCAGCTTTGATAAGTGTTTGGTATTACTATAAATTTTCACTTCTTCGCACTATGAACATCAAAATTATTTATTTTGTAAAAATATTTCCTGTCTCCATTTGAACTGTACACGTATACCTAACAACAAAATTATTTTCATTTACCTGTGTTTAAAGTAATTGCAAATGGCTGATATCTTTGGTCAAGCATATTGTTTTTCTTAAATTGTTTAACATTTCACAGCGATATAACATGTTACTTTAATTATTCTTCCCTTAGTTTATTTATTTTGTATTTACATTGTTTCATGGATCAAATTTATTTGTTCAGTGTATGTTCACTTGTGTTAATATGTCTTTTGATTGAGTTAAGCCATTTCAATTGATATATTATAGTGTGTCTTTCTATGTTATGATGTTACACTATTGTTTCAGATAAGGGAGAAGGTTTGGTACCATTAAAACATCTAAACCCACTGCAATTGTTTGCACCTGTCCTAAGTCAGGAATCTGATGTTCAGTGGTTGTCGTTTGTTGATGTGGTTCATAAGTGTTTCTCGTTTCTCATTTTTTATATAGATTAGACCGTTGGTTTTCCTGTTTGAATGGTTTTACACTAGTTATTTTTGGGGCCCTTTATAGCTTGCTGTTCGGTGTGAGCCAAGGCTCCGTGTTGAAGACCGTACTTTGACCTATAATGGTTTACTTTTATAAATTTTGACTTGGATGGATAGTTGTCTCATTGGCACTCATACCACATCTTCTTATATCTATAGACCAAGGTGAACTACACAGGCTCTTTAGAGCCTCTAGTTTAAGTTGTGTTTAATTTCAGGACAAATCTTGAAGTGGAGTGCCTACAGAGATGTGGAAACTTAAGTAAACACACTTCAGCTCTAAGGAAACACTCTTTTTGTAAGTATTCAGCTGTTCAAATTATTTAAATCATTGCACATTAATATATAATGGTAACTCAATTTTAATGACCATCATTTGTTAGCAGTTTTGATTATAAATCAAATAATTTTAAGTTTATCAAATTGAAGAAATATTTCTATTGTATTTGTTAGTTAGTTTTGATATAAAAGAATTAAAATGATATTTTTCAGTGCCATTGATGCATGTGTTGAGTATGCACAGTAAGATACTGACAACCAAGCCATACACAGATGTCTGGTCACATATCACTGGTATAGGTCTAACAGAACAATCAAACAGGTATATAACACATATACTTATCATAAAAAACATGTCACCACTTTACAACTTTTCTTGCCTTTTCATGCCTAAACTCACCTTTTGTTTAAAATTATTCATAAAGAAAAAGTGTGCATTTTGTGGAAATAAATAAGAGATTTGAATATAACTGATATTCAAATTTTTTTCAAGGCAGAAAGGTAGCCAGAAAACAAAAACTCCATTCTTTGTTTGTTTTTTTTTTGTAAATAATAGATCTCCAGCATGTATAAAACAGCAATCTCCTTTAATACTGAAATTTGTAGCTTTGATAATCCTCAAAGTTCATTTGTATTCTACAAATAGATATACTGTCACAGTAAAAACACACAGCTGAAAACTATAAACTTACCATTCAACAATATCTTCACCAGTCAGGGGCATTACTTAAACAAGTAACTTTTAAAATTACCTATATAAGTAATGTTGAAAACGAGGCTATATTAAATATTACTTATATAAGGAACTTTTCTAAATATTGTTTTTATAGGTGTCCATTAATACAAATTTTACTAGCTTTAACAAATTTTCACAGTCATCTGGATATTTTTCCCATGAAATATAAAAATTAATCCTCCTGAAACACTAATTGCCTTTCCGAAGAACTTATCTTTCATATCGAAGTTACTTGGTCAAAGATTGGTCTCATGGGACTATTAAAATATCATTTTCCTTGAAAATCTTGAAGGTAGACAGATATAAATAGATAGAAACTTGTGATTTAATTAAGACGTAAAGAAAAATTAGCAAATAATACATTTAGTCCATGCTTCTATTGAAATATAAAATAACTCTATTGAGTAATTTAATAATTTTCAAAAACAAATATTACCTATATAAGTAACTAAAAAAAATTACTTGTTTAAGTAACGCCCCTGACTGTACATAATAACATCATTGGTCTAACATTTACATTTACTTTTGGACAAAATTGAAAAAATGCTGAACCAAAGGAATATTTTTTTTAGCCTAACAGTATAGAAAAAAAGAGATGAGGTATAATTGCCCAAATAGACAGCTACCTATACAAGGACCAAAAGCATATTAAAGTGAAGATTTACACATATACAGATCACTATAAACTTTCAGAAATGGACAAAACCATATACTTAAAATATCCACACCATAATTGGTCATGTGATTATTTGAAAAGACCATGATGTTCTATGTTCAAGGCCAATCATCCAGATTTTTGCAAACACCAGAAACACTATCCATTTTGTTTTTGTACAGAATTTGATAGGTTAATATAATTTTTATACTCAGGAATATCGCATTTGTCTAAAATGAAGAACGGCCTTGTTGGTCTTGTTGTAGCATGTTTGACTCGAGTGTGGGAGGTCGTGGGTTCAAACCCCGACCAGGTCAAACCAAAGACTTTAAAATTGGTATTTGCTGCTTCTCCGCTAAGCACGCTGCATTAAGGAGTAAGAGCAAGACTGGTTGGCTCAGAGTCGGAATAATGTGTCTGGGTAAGGTGACATGTCAAAAATCCAGCTCAGCGTGTCGGTCTAGTACAAAGCAGGGCTTATTAGTCCCCTACCGACGAAGTCGAAGGGGACTTTAAGTTTGCACTCCGTCCGTCTGTCTGTCTGTCCATCTGTCAGTCCGGCAAATCAGTTTTCCACATTTTTTTTCTTTGTGCTTGAAGATTTGATTTGATATTTGGTGTATTGTTTTATCATGACAAGTTACAGATCAAGTTCGAATTTTGTTCCGGTCTGATGATTATGTGCAGAGTTATGGTCCTTGGTCTTAGAAAATTCACTTAAATAATCAGTTTTCAGCATTTTTTTTCATCATACTGGAAGATATTGATTTGATAATTGGTATATAGTTTTAACATGACAAGTTACAGATCAAGTTAGAATTTTGTTCCGGTTTGATGAATTTGTGCAGAGTTATGGTCCCTTGGACTTAGAAAATTCACTCAAATAATCATTTTTCCTCACCTTTTTTTGTTATACTTGAAAATAATGATTTGATAATTGGTATATAGTTTTATCATGACAAGTTACAGATCAAGTTCGAATTTTGTTCCTGTCTGATGATTTTGTGCAGAGTTATGGTCCTTGGACCGAAAATTAACTTAAATAATCAATTTTCCACACTTTTTTCGTCATGCTTGAAGATATTGACATGATATTTGTAATATAGTTTACACCATGACAAGTTATAGATCAAGTTAGCATTTTGTTCCAGTACAATGAATTTTTAACCAGTAGGGGACTATGTTTTGCAATACTCTCAGAATGCTTGTATTCATATTACATTAACATGTTCTAGTCCTGAATATGCATATTAATTTGCCGCTGGACGTTAAGCAGCCATCCATCATCATCATCTTAAATGAAGATTATCACTAACAATTTGATTTTTTTTTATTGTAAATATTTGACGACCATTCTGATTTTGATCCCCATGTAAGATATAAAAGGCTGCAGTTTAACTGAAAAATTCAAAAGAGACAATCTGTGGCATTATTAATAAAGTAAATAAATTGAAACTGATATTTCATGTAAAAAAACATTATCCACTGGACTACATACTAATGACTTTGGACAGGCACATAAAGCATTTGGCAAGGTTAAACATATTTCAAAGTGGTCACTTAATGCATTCAACAATAAACATTAAATGAAATAGACCTGTTTCATATGATTGGTACCTGAGACAAAAATGTACTTAAATGTTAAATTGTTCTCTCAATTGTTGTTTTTCTTTATCAGTGTGTCTGTTTATCTGAAAGATGTCCCTCTGTTGCTAAGAGATCCAACAGCTATTCTGATTCAGCTGATTTTAACACTGCCATCTACTATAGAAAAAGGTATGTGTTGTTAAAGACAGTACCAGAAATGATTCAACTGTGGTCGGCAAGCCCTTGAAATAAGTAACTGATGAATGGCTTTATTTCAACGAGACATTTCCAAGAAGAATGTAGAATTTCAAACATTTTATATTGTGGAATTTTTTAAATAACTCTCAACCATCTTTAACATTCAGACACAATGATACTTTTGTTTTTTTCTTATGGCAACCCCTTCCCCAGATAAAAAAAGGAAAAATGTATGATATGGTGAGAAAAAATGCAGAGATCTTGTTTAGAATTATTACTTTTGTATTTATTAGTTTAAATGTAGACTTCAAACATAGCATGTATTAATGCAAATCACTGAACATAAGTATCCAAGCCTGTATCCTCTTTTATGTTAAATGCATTATACAATCATCTTTTATTACTTTTAGCTTTTCGATCACTAAAATTGGCTGTGATTTGTCTTTACTTTATTCAATACATTTATTTCTTTTGAAAACTGTCAGCTACAACTATTTTTTTCAGAACATTATCAGTTGATTGTGATGATGTTATACAATGTAATATTTATCCAAGCTCTGGTCTCTACAAGTTGTAAATTCACAGCTGAGGAAAGAGAGGCATGGAGAAAGAAAGGCAGGCCTGTAAGTGGTCTATTTTATAATTTTATAATTTTATTTGTTCTTTAAATGTTACATAAAGTGAGGACTTTTTAAAATTTTCCATAAATAAGTTTTGAAAAATCACCATATTCCAGTAAAATAAGCTGTCATGTGAAGTAATTAGCATTTTAAACAGTGAAATCAAGTAACAGAAGCAAGGTATAATTCAAAGTGTTATTTTCTTATTATTTGATGGTTTTCTATATTCTTGCAGGTTCCCTTTCAGACATTAGAAGGGATGTTGAGTCATGTGATCACTAGGTTAGAAGTTAGCAGGTTATATGATGATGTAGATATGATTGACAAAGATATTCCAGCTGTAAGTATATTTCATGATCGTTCTTTGCTCTCAGACATGAGAAGGGATGTTGAGTCATGTGATCACTAGGTTATAGTTTAGCAGGTTATATGATGATGTAGATATGATTGATTGATTGGTGTTTTACGCCACTTTCAGAACTATTAGCTATTTTGTGTGGTAAGTTTTTATTGGTGGAGGAAGCCAGAGTGGCGGTAGATAGTCACGACCTTCGGCAGGAAAATGAAAATCCTAGTCGAGAGTCAAGCGCACCTGCAAAGTGCGGGATTCAAACTCACACCCTCCGTGTAAACAGGCTAGTGATACAGATACTTAGCCACTGAGAGATATGATCGACAAAGATATTCCAGCTGTAAGTATGTGAGAGGAAAGCAGGTAATATGAAGGACAAAGGTCTTTGCTCTAAGTCATTTCAGCTTGATTTAATGTTCTTGACATATTAAGTTCATAGTCATTATTACTGGATTGTATAACAAAAATTGTTTAAAGGTGAAGTTCTTCCTGTTCCCAATCATATTTGGACATTAATAGTCCGTCGTCTGTCGTCCGTCGTCGTCATCATCGTCTGTCGTCGTTAGCTTTTTACAAAAATCTTCTCCTCTGAAACCACTGGGCCAAATTTAACCAAACTTGGCCACAATCATCATTAGGGTATCTAGTTTAAAAATGTGTCCGATGACCCCGCCAACTAACCAAGATGGCCGCCATGGCTAAAAATAGAACATAGGGGTAAAATATAGATTTTGGCTTATATCTCTGAAACCAAAGCATTTAGAGTAAATCTGACATAGGGAAAAACTGATTATCAGGTCAAGATCTATCTGCCCTGAAATTTTCAGACAAATCTGACAACCTGTTGTTGGGTTGCTGCCCCTGAATTGGTAATTTTAAGGAAATTTTGCAGTTTTTGGTTATTATCTTGAATATTATTATAGATAGAGATAAACTGTAAACAGCAATAATGTTCAGCAAAGTAAGATCTACAAATAAGTTGTCATGACCAAAATTGTCAGTCGACCCCTTTAGGAGTTATTGCCCTTAATAGTCAATTTTTAACAATTTTTTGTAAATTTTTGTAATCTTTTACAAAAATCTTCTTCTCTGAAACTACTTAGACAAATTTAACCATACTTGGCCATAATCATTATTAGGGTATCTAGTTTAAAAAATTTGTCCGATGACCCCACTTTCCAACCATCATGGCCGACTTGGTTAAAAATAGAACATAGGGGTAAAATGCAGTTTTTGGTTTATATCTCTGAAACTAAAGCATTAAGAGCAAATCTGACAGGTGGCAAAAATGTTCATCAGATTTAGATTTATCTGCCCTGAAAATTTTTAGACGAATCCGACAACCCGTTGCTGGGTTGCTGCCCCGGAGTTAGTAATTTTACAAAAATTTTGCAGTTTTTTGTTATTATCTTAGATATTATTATAATATCTAATATCTAATACTATTAATTATGATTTTAACCTTATTTTACATGATTTCCAAAGCATCAGTAAATTAAGGTGAGCGACACAGGCTCTTGAGAGCCTCTAGTTCTAAAATCTTCTAGTCTCAAACAACTCAACTAATTTCAACCAAACTTGAACTGAATGTTCCCTATGTTATCTAATATAAATTTATGTATATTTTTATCCTGCCAATCCAGGGAAAAAATTTAACGGTCGCCCAGTCGCCCATGGCGACCAGAAATTGACCTGGGCGATCTTTTTATTCAATTATGAGCCCAGGTGGCGAATTGAAAACAAAAGTACTTGACGGCCGGAAATCCCCTGTTTACCGTGGCTCCAAGTGCCGGCTACTTCACTGACAAAAATATAAATTCAAAAAGAAAAAAAAAATCTTTTTAAAATGTATACAGGCAAGTGTCGAGAGTCGTATTGTCGCAAAGTCACGGTCGCGATAAACAAGGATATAAAATCAGTGTTTACCTTTGACTAAATATAGTTCACGTTACTTCAGGTCACTGATTGGTCGTCTATTTAAAGTCTGGAAAGTATCGTATGTTTGCAAGGATAACAAGAGAGACGTTCCGATGGTCATTTACAATATGAAGCGATCAAATACCCTGTTCGGTTTTGGCTTCAAGAAAGCGAAGAAATTCAGAGAAGATGATAATAGCATGTTATGAAATAATATCAGTCAAATAAAAGAACGTATAATATATAATGTTGTTAAGAATCTGGAAAACAGTACCTTTTGTAGTTCCCTTTTCAAAGCCCACGTGGTGTCCAAAATGATTTTAGTTTCCTACTTACTGAACAGTTTACAAAAAAGAGAAAATCAGAGGAGATATCAATTTTATGACAATGCTTTTGAAATACGTGTACAAGTCTTTTGAGAAAAAAGAGGGGTCATATTTGTTTACAAATGTATGTAGTTACGCAAAATAAATCGATCAAGATATTTAATAAATTAGATTATTAAAGAAATATAATTAAATATTTCATCGATCATCTACATGAATTTAAGGACAGAGAATTCTTTAGTTGTCTTCAAAAGATATTAAAAAAAAACTGGTACACAGGGTATGAAGATTCCCATTTTGTAAATGATTTTTATACGAACGCAAAAAAATTTTGTGGTCGTATATTGGTATGACGTTGGCGTCGTCGTCGTCGTCGTCGTCCGGCGTCGTCGTCCGAAGACACATTGGTTTTCGCACTCTAACTTTAGTTTAAGTGAATGGATCTTTTTGAAATTTTACCATAAGGTTAAATACCATAAAAGGAAAGTTGGGATTGATTTTGGGGGTTATGGTACCAACAGTTAAGGAATTAGGGGCCAAAAATAAGCATTTTCTAGTTTCCAGACAATAACTGTGGAACGGTGTATGGATCTCTCTGAAATTATACTACAAGTTTCCATACCACAAAGGGATGGTTAGGATTTGCTTTGGGGGGTTATGGCTCAAACCGTTTAGGAATTAGGGGCAAAAAAGGGGGAAAAACAAGGTTGTCCTGGTTAATGGACAAATACTTTAGTACAAAACATAATTTAAAGCAGTGTAAGGGAGATAAATCAAATGCATCATTGAAATTATCTCCCTTACACTGCTTTTAAATTATGTATAAAGTAATGGTTAATGAACAATAAAGATAATTTAAAACAGTGTAAGGGAGGTAATCCAAATACAACGTTTTGGTTACTTCCCTTACACTGCTTTTAAATTATGTTTAAAGAAATGCATATTTATAAAGGAAGACCAGTAAAAATATTTACAAATGTTGCCTTATTTTTTTTTACAAAAAAATCCATATGAAAGATTTGACACTATATTTTTAATTCTATTATAAAATAGATTAAGTTAGCACTATGGTAAATTTAAATGGGTAATTATGGTTGCCAACTCCATTGGAAATTTGAATTGAGATTATGACCATATCTTGAGGGAAAGAATTTTTTTGGGGAAAAAAGGGGGGGGGGGATAAAAAGAAATTGTGGGGGGTCAATTTTTTCTCATTTCAGATTTCAGAAATTAAAAAGAATTATTCTTCAAATATTTTTTTTTTTTCAAATTTCAAATATTGAAATATTTCAAGTAGTAATCTTTAATTGCACAGTATGGCGCATTAGATTTGTAAAATCTTTGATCACATTTATTTATTTGTTATGCCGAATCTAACAGTGTATTTAAATTTTTAATTTTGGGTCCAGTTTTCAAAATAGTCTACATTAAGGTCCAAAGGGTCCAAAATTAAACTTTGTTTGATTTTAGCAAAAATTGAATATATGAGGTTCTTTGATATGCTGAATCTAAACAAGTATTTAGATTTTTGATTTTTGGCCCAGTATTCAAGTTGGTCCAAATTGTGGTCCAAAATTAAACTTTGTTTGATTTCAACAAAAATTGAATATATGGGGTTCTTTGATATGCTGAATCTAACCATGTATTTAGATTTTTTATTTGTGGACCCCGTTATCAAATTGGTTCATATTGAGGTCAAAAGGGTCCAAAATTAAACTTTGTTTGATTTCATCTAAAATTGAATTATTGGGGCTCTTTGATATTCCAAATCTAACCGTGTATTTAGATTTTTAATTTTGGGTCCTGTTTTTTAAATTGGTCTACATTAAGGTCCAAAGGGTCCAAAATTAAACTTAGTTTGATTTTAACAAAAATTGAATTCTTGGGGTTCTTTGATATGCTGAATCTAAACATGTGTTTACATTTTTGATTATGGGCCCAGTTTTCAAGTTGGTCCAAGATAGGGTCCAGTATTTAAACTTTGTTTGATTTCAACGAAAATTGAATATATGGGGTTCTTTGATATGCTGAATCTAAACATGTATTTAGATTTTTGATTATGGGACCAGTTTTTAAGTTGGTCCAAATTGGGGTCCAAAATTAAACTTTGTTTGATTTTAACAAAAATTGAATATATGGGGTTCTTTGATATGCTGAATCTAACCATGTATTTTGATTTTGGACATTGGACCATAATAGGTAAATTAAAAAAATTCAAGTTCTTAGACCACATTCTTTCTGTGTCAGAAACCTATGCTGTGTCAAATATTTAATAACAATCCAAATTCAGAGCTGTATCAAGCTTGAATGTTGTGTCCATACTTGCCCCAACTGTTCAGGGTTCGACCTCTGCGGTCGTATCAAGCTGCGCCCCAGCGAAGCATTTTATTTGTATTGAATTTGATTGAAGTCAACAACAAAAATAAGACAAAATTTACATTTTCCCAAGCATCTAAATCACCTCCAGGTATGCTCAGAATGCAGGGTTTTGAGTCTAAAATTTCAAAATTTTCTTTGGGGGCAAACCCAAACCCCCCTAGCAAGTTCAGCTCGCTTCACAGGCTTCACCGGTGATACTCATAGTGAAATAAAGTGGGCTACTAACTTTTTGTCTGGGCTAACTGATTTTCAAGTCTAGTAGCCTAGCTGGCTACTGGCCTTACAAAGTTAATTTTCACCCCTGCAATCAACCAACATGGCCATTATGGCTAATAAAAGAACATAAGGGTAAAATGCATTTATTGTCTAATTTCATCAAAAACAAGAATAGGTATGGTAAATCTGACATTAGCTTTTAAAAATGCTCAGAATGTCGAGATGTATCTACTTCCAGTTTCAACCAAAATTATCAGATAACTCCTTTAAGGCCACTAAATGATGATTTTTGACTAGGTTTTGTGCTTTTGCCTGTTATTACAAAATATGATAATAGATAAGTAGAAACTGTATACAGGAAAAATGATCAACAAATATCTACAAATATGACTTCATGACCTAATCCATTGAATCACTCCTTATATGAGTTATTGCATGTTAATAATGGTGTTTTTTTTACTACTTTTAAAGTTTTTGCCTGTTATCTGGAAAACTATAATATATTGGGAGTAAGTAAACAGCATAAAAGGATCAGCAATACAAGATCTATAAAAATGCTGATATGATCAAAACCATTGATTGACTCCTTATAGGACGTCTTGTCTTTAAATGATGATTTTTTACTTATTTTTGAGTTTTTATCTTGAAAACTATAATAGATAGGTAGAAAATGTAACAGACAGGTGAGTGATACAGTCTCTCATGAGCCTCTTGTTTGTTAGAGCACTTAATTACATAACTGCCAATTTTTCAAAATCTCCATGGGAGATTTTAGCACAAGAGGACCTAATGCCTACCTACCAGGGCTTCCAAAAGACATTTCATTCAGCCAGACATTTGTTGTCTTATCCGAAATTTAGTCCCTTAAGACAACAAAAGGCAATCAGTTGGGCATCATATAAACAATGATTGACACAAAAACAGTATTTAACTTTTAATATTAATTCAATGTTTTGACATAAACTGTTAAATTGACAGTGCATCTTTCGAAGTGTGCAACATCAGCGTTCTTATTTCTGCCTTAGACTCTTTATTTGTGCAAAATTACGCTGTCAACAACTTCAAGTTTGTTTTTATAAATCACATTTTCCTAATACAGGATGTTGACTTGACAATGGTAGACATGGATCAGAGACAGACACGTAAAATCTGTGTACGTTTACAAAGCATGATTGAGTTTAAGTAGCTCTTTCCACGTTTTTCTTCAGGAAAATACTTGTAATGAACATTAGATAAAGGTATCAATGATAAATTTAGCATTTTTGAAAAATCCAGTTGCATAATTAAATCTCACACCTGCGCACACGTGTACTAGTTCAAATAACGTGGTTCTGAAGTAGTTTTCGCTTAAAACCTTTTTAAATTTTTCATCAAATCATATTTATATACGTATTTTTGATAATCTAAATCTTTTTGACTATATTAATTAGATGCAAACCGCTGAAATTTAAGAAAATAACTTCAAATAGAATGTCAAAGTCTGGTACAAAATAGTTTACCTGTTGGCAACAGGTAAATTTCAGCTATCAGATAACTAACTAACCTTGATTTTAATGAGAGGGTTTTAAAGTAGGGTTTGTTTTGATAATTATTATTCATCATGTCACTTTTATGATCGAAAATGTGTTGCTGTTTAAAGCAAAAGGTCAGGTCAAAAAGATCGCATAAACTTCAATTTTTTTATACGACCGCAAAAAAGGCCAAAAAGGGGCAAAAAACAAGCATTTTTCTAGTTTCATGACAATAACTTGTGTGAAAGTGTATGTATCTTTATGAAATTGTACTACAAGGTTCCATATCACAAAGGGAAAGCTGGAATTGAGTTTGGGGTAATTGCCCAAAAATTTTAGGAATAAGGGGCCAAAAATAAGCATTTTTCTAGTTTCCAGACAATAAATTGTGTTCAATGTAAGGATCTCTCTGAAATTGTACTGCAAGATACCATACCACAAAGGGAAGGCTGGGATTGATTTTGGGGGTAATTCCCTCAAAATTTTAGTAATTAGGGGCCATAAAAGGGCAAAAAAACAAGCATTTTTCTAGTTTCAGGACAATAACTTGTGTGTAAGTGTATGGATCTTTATGAAATTGTACTGCAAGGTTCCATATCACAAAGGGAAAGCTGGGTTTGAGTTTGGGGGTAATTGCCCTAAATGTTTAGGAATTTGGGGCCAAAAAGGGGCCAAAAAACAAGCATTTTTCTAGTTTCCAGACAATAACTTGTGTTCAAGTGTATGGATCTCTCTGAAATTGTACTGCAAGGTACCATACCACAAAGGGAAAGCTGGGATTGAGTTTGGGGGTGATGAATCATAAGGGGGTTCAAAAAATAGAGGGGGGGGATTTTTTTTTTCCTTTTTTTTCCTTTAAATTTTCCAATTTAAATTGGTTATTTCTGATTTATATATAAAAGCAAATACTGGTAATAATGATATGGTTTGAATAGGTAAATTAAAAATTTTTAAGTTCTTAGACCACTTTCATTCTGTGTGAGAAACCTATGCTGTGTCAAATATTTAATTACAATCCAAATTCAGTGCTGTATCAAGTTGGAATGTTGTGTCCATACTTGCCCCAACTGTTCAGGGTTCAACCTATGCGGTCATTTCAAGCTGTGCCCCAGCGGAGCATTTTATTTTTCTGAATTATGTTAAAATGGTAAACCGACCTTATATGTCCGGTTGAGGCTCGGCACTAGTCATATATATAATTACTGGTCAGGTCCAGAAAATAAAACATTAATTGAGTTTTATAAGGGTCAATTCAACAACTCTCATGGGGGATAGCGGGAAAGTTGGCAGGTCTGTTCTTATATTGCTGTATTTTTGATGCTTTTATAACAAATGTTTTATGATGAACTTGGTAATTTGTTTTCAAATACAGAACAAATGGGCATTGGACAAAAATTGACAGTATTTTCCAAATGTACATTAAGCTGGACTTTAAATGTTATTTTCAAGGTTTATATGGTCATTAAAGAGTGTAGACAATTCTTGCCTTGTAAACATTGTAAGACTGCTGATCCAATTCCATCATCAGGTGGAGTCCTCGTTCCTTTGTTGTTTCGGCGCTATTCCTCAACAACCTCTAGAGGTGCGCCGGCTCAGGTGATCAGTCTGAACCTGAAACTGGATGGCCAATATGTCAGCTGCTGCACTGTCACTGATTGATGTTTTTATCAGAGCTGTTATAAAAGTCTCTTATATCATCTGAAGTCAATTATTTACACTAGAGTCCTTAATTCACATATCTCTTAATTGCCATTTTCCAGATCTCATCCCTCTTCCTCCATATCCACTGTGATGACACTTCTGCTTGTCTACACACATCTGAAATAAGCTTCTTCTTCTCTGCTCCTACCACTCCTAAGGTCCTGAGAGCTTGCTATACTGTCTGTCCTGCAAAGCCCCTGCACCCTACTTCAATCGCAAAGCACCACGTCCTCTATCCCCGCTGCTGGCAATCCTCTACAAGCTGTTGATATTCAGAAATCCCAAGGGACTGTCAGCCCCAGCAAGACAGTCTCTGCCTTGTTCCCTGTGACCATATTACCATAGCTGGTCTTAGCAATGATGCTGCTATTTCTGCAGGGAAGCTCATATGTTGTTGAATATCTGCAGTCATCTGCCAGTCTGTTGCTGTTGCAATGATCCCAAGGCCTTCAGGTGTGTTGTCTTTGCTCTCTCCAGACTTCACAAAGTATGTATGGTCATTAAAGAGTGTAGACAATTCTGTATTTTACATGTTATAAAACAGATTTGTCAAGTGTTCTGTCACCATAAAGTGTACATTATGCTGTATTTCACATTTTATAGATTTGCCAAAGTGTACGGTTACTACAGAGTGTAGAAGTTGCTGTATTTTACATTTAACAGATTCGTCAAAGTGTACAGTCACGGCAGAGTGTAGACAATGCTGTATTTGACATTTTGCAGATTTGTCAAAGTTTGAGGTCAACACAGACATTAGAATATTCTGTATTTTATATTTTATAGATTTGACAAATTGAACAGTCACCATAGAGTGAAGACTATGCTGTATTTTACATATTATTTTACAGATTTGTCAAAGTGTATGGTCACCACAGAGTGTAGACTATGCTGTACAGGACTATTGTTTACCATTCCTGAAGACAGCATCACTTATCAGGTTCCATTTGTTTGAGGAAGAATTCCCACCACCTAAGGTTTGTCTTTTCCTTATTTCTGCTGTACATTTTTATTAAATTGCCATTTTTACCCTTGTCCTAAACTTAGTTTCCATTCTTCAACTTTGCCTCAACCAAATGTTATAAAACTTATACACAATGCTTATTACTACAAAAAAAACAGATCAAGTTTGAATTTTGGTTGTGTCAATTTTACTGTTCTAGAGTAATGCCCCTTTACAAATGGAAAAATTGCTGATTTTTCGTTAAAGTTTTCTAACTTAAGTTAGCCTCAACACAATGCTTATTACCACAAAACTCAGATTAAGTTTGAATTTGGGTGGCTTTACTTATACCGTTTTAGAGTTTTGTCCCTTTATATATGGAAAATTACTGAAATTTTCGTTTCTACTCTTGAACTTTAGTTTGCCTCAACCAAATGTTATGAACTTTACACAATGCTTATTACTTGAATTTGGGTGGCGTCACTTTTACTGTTTTACAGTTATGTCCTTTTATAATGGTATATACAAGCGGGGGCATCATTTGTGTCCCATGGACACGTTATCATGAAAATTTATAGCTCTTAGTTACTAACTGTTCTATTAATAAATTAATTGTCCCCTGATTGTTTATATCAATTAAGTTGAAATTAAGTTTATCACCCTTATAGGAGGATGCCACAGAGTTCCAGATTCTCCTCAGCTACCTTGGATTATATAACGGATTTGACAGTAGCTCTGCTACATGTTTAAATTGGTTAATAGAGGAACCCATGACATTGACACGTCTGTGGTGCTCTGAACTTGTCAACTTTATCAACGAACAGCCAACAGATTCTAAAGTAAGTTCAACACATAGTATAAGGTTTACACTACCATGACTGGTGGTCAGAACTCATAAGCTTTATAAAACAACCTTTAAGATTTATATAGAATGTGTAATAAATTGCTATGAATATGTCGCCTTTATTCATGAAACAGTTAGTGCAAAGGAAAGTTTTGCTTTTTGTCTCGCTTGAGGGAGTCAAAAAGTGAGACATAGGTATGCTGTTTCTGGCATCGGCGGCGGCATCAACAATGTATTAGTTTGTGATTAGGTCTAGTTTATGGTGAACCACTAGTGGTAAGTCAAAGATATTTGGTATGCAGTTGTATTAGTATTGGCACATCTCATTACCATGGAGATTATTTAGCCCCGCCCCCTCAGTTATGGTCTGTTGACTTTGAAACTTTTGCTTAGTTTTCATGTATTAATTTGTGATTAGGTCAGTTTATGGGGAACCACTAGTGGTAAGTTAATGATAATTGGTATGCAGTTGTATAAGCATTGGCACGTCTCATTTCCATGGAGATTATTTGGCCCCGCCCCCTCATTCATGGTCTATTGACTTTGAAACTTTTGCTTAGTTTTCATGTATTAGTTTGTGATTAGGTCGGTTTATGGGGAACCACTAGTGGTAGGTCAATGATATTTGGTATGCAGTTGTATTAGCATTGGCACGTCTCATTACCATGGAGATTATTTGACCTCGCCCCCTCAGTTATGGTTTATTGACTTTGAATTTTTGCTTAGTTTACATGTATTAGTTTGTGTTTAGGTTTGTTTAAAGGGAACTACTTATGATAAGTCAATGGTATTTGATATGCAGTTGTATTAGCATTGGCACATCTCATTTTCATGGAGATTGTTTAGCCATGTACCTTCAGTCATGGTTCATTGACTTTGATCAATTGCAAAACTTGCATGTTAAAGTGTTGCTATTTTAATTTCAACATTTGCATTATCAAAATTACAAAAAAGCGAGACATATCTCTGTTATAACAGTTTATTGTAGTATGGTACACATACAGTGGAACCTTGTTGTGTCGAAAACTCGGATGAGTCGAAGTAATTTCCGTTTGATCAATGCATATTTACCTCTGATGAGTTTTACTCGGTTGATTTGAATACTTGGTTAAGTTGAGTTAATTTTATAGTCCCGTCGATGTAAAGTTGATGTAAATTGACCACCATGTTTCGAAGTTCGAAAGATGCAGACTTACTTTCAGTGTTTTTCTTATGTTACCTAATTATTTCCAAAAGAGATTAAAGCTGTGTAAACACTCTTGTTTGTGTAACAGTTAAAATTACATGTTTATGGTGACCTGTAATTTGTTGATCTTCCAAGCGGTACTTAAGTTTGTTAAACATATTTCACCCGACATAAATGAAACAAATTTAAATGACCCAAACCTAGATTAAATGAATCTTTAGAATTAGAATTCATTAATTACAATAAATAAAAGGATAAAGACAAAGCAGACAACCCTCATCAGAAATTTTTAAGAACTTGTTTCGTTCCGCGAGTGATTTCAAAATTTATAGTGACTGACCTTTGTAAATATTTGTGTTTGTGTATTGATTTTATTTGCAAATGTTTTGTATCTGTACTTGTGTGTTTAATTATTATGAGGGATAGAAAAAATATGGAGATTGAATACACTATCATAAAGTGTCATATCGAAAAAAAGACACACTGTTCAAAATATCTAGTTTACACAAATCTCATAACGTATTTAGTGCATTCAAAATTTATGACGACACACTCGATCTCCGATGAGTCTAACCTTGGATAAGTCAAATACTTTTGTCTGGTCCCTTTGACTTCGACATAAAGAGGTTCGACTGTAATACTTCCAACTTCTGATGCTGTAACTGTGTCAGCTTTATTGAGGGGATAGAAGGACCTTTTTTGGGACTTTGAGATTGAACTGTTTAATTCATCAGAAAATGGGAATAGCTAGTTAATTTGTCAGGAATTCAGGAATCAGGATTTAATTATATAGTGATGTGGGAACTGACACATTATTTTCAGTGGAATTCAGGGTTTAGCATTTATTTTCTCAGGAATTCGGGATGAAATCCACTCCTCCCTTTCTTTATTAATAACATACAAATGCCCTAACAGTGAAATCTTCTACCTTCTTTAACAACCAATACAAAAGTGATATACAGCACATACATTCTACTATTTTGGAAAAATGTTTGGTAGCAGTTATACAGATTTCATTGTTTTTTGGTTTGCTACAAAATAGCTTCACTTGTATTGGTATGTCAATAAGTCTTACACAAAACAGAGTGTGAGTGAGAATTTCCAACTGAAATAAGTGATTTATATAGAATGATGACTGCTATTGTGAAGACAGATATTGTTACAGGAAGCTGAGATACTGTTGAGACCGTTCAAGTAGACATTCCATTTACAGTACAGGCAAATTGTGAACAGATTTTACTACATGTATACTTATGAAAATATTTTTGCGTGTTATGCTTCATGTAGTAAAAAAATACACAGAAAATCAGTTTGTATGATCAAAGTGGGTTTGGATTTGGAAATTCAAAACCGTTCCTTTTTTTTTATACTGTAAACAAACAATTTCCCAATTTAGCTCCATTTAGCTTTTTTTAGCTGACTTCAGCCTTTTTTTTTTCATGTTTATTTTCTGATAAATAATTTTAAGGGAAATTCCAAGTTAGACATGTTGGCGACAATTTATATTCTTTTTAATTTTCTACCAATCAAAGTCTCAGATATAAATGGCTTGCTAAAGTTTGTTGGTTAACATTATTTTCATTGACAGGCATAGTGGTTACACTGCATTAAAAGGCTAACAGATAAGTAATTTCCTTCAAAAGAATTCATTGGAACATTTGACTTTATTCATACCACTGTATGTAACAATTTTATTTTTAAATCAGACCAATCAATTAAACTGTCAAATATTGTAAATTTCATAATCTCAACATCAAAATTTAAAATAAAGATACAATTAATATAAAAAAAATATAGTTTTTTGGTGTTGAATGGCAGTCCAGTTACAATAAGATCTCAATTCTTTTTGGGGCACATTCCAAATTATTCATGTTAATTCAAACTGTGAATTGAAATTTCAACTAGCCACAAATCATGCATTAAAAAAATTATCCAGTAAGGTGTCAAAAGGAGTGTCTTACCCTGAAATTCATCAAAAAACCTGTCAGGCCTCCATAGAAATCCAATGTTATTTAATGCAGACCTAAACATGGCATTATACAGTAGTAAGTCATCTGTAATGTAGTGTCTAGCACAGTGTTATTTGATGTAATCCTGTTATATAGCATTTCCCATCCCCTTTACTCTAATGTTTATTTCAGAGTTTATTTATGTACACATCTACATGTCACTTTCTGATTTTTGTCGAGGCTGCGACATTTACATAGCTATCCAAGATGCTGTCAGGGGCGTCAACATTTAGCTTCAGTCTGTGGTTAAAGTTTTTCAGTCATCAATAACTTTGTCAAACCTTTATGGAATTTTATGAAATTTGGACAGAAGCTTGATAATGACCAAAATACAGTATCCAGAGCAAAATTTTGAAAATATTTACTTTCATTTTCCCGTATTTAACTGATAAATTGACTTAGTTTTTTTTACAGTTAACATTCAGATTCAAGACCAAGAAATAAAATCTAAAGAAAAAGTTTGAATTTTTTTAAAAATTCTGTATTTTTCTTAAGGAATGACTGTAATATTTTTTCTGTCTATTCGAAATAACATCAAAAATGTGGTGCACACTGAATAACCCGCGTAGCGGGTTATTTTAAAGTGTGCACCACATTTTTTTATGTTATTTCGAATAGACAGAAAAAATATTACAGTCATTTCTTATAATTTAATTCTAAATTCCATTTTAAAGCGGAGTAAACCATGAAAAAACGTTGATGACGTCACGGTCACATGACAAAATTATGTCTATGAGCTGATAAACAAAACAACGTCAGCCAATCAGAAGACGTGTTACATCCAAAATTAAATTATTGATAAATGGACTCACTTTTTAAGTCAACATTACACTTTTACACTGACAGTAACAATCACAGGCGAGACATAGGGTTCTGCCAAACCCCATACAGTATGTCCCCTTTACTCTTTTGTGTATTTCAGAGTTTATTGATGTACACACCTACGTGGCATCCCCCACAGCTAATTGTACTACCTCATCACTATTACAAGATATTCCAGAGTTACAACAGTAGACAATGTGGTATGTGTAGCAGTGTACCCAAGGATCCTGCTCTCTGTCTTGTATGTGGACAGTACCTCTGTTTTAGACAGTCCTGTTGTCAACAACAGAGTAGTTATGAGTGTGTACATGTAAGTGATGTGTTATGTAGTTTGTGTAGCAAGGCAAATAAGGATGAAGCAACATTTGATAAGTAGGAACTATCTTTTCCAAGGTCAAATTTAGTTACATACTGTAAATTCATTTAATTTCATGGTTAAAAGTAAAAAGTTAAAAGTTAAAATCGCATTTCATGTTTTTTTTTTTACAATTTTAGCATAGAAGCCTTCCTGAAATTTGTACTTCATTGAACACTTAAATTTGTGTTTCAAAGAAATCCAAGACAATCAGTACCTCATGTATAATAATGAATCAACTGTATAAGTCTAGCATATACAAAATTAGGAGATGCAGTACTTTATTATAAGTTATATGGTTTGCTACTGACCCCCACAGATCCATAGGGGTTAGTAAAATTTATAGGGGGTGGGGCCTTAGGCCGAATCCTCTATGGATTTTACTAACCCTTTATGGATCCGTAGGAGTCAGTAGTGAACGGTATAACGAATATATAGCACACAGGAATTTTCCTGCCAAGTTTTGTATAAAAATAAAGAATGAAATTCAATAACATTAATAGATGATGTCACCATTGATAGAAAACATGACATCATGATACCCCTATGGATTAATTTGGGGTCATCTCATGAGGGGGTGAGGTTGAAGGATAGAGGATTTTTCTTTAGATTTATTACCTATGTATATCACCAGATCACTAAAGGTTCTTTCATTTTATTATACGACCGCAAAAAAATTTTGTGGTCGTATATTGGTATGACGTTGGCGTCGTCGTCGTCGTCGTCGTCGTCGTCGTCCGGCGTCGTCGTCCGAATACATATTGGTTTTCGCACTCTAACTTTAGTTTAAGTGAATGGATCTTTTTGAAATTTGACCATTAGGTTAAATACCACAAAAGGAAGGTTGGGATTGATTTTGGGGGTTATGGTACCAACAGTTAAGGAATTAGGGGCCAAAAAGGGGCCAAAAATGAGCATTTTCTAGTTTCCAGACAATAACTGTGGAACGGTGTATGGATCTCTCTGAAATTATACTACAAGTTTCCATACCACAAAGGGATGGTTAGGATTTGCTTTGGGGGGTTATGGCTCAAACCGTTTAGGAATTAGGGGCAAAAAAGGGGGAAAAACAAGGTTGTCCTGGTTAATGGACAAATACTTTAGTACAAAACATAATTTAAAGCAGTGTAAGGGAGATAAATCAAATACATCATTGAAATTATCTCCCTTACACTGCTTTTAAATTATGTATAAAGTAATGGTTAATGAACAATAAAGATAATCTAAAACAGTGTAAGGGAGGTAATCCAAATACAACGTTTTGGTTACTTCCCTTACACTGCTTTTAAATTATGTTTAAAGAAATGCATTTTTATAAAGGAAGACCAGTAAAAATATCTGCAAATGTTTTCATCTTTTTTTTTTACAAAAAAATCCATATGAAAGATTTGACACTATATTATTATACGACCGCAAAAAAATTTTTGTGGTCGTATATTGGTATGACGTTGGCGTCGTCGTCGTCCGGCGTCGTCGTCGTCGTCGTTGTCTGGCGTCGTCCGGCATCGTCCGAAGACACATTGGTTTTCGCACTCTAACTTTAGTTTAAGTGAATGGATCTCTATGAAATTTTACCACAAGGTTCAATACCACAAAAGGAAGGTTGGGATTGTTTTTGGGGGTTATGGTACCAACAGTAAAGGAATTAGGGGCCAAAAAGGGGCCAAAAATAAGCATTTTTGTAACTTCCAGACATAACTTGTGTGTTAGTGTATGGATCTCTCTGACATTGTACCACAAGGTTCCATATCACAAAAGGAATGCTGGGATTGATTTTGGGGGTAATTGCCTCAAAATTTTAGGAATTAGGGGCCAAAAAAGGGGCAAAAAACAAGCATTTTTCTAGTTTCATAACAATAACTTGTGTGTAAGTGTATGGATCTTTCTGAAATTGTACTACAAGGTTCCATATCACAAAGGGAAAGCTGGAATTGAGTTTGGGGGGTAATTGCCGAAACATTTAGGAATTGGGGGCCAAAAATAAGCATTTTTCTAGTTTCCAGACAATAACTTGTGTTCAAGTGTATGGATCTCTCTGAAATTGTACTGCGAGGTACCATACCACAAAGGGAAGGCTGGGATTGATGATGGGGGTAATTGCCTCAATATTTTAGGAATTAGGGGCCAAAAAGGGGCAAAAAACAAGCTTTTTTCTAGTTTCAGGACAATAACTTGTGTGTAAGTGTATGGATCTTTCTGAAATTGTACTACAAGGTTCCATATCACAAAGGGAAAGCTGGGTTTGAGTTTGGGGGTAATTGCCCTAAACGTTTAGGAATTTGGGGCCAAAAAGGGGCCAAAAAACACATTTTTCTAGTTTCCAGACAATAACTTGTGTTCAAGTGTATGGATCTCTCTGAAATTGTACTGCAAGGTACCATTCCACAAAGGGAAGGCTGGGATTGAGTTTGGGGGTGATGAATCATAAGGGGGTTCAAAATATTTGTGGGGGGGGGATTTTTTTTTTTTCATTTTTTTTTTCTTTTAAAATTTTCCATTTTAAGTTGGTTATTTCTGATTTATATTTAAAAGCAAATAATAATGATATGGTAGGAGATACACACCAAACAGGATGTGTAAATTATTATATAATAAGTATTGTGCAATAGCAAGAAATTTTCAATTGCGCAGTATTGCACAATAGCAAGAAATCTTCAATTGCACAGTATTGCGCAATAGCAAGAAATCTTCAATTGCACAGTATTGCGCAATAGCAAGAAATATCCAATAGCACAATATTGCGCAATAGCAAGAAATTGTCAATTGTACAGTATTGCGCAATAGCAAGAAATATTTAATTGCACAGTATTGTGCAAAAGAAGATACTTCGTATAAATTGCTTATTTCTTGACCAATTTCAATGGGGTTTTATTCTTGAATTCTTGGGTTTCTTTAATATGCTGAATCTAACCGTGTATTTAGTTTTTGGATTTTGGGCCCCGTTTTTTTAATTGGTCCAAATTGAGGTCCAAAGGGTCCAAAATTAAACTTTGTTTGATTTCATCAAAAATTGAATTTTTGGGGTTCTTTGATATGCCGAATCTAACCATGTATTTAGATTCTTAATTTTTGGTTCCGTTTTCAAATTGGTCTACATTAAGGTCCAAAGGGTCCAAAATTAAACTTAGTTTGATTTTAACAAAAATTGAATTCTTAGGGTTCTTTGATATGCTGAATCTAAACATGTATTTAGATTTTTGATTATGGGCCCAGTTTTCAAGTTGGTCCAAATCGGGGTCCAAAATTAAACTTTGTTTGATTTCAACAAAAATTGAGTATATGGGGTTCTTTGATATGCTGAATCTAACCATGTATTTAGATTTTTGATTTTTGGGCCGCGTTTTCAACTTTGTCCACATTGAGGTCAAAAGGGTCCAAAATTAAACTTTGTTTGATTTCATCAAAAATTGAATTCTTGGGGTTCTTTGATATGCTGAATCTAACCATGTATTTAGATTTTGGATATTGGACCATAATAGGTGAATGTCCAATTTAAAATTTTTAAGTTCTTAGACCACATTCATTCTGTGTCAGAAACCTATGCTGTGTCAAATATTTAATCACAATCCAAATGCAAAGCTGTATCAAGCTTGAATGTTGTGTCCATACTTGCCCCAACTGTTCAGGGTTCGACCTCTGCGGTCGTATCAAGCTGCGCCCTGCGGAGCATTTTATTTTTCCAATGAAGATAATAGAACTAGGTTGTATATAAGATTGATTTAAATTTATTTAAATATTGTTAACTTCAGAACACAATTTAGTAATACATGTTGAAAGTATGAGTTGAGCTACCTGATTTTTGTTGTTGAATATTTTTGATTGTATCAATATGACTTAAATTTTACACTAATAACATTTGTAGCATTCTGTACAGTGTGGAGCTGGTACTGGAATGTTTCTACTGATCAACTCCAGTACTGTAGTAGTGATCAGAGGTCCAAGAGCCACACTATGGGGCTCTATTTACCTAGATGATCATGGTGAGGAGGACAGAGAATTAAAGTAAGTAGCATACCTGAGCCATTTTAACCTTTTCTCAGTCACACTGACAAGAAGTTTGAATGCAGACATCACTATACTTTACCTGACTTGAATATGAGTCTTATGTATATGAAGGTTACCTCTCAGCATAACCTTGAATGGGTTCCATAATCAGGAAAATGTAACTTGGGGCCATTTTTTCTGGAGGGACAATATCCAATATTAATTCAAGTTACCAGGATAGTGCCTACATTTTTTATCAAACCTTTTTCAAATTTGTATGATGGTTTCCACTCATTAGGCCTGACTTTTTTTATCTGTTTAACGAGAAAATTTGTAAAAAATTAGGGTCAAGGGACGGAATAAAAAAAAAAATAAAAGTGCAAAGTTGGTCCAGTCGACACTAAAAATAAAAATAAAACCATTTATAAGTGACCTTTTTTTTTTTTTTTTTTTTTTTTTAAGAATTTATCAAAATACAAGAACAATGAAATGAAAACAGACCAGTATATTAACCTTCTATTAATATGAACCTTAAAAAATATCTTGATTCTGTATGTCATCTAATTTAGATCCATGCATATGCACCAGGCAAGTATATCAACCTCCCTGCATATACACTATATATATGTATATTACCAGTGTGTATGTTACATGTTTATACTGTATATACAATTCAATTAAAAAAACTACTCTGTTATCATGTTCATGAAATTAATTATTTGTCATTAAAAAGATATATTCATTTAACCGTTAAGCTTGGAAATAATATAAGTATTTTATATTAGTGTAATAGACACGGTTGAGCAACATTAACTTATAAATTGAAACAATGCATTAAAAAGGAAATATAAACATTAATCAAAAATATCTAACCAAAAGTACGTTAATGCGTGTGGAATGCATAATTTTTCCTTTTGGGATCAATTTTTGTCTGTCAGCAGTGCCATTCATGCGTCCGTAGTCATTCCGATCCGTAGTTCTTCAAAAATGTACCCAATAATTTAAATGTTGGAGAAAACTTTACAAAAATAAACGATGTATGATACGCTTTTTGGAAAGGAATATGACGTTTTTAATGCAATACATGGATTACAAATTTACTTCAGGCTAATTTCATCAAGTTCAAATGAAGTAATAACTTATTTAGCCGAAAGTTAGAATGATTTGATGTACTCTCTCGTGTAACAAGTACTGGCGAAAGTGGTTTTAAACAAATTGTTTTTATGAAAAAACATGCCACCAGCTTAAAGAATTAATGCTTTAACCTCTTTTTTGAAGTCATAAATCGTTTATGCCTTTCATTTCTTTACTTTGAAATTGCTGTTTCATCGACTTGGTAAAAATTAAATATAACCGATGACGAAAGCGGGTATTGTAAACCACAGATTTTATATTTTTTTTCTGAGGATTTCGTAACAGTCGGCGGGAAAAATAAAAATAAAAGTAAAAAGTACTTCTTTTATTTTTATTCTGAAATCGGAAAATTGGAGTCGGCGGATCTCGTTAAACAGATAATAAAAAAAGTCTGGCCTTAATACTCAAATGAGAGACCATTATGGGGTGAATTTGTCTCACATGCTGCTAAATCCTTGGCAACCAAACAGTGTTAGCTATTTGTATTAAGCTTTACATTTCAGAAGGTAGAAGTCCTGGTTGCTTCATAGTTAGTATAAAGATGCCTAATGTTAAGAAATTTTCGTCTGTCATATGTCCATTGTCTTGACATCATTTTCATGGTTCTGCAACTGCTTATAAAAACTATAGTTTTATTTTCATGTGAATTTCTCACTTATTATGAATAATAGGATAACTATATTTGGTATATGGGATCCTTGCAACGTCTACATTACATGTTTATCATAGAAGATTCACCTGACCTCGACCTCATTTCATGTATCAGTGATCAATGTTAAGTTTTTTGTGTTTTGAATAGAGAATGAAAACAGGGAATGTGTCAAAGAGACAACAACCTGACCAAAGAGCAGGAAACAGCCCAAGACCACCATTGGGTCTTCAACTCAGAAAACCTGCACCTGGAGGCAGGCTTCAGCTAGCCCCTAAACAACGTATACTTGTTCTGCGAAATGGACACCACACTAAACTCTGAATCATACAAATGAACAAAAATTAAAAAAACACACAAAACTAACAAAGGCTAGAGGGGACTTAGGACAGGCTCAAAATGTGTCAGGGTTAAACATGTTTTGTGACACACAGGTCTGTTTCTCAGATACTATAAACAATAGGTCAGCTATATTTTACCTTTTTATTGTCATGGTCCATTGGTCTTCTGTTTAGTTTAAGTTTTCTGTTAAGGCCTATTTCTGTATTGTAGTAGGTCAACTATATTTGGTGGTTGGATTGATGATTGTAAGGTCTACATGTTTCTTTTGAACAGGTAATCTGACCTTGACCTCATTTTCATGTAAAAATAAAGAGATGTAGTGTGATTGCCAATGAAACAACTATCCACCAGAGTTCCTATGAAGTGCATATAAGCTCTTGTTATTTACCAGATTCTTCTTCAAATTTGGTGAATGTTCAACTATTTATACCTAAAATAAACTATTGTTGTTCCAGAGTAATGCCCTTTCACAAAGCAAAAAAAAGAACAAATTTGGGGTTTAAGCACAGGAATGAGAAAGCCTCAACCAAATCATTTGAAATTTTAAATTTTGTAAGGACCGCTAAACAAATCCAGTTCAAATTTGATAGTATTGTCTTTCAAGTTATGCCCCATGACATTTAACCACTGTAGGATTTTTATTGCCAGTCCTCAACGAAATGGCAAAGGTGAGACTTGGGGCTGCTGTTTCCAGTGGTGTTGGCATTGGGGTCAAAAATGTATTAGTTTGTGATTAGGTCAGCTTAAGGAGAACCACTTGAGGTATGTCAATGATATTTGATATGCAGTTGTATTAGCATTGACACATCTCATTTCCAATGGAGATTATTTGAACTTGCCCCCTCCTCATGGACTATTGAATTTGGAACTTTTGCATAGTATACATGTTTAAGTTTCTGAATAGGTCAGTTTGAAGGGAACCACTTATGGTAAGTAGATGATATTTGGTATGCACTTATATTAGCATTTGCACAATTGATATGTATGGAGATTATTTGGCCTCACCCCCTCAGTCCAGGTCTATTGACTGATCTTTTGCATAGTTGACATGTTGCAGTTTGTGATTAGGTCAGTTTAAATTGAATGACTAATGGTAAGTCAATGATTTTTGTTATGCAGTTGCATTAGAGTTTCTCATTTCCAGAGAGATATATGGCCACATCCCCTCAGTTATTGTTGATTGACTTTGAATGCATAGTTTCAAAGTTTGTGTTTAGGTAAGTCTAAGGGGCACCACTTATGATTAGTCAACGGTATTTGGCATGCAGTTGTATAAGCATTAGCATTTCTCATTTCCAAGGAGATTATTTGACCCTGCACCTTTAGCTATGGTTCATTGCCTTTGGATGTTTTGCATAGTTTACATATATTAAGTAATAGAATTTAATATAAGTATTGACATTTTAATTTCAACATTTGCATCATACCATCAAAATTTCATACAGGCAAGACATATCTCTGTGTCAACAGTTGATGACTAATATATTTATTTGTTTTTGTAGGAGAGGAAAGCCTTTGTTCCTGAGCCAAGAGAGATATAACCTACTTAAACAACAATGGTTATCACATAGTTTTGATCACTCTTGTAAAAGATGGATTTGGCATTTAGACAGATTATGAGTTTGCATTATGTTCCATTCCTGTGATAATCTTCTATGAAAGAATCTCATCTTTATGCTTGCATTGGGTTTTTTTTTTATTATTAAAATGAAGTATCACTTAGGGCTGAAATTACATATCTGTTGTGCAAGTAAATGAAATTATAGCCTATTGTAGGGCTAAACAGAACTTCACTACCGTTACTACTAGGGATGTCAACACGGTGAAGATTTACTAATTGATTACTCGTTGGATTTACCGAGCGATACTTGAGTACTCGCTCGGTAAAACATTTACAAAATGGAAACACAAAATTATACCATTTTATGTATTGTAGGTCGTTGTCTTATGATCATAAAACCCTTAACATCATTTCCTAGGACTAGATAACAGTCCAAGGAATTTTATACCATAATTAATAGCTCATTTACTACATGTACTAATTATGTAAACGGTAATAATCTAATCAAGTAATTAATTAATATCTATAGAAAAATTATTACTCAAACAACAGTACTAGTATTTGGAAACCGCAAAAAAAACACATGTAATAATCAACAAAGGGGTGATAATTATAACTTACTGATGGCATTAATCATTTTCTGAGGGTCGATACAGGGTGCAACGAATTTGTTCTTATGTAAACATATTATCTTGTCAACTTTTCTGGAACGTAGCGATTTCTCTAATTTGTTGGGTAACTAACAGTCCTGCTGATGAAAATATGTGCCCTGACGGTACAGAGGTGGGGGAGTGACTCAGATTAGCTAAAAGTGTCAGCCTTGAAAAAATGCTCTTGTTCGTATATCCTAAATATACCTCTGTTTTGAGGAATTAAAATGAGTTAAACGCAAACATTCGAATCGTTAACTTTTATTAATTTTTAAAAATATATAATGTCCCGGGAGGTGTTCTCAATAAAAATATTTTTTGTTTATACTTAAGAAAGCAACAAAATTCTAACAGGAAACCGAGTAGTCGAGTATCATTTTGGTAATCGATACTCGGTACTACGTACTCGAAGACTCGTTGACATCCCTAGTTACTACTGTGCCACAACAGTATAAAAAATTTATTGTCATTTATGTATTTATATAATTTTTCACTGAACAGGACTGTCCTAGGTAGAAATAATACATTGTCTACCATAGATGATTATATTTATCACATGTTTTTCCAGTGATATCCTTGTTTTTGCATTGCTGATATGACACAAACTGAACATGATTATAAAACAAGCTGACAGTATAGTTTTCATTGAAATGACTCATCAGACCACATTTGCAAAATCTAAAAAAGCACTCTCCCTTAAGAAGCTAAGTCCAATTTACAAGACTTAGTGTAGTGTTCAAACAAAATTACTTAAATCTTTTATTTCTAAGATTATGTTGGGTATTTTGACCTCATGACTAGAAACAGTGTGGCTTTGTTTGGTTACAGGTATAAATGAAATGGTAAAAAATTAATCTAAAAGCAAAAAAAAACCAAACAAACATTTTTATCAAACACACACATTGAATAAATGAATCAGCTTTATTCCATTGTATTATTAATTTTTTTTCTTTCAAATTTCTTAGGCAAAAATATGTGATAAATTCATATCTTTCCATGATTTCATGCCATGTCCTCCCATATTGGACAAGAATTTTAATAATGCCATGAAACAATTGGTAAATATTAAAATCTCATTTTTAATTTTTTCACTGATGGAAAGTGTAATGTAAGATTTGTGTCTAGAAATGTTTTTTTTTTAACAGTTTGAAGTTCACAAAAAATATTAGGATTATAAAAAGAAGAAAATGTTTGATTAAAAGTATTAGCTTTAGCTTCAGAACTATATAACATATTGAAACACAAATATAGAACCTAAGCCAACACTCAGCTGTTTAGACTTAATTTTCCATAAATACAAATATTTGTAAAAATCTTTATATTTGAAGATTTTTGTAATTGACACCCTTTTTTGCAACAGAAAAATATGATACAGTAGCAGGGGGTAAACATGTTGCTTTGCACAATTGCTATCATGGACATTAACATTTTTGGGTTGTACTTTAAAGGGTGTCAGAAATTCACAAAATTATACCATGAACTCAAAAAAACTAGTTGCTCACATCTTGGCAGTGAGAAAAGCAATGTTTTAAATTATGAAAGTAGGTGAGAAATAGCTGGTTGCTTTATTTCATCTATAAATTCAAATCAATAAAAGTACTCACAAATATGACATATTTAAAGAATTTTTGACAGCTGAGGAGAGTTGATACAATTTCATGTTATATTGTTCAACTTGTGCTTTTTATTCTGTTATCACACGCTAATCAGTAAGTCGACTTTGGTTGATTTACTCAAGTTCTTTTGAGTGCTTCCGCTGAAAATAGTTCTTTGATTTTCTACAATCTGTTTAGTTTATGATTAACAATTTTGATCATGGTGCAATACATGATGTAATAACTGTGCATACCCTGTAGACGGCCTTGTATAATTCGCACTGGTACATTGTCAACACCCCTTTCTTGCCACGAGAATTCAGGTAAAAAAACTTTTTGTAATTGTTAGAAAACGTCTAATGAAACTCCAGTAATTTTAAATTGTGTGTGTGATTGTTTGCGGTATTTTCATGGAAAAACCTGTTTTCCATATAAATCAAATAGAAGTTGAAAATGCTTGTAAATGATTCTACAACACTTCACGAGTTTTAAAATAAGCCAAAATCACAAAAAAAAAAAACAATTAAGAAACTGCTTGAATTTAATGGAAAGAAAAAAGTGTAGAAGTCAACCCGAACCAGCTTATGCATAACGATGTATAAACTACAAAACGTAGTCGGTTATTCGTTCCTTTTTATACGACCGCAAAAAAATTTCGTGGTCGTATATTGGTATGACAAAGGCGGCGTCGTCCGAAGACACATTAGTTTTCGCACTCTAACTTTAGTTTAAGTGAATGGATCTTAATGAAATTTTACCATAAGGTTCAATACCACAAAAGGAAGGTGGGGATTGATTTTGGGGTTTATGGTACCAACAGTTAAGGAATTAGGGGCCAAAAATAAGCATTTTTGTAACTTCCGGACATAACTTGTGTGTAAGTCTATGGATCTCTCTGACATTGTATCACAAGGTTCCATATCACAAAGGGAATGCTGGGATTGATTTTGGGGGTAATTGCCTCCAAATTTTAGGAATTAGGGGCAAAAAAGGGGCAAAAAACCAGCATTTTTCTAGTTTCATGACAATAACTTGTGTGTAAGTGTATGGATCTTTATGAAGTTGTACTACAAGGTTCTATATCACAAAGGGAAAGCTGGAATTGAGTTTGGGGGTAATTGCCCAAAAATTTTAGGAAAAAGGGGCCAAAAAGGGGCCTAAAATAAGCATTTTTCTAGTTTCCAGACAATAACTTGTGTTCAAGTGTATGGATCTCTCTGAAATTGTACTGCAAGGTACCATACCACAAAGGGTAGGCTGAGATTGATTTTGGGGGTAATTCCCTCAAAATTTTAGTATTTAGGGGCCATAAAAGGGCAAAAAAACAAGCATTTTTCTAGTTTCAGGACAATAACTTGTGTGTAAGTGTATGGATCTTTATGAAATCGTACTGCAAGGTTCCATATCACAAAGGGAAAGCTGGGTTTGAGTTTGGGGGTAATTGCCCTAAACGTTTAGGAATTTGGGGCCAAAAAACAAGCATTTTTCTAGTTTCCAGACAATAACTTGTGTTCAAGTGTATTGATCTCTCTGAAATTGTACTGCAAGGTACCATACCACAAAGGGAAGGCTGGGATTGAGTTTGGGGGTGATGAATCATAAGGGGGTTCAAAAAATTTGGGGGGGGGATTTTTTTTTCCTTTTTTTTTCTTTAAAATTTTCCATTTTAAATTGGTTATTTCTGATTTATATATAAAAGCAAATAATAATGATATGGTTTGAATAGGTAAATTAAAATTTTTTAAGTTCTTAGACCACTTTCATTCTGTGTCAGAAACCTATGCTGTGTCAAATATTTAATTACAATCCAAATTCAGTGCTGTATCAAGCTTGAATGTTGTGTCCATACTTGCCCCAACTGTTCAGGGTTCGACCTCTGCGGTCGTATCAAGCTGCGCCCCAGCGGAGCATTTTATTGGTGTTTGTGTTGACGTATGTGTTTTGTTTTAGCTTAAGATCTTTCAAACATTAATGTAATAGATATGCTAAACATTTTTTTACTTAAGGATGGAACTGTTTTACTTTCAAAGTCGAATTCTAGTGATATCTATTAAGTACAGATTTTCCGAACACTCTCACCATAGATATAAGAAGATGTGGTAGGAGTGCCAATGAGACAACTCTCCATCCAAGTCAAAATTTATAAAAGTAAACCATTATAGGTCAAAGTATGGTCTTCAACACGGAGCCTTGGCTCATACCGAACAGTAAGCTTTAAAGAGCCCCAAAAATTACTAGTGTAAAACCATTCAAACGGGAAAACCAACGGTCTAATCTACATAAAAAACGAGAAACGAGAAACACTTATGAACCACATCAACAAACGACAACTACTGAACATCAGATTCCTGACTTAGGACAGGTGCAAACAAATGCAGCTGGTTTAAACGTTTTAATGGTTCCAAACCTTCACCCTTTTTCTGAAACAATAGTGTAACATCACAACATAGAAAGAGACACTATAAAATATCAACTGAAATAGCTTAACTCAATCAAAGGACATATTAACACCAGTGAACATACACTGAACGAATAAATTTGACCTATGATACAATGTAAATTATCATTTACACGTGCTATTTTCGCAAATTTCTTGAAAAGAACTAGAAATTTGTAGTGAAACTTTTAATTTTGAAATTAATCAGTTTATTGTCTCGCGTTGACGGAGTCAAAAAGCGAGACATAGGTATGCTGTTTTCGGTGTCGGCGGCGGTGGCGTCAACAATGTATTAGTTTGTGATTAGGTCTAGTTCATGGTGAACCACTAGTGGTAGGTCAATGATATTTGGTATGCAGTTGTATTAGCATTGGCACATCTCATTACAATGGAGATTATTTGGCCCCGGCCCCTCAGTCAAGGTCTATTGACTTTGAAACTTTTCATAGTTTACATGTATTAGTTTGTGATTAGGTCAATTTATGGGGAACCACTAGTGGTAGGTCAATGATATTTGGTATGCTGTTGTATAAGCATTGGCATATCTCATTTCCATGGAGATTATTTGGCTCCACCCAATTAGTCATAGTCTATAGACTTTGAAAATTTTGCTAAGTTAACATGTATTAGTTTGTGATTAGGTCAGTTCAAGGGGAACCATTAGTGGTAGGCCAATGTTAATTGGTGTTCAGTTGTATAAGCATTAGCTCATCTCATTTCCATGGAGAATATTTGTCCCCGCCCCCTCAGTCATGGTCTATTTACTTTGAAACTTTTGCTTAGTTTACATGTATTAGTTTGTGATTAGATCAGTTTAGATGAACTGCTAATGTTAGGTCAATGATATTTGGTATGCAAATTTATTGGCATTTGCGAGTATCATTTCCATGGAGATTATATAGCCCCACCCCTGATCATGGTAAATTGACTTTGAAACTTTCACATATGGTCAATGGTATTTGGTATCCAGTTGTATTAGCATTGGCACATCTCATTCCATGGAGATTGTTTAGCCATGTACCTTCAGTCATGGTTCTTCGACCTTGAATATTTGCATAACTTACATGTTAAAGTATTGCTATTTTAATTTCAACATTTGCATTATCAAAATTACAAAAAGGCGAGACATATCTCTGTGATAACAGTTTATATTTGATTTGGAATAAAAATTACAAATTATTATATTTAGGTAAACTTATTAGTTTTGAAAATGATAAGAGCGCCCTCTACAATTTCAATAACAAATATGGAGGAACGTAAACAAACCTTGTGAAATAGATTTTTTTCTCTTATTTCTTGCTTATTGTACTCTATAGTCCGCAACCCTGTCTGGCAGGTTCAATTTCGGAGAATAAAACCATGGATTATAAAAGATTGAACAGGGGCGGCTTTTTGGGGCTAAAAAACATAAAATAAGTGTGAAGTGCACATTTTTAACGGTTCCTGACGTGGGGCATGTATATTTTATAGTTAAAGTGTAAGCTAGGGTTGGACATTTTTGATGCCGCATTCTCCCCATTAATTGTCTATTATAAAATGATTGAATGGATCCAAAGCTATGTACTAATATATGTGATGTGGGATTTGTCAGTAAAAATGGACATGGAAAATTCTTGTTTGTTGTATGGTTAGTTTAGCATAACCTCACAGATTTCTTTTTGTAAACATGTATGATGATATACAGCTATTCAATGAAGTTTATAATACGACCGACACGAACAAAGACAAACAAGCATTTTTTATCCAAATGTTTGGTTGAAATGTTTCACCTAACAAGGGAAGTGAGGGGTCCCAAATCAACCAAATCAGTTCGGCAAAACAGACATTTCGGTCAGATATGGGATTTACATGCAAACCCCCCAAAAAATTTACACCTGTTTTTTTATTCACCATGTTCATTTAATGCTGAATAATTCTGTTGGATTTTTTTTTCTAATAGCAAAAAAGGGGACACGAGAATTGTTTTCAATACAGATACGGCCAGAATTTTTGTTTAAGGCAAAAATCAGGGTCAGAATTTTTTCTCTAAAATATCTCAGACTGCCCTATCAAATCAAATGGTCCGTACCTTAGACTTTAAATCTATCTAGAGCTTACTGACTGGGGATCACTATTCAGCAATGTTATTAATTGGCTGGGGCGTCTGGGGTTAAACATATTTTCGTAGGTAATTAATATTGCTGTGGAACTTTTTTTTTCATGAGAGTGTAATAGAGTATTACTTTCTGTTGAATGGAATTGTGAAATAGAAGTCAATACGTGGTTCTTGTTCAATCCTTTGTCACTTTGAAAGAGTCATGCTTGTCATCCTCCGCCGTAAGCAATGTGTTACTGTAATTTGAATTTCAAAATGACTGAGTGACGTTTTTTTTTTACGTGCTGATCAACTCCATCGTAGCGAATCACATGACTTTGACATAATCAATAATATATTACGATAAATACGAGCGAAAAATATCTTTATAAGTAAAGAATTGTCGCATAAAAATAAAATACACGGCCGGGTAATGGCAAAGTTCACGAAGTCTAGTCTGATTAATCATTTTAAAAAAAAAAAATAAAAAAAGTTCAAGCAAAGGGGGGGCGGGGCGTACGCCCTCTACGCCCCCCTTTGGATCCGCCACTGTTGAATTCGGTATCTATTCATCAAAATTTGATTTTATACTCTTTTCTCAACATATGTTTAAATTTCATCAAATTATTGGCATGAATTGTTCCAGATCTTAATGTTTAATGTTTTACAAATAGAATTTCAGACATATTTTCCATAACAAAGCTTTAGATAAACAAGACGAAAAAAATTGTGTCACTTTTGATTTAATTTTGTTCCTCAATTTTCAATCAGTGCACATTGTAAATTGTGAGCCTATTGTTAATATTTTGACATTTTTGTATATTTTATTTTCCATTTTAAAATTTTAATGATAATGGGTAATTTCATTGAATGTGTATACTTCTAAAAAATCATTGATAAAAAACCTTTGGGTATTGATACAAATGAAATCATACCCACAATACCTTAGATTCTAAACAGATGAATTAATACTTAGTTGGATTGTTTTTTGTTGATATTTTTCTGCTAATAATGTTATGGCTGAATCAGTCAACTGATAAATGTGATATAAAATCAAATAAAACATAAAAATCTCTGTAGTGTTACTTCTATGTTTATTGCCATAAAAGTTTCTCTGCAAATCCAAAACAGAATAAGTTTTTATCTAGCTTCCACCAAGTGTCAGGATGCTTATTTTTTTATTTAAATTTATAGAGACCTTTTGGTATAAGTCTATTGTCCTTGACCTCGTTTACAGGGTGCAACAGTTGCAATAAAAAATCTAAGGGCCAAGTGAGCTTTTCTCATCGCTTGGTATCCTTTGTTTTCATCCATTAACTTTTAAAAAAATCTTCTGCTCTGAAACTACAAGGCCAAATTTAACCAAACTTGGCCACAATCTTCATTGTGGTATCTAGGTATCAAAATGTGTTTGATAACCCTGCCAGCCAACCAACATGTATAAAAAGAAAACATTGGGGTAAAATGTGTTGTCTATTATCTTAAAACCACTATAATAATGTAAACAGTACCAATTTTAATGCACCAGATGCACATTTCGACAGTTAATGTCTCTTCAGTGGTGCTTAATGCCAAAATATCTGAATATCCAAAATCTAGTACAAATGTTGAAGAGTGGATGTAACCAAAAAGGACCTAAAGTATAGCGAAATCTGGACAAGGAATCAGAGCCCTGCATTAAGGAGATATATTCCTTTAATACTTAAGGCAAATCATCACTATATATTTCCTCAAATAGAATTTTCATATACTTTGCCAAAATGGAGATTTTGCCATGCTGTTTTAAGAAATATAATTAAATGTATGGGTCACCGTGCTATTTTTCAAGCTACAGGTTGTCCAAAATTGCCCAGTTTTGCATAGATTATTCATGAAAAAACACTTATTTATGAATGAAAAGAAATCTACGAGATAGAATTTTGAAATAAACATAAAATATGAGAAGATAGGTTTTAAAAAGAAAAAATGGTGTCACCGAACTTGTTTTCTTGATACAAGTAAAAAATAAAAAATTCACTATCATTTCAGTATAAAAATTTTACTATAAGAGTTATAGCCCCTTATATGGCTAAGTTGAAAAACTGAATCGAGCAAAACAAAATATTTAGTATTTGCTAAAACAGTCTAAATAATGCAAGAAATCATTTAATTTTTTTCTTCAGTTAAACGAACAGTCTTGCACACTAATTGCCAATCTGCCTAAATATTTGCAGATTTAAGCAAAGAACTAGACCGATTGTGTACTGCTATTTTACAATCCAAGATGGAGGTATAAGTTAATGTACCTAAATAGAAATATAAATAGAGAAAATCTGCCTGGAGCAAAAATGTTCAGAATGTTGACATCTACCTATTCATCATTTAAATCAAAACTGTCAGATGAGTTATTGCCCTTAAATGACAAATTTTACTATTTTTTTTTTCATTTTTAACTGGATTTTCGAAGGAAATATCTGTTATTGATTTGGTGATGTATGGTGGGCGGGCAATCGGGCGGCTGCCAAACAGTGTCCGTTCAATAACATGAAAACGCTTTGATGAAATTATTTCAAATTTAGATATGTTGTTTCCTGTGACTAAATGAAGGTCAAGTTCAATTTTCACGATTTTAGCTTTTCTTCTTGTTGAGTTATCGCCCTTTTTAATATCCAAAAGTGGTATTGATAATGTGATTGAGTTATTTCTCTATGTACAGAAATGGTTAATTATATATATAAAGTTTGATTACACTAAGTGTTTTAAAATAATTTTCTCCTGTTATCAGATTATGGGAAATCATATGGTAAATGTCTTATCTCACAATTATAATTGGAGTGACAGATTTATTTGAAAATTCTCTGTTTCCTAAGTGCTGATGATTATAAGCTATATAGGACTGTATAAATACAGTTAGTAATTTACTGGTCATTTTTAGACATTTTGTAGATAATTCAGTCTCCCTAAACCATATATATTCTTAACCCCACCCCCTTCAATTAGAGAATGTGCTTTTATCTTGTAAACGGTCGAGATCCCCACCCCTAAACTATATATATTCTTGTATGGGACAATAAAACAAATCAAATGAAATATTGGGGAAGTCAATTGGTTCACCTCAACCCCCTTTTTTTTGAAAACTTGTAAACGGTCAAGATCCCCACCCCGAAACCATATATATTCTTGTATGGGACAATAAAACAAATCAAATGAAATAAAAGGAGAGTCCCCTGGGGTCACCCCCACCCCTCCTGTTTGAGAACTTGTAAACGGTTGAGATCCTTACCCTTAAACCATATATATTCTTGTATAGGACAATAAAACAAATCAAATGAAATTAAGGGGAAGTCCCCTGGGGTAACCCCCCCCCCCCCCCCTTCTTTTTGAAAACTTGTAAACGATCAAGATCCCCACCCCAAAACCATATATATTCTTGTATGGGACAATAAAACAAATAAAATAAAATGAAATGAAAGGTGAGTTTCCTGGGGTCTAACCCACCCCCTCCCCATCCTGTTTAAAAATATTGTAAACGGTCGAGATCCCCACCCCTAAATCATATATATTCTTGTATGGGACACAAAAAAAATCATGAAATAAATGGCAAATCCCCTAGGGATCACCCCCCCCACTCCCCCCTTTTTGAGATCCCCAACCCTAAACCATATATATTCCTGTTCGTCATTTCAAGAAAATTTGAATGAAATACAGTCTCGGTCAATCCATAGGTGTCACTTATGCATATCGCAAACCAATTTGTACTGGATTTTGCCCAATGTCAGGAGACCATGGGAATGACGATATATGGGAGCTTTGTTTGGGAGACTTCGTCACAGCATCCTGTTACAATTATTTCTTGTTACTAATAAGGATTATAGACTTTGAAAAGTCATTGTATTAATGATAAATAAAATTTTTGATTTTTTTCTTCTTTTTTTGTTAATTTGTTTTGAAGAAATTTATGGCAAGATTGTTTGTTATTCTGTAAAAACTAATTTTCTGAATGCTATATATTTTTTTTTTGATGAAGTGAACTCCTTTAAAAACTAAGCTTATATTGTCTATTAATAAACATATATTTAGATTTCTGATTTTGGGCCCAGTTTTCAAGTTGGTCCAAATCGGGGTCCAAAATCAAACTGTGTTTGATTTCAACATAAATTGAATATATATAGGGTTCTTAGAAATGCTTAATCTAAACCTGTATTTGTTTTCATTATTAATAAGATAAAACCACATTGAGGTCCTAAGGATCCTAAATTAAAATTTTGTTTAAATTCATCAAAAATTGAATTCTGTGGTTCTTTGATATGCTGATTCTAACAATGTTTGAGTGTTAATCATATCTAATTTTAGAGAACTTAGTCATCACTGGTTGTTGTTTTTAAATAATTGATTATAATTTGAAAAATTGCATCATATCTTATTTTAGAGAACCATTTATCCAGTTTGAGTTATTTCCCTTTGCACAGAAAATATTATGGATAAAATTAAACTGCATGTGTTTCATTTTCAACATAAATTAAATATATATAGGGTTCTTTCAAATGCTGAATCTAAACCTGTATTTAAATATTAGATTTTTGGCCCAGTTTTCAAGTTGGTCCTAATCAGGTTCCAAAGTTAAACTTTGTTTGATTCAACAAAAAATGAATTTATGGGGTTCTTTGAAATGCTGAATCTAACCATGTATTGAGAGATTTTGGATTGTGGGCTCCTTCATCAAATTGGTCCACATTGAGTTCCAAAGGGTCCTAAATTAAACTTTTGTCTGATTTCATCAAAAATTGAATTCTTGGGGTTCTTTGATATGCTGATTCTAATATGTACATAGATTTTGGATATTGGACCATAATAGGTAAATGTCCAATTTCAAATATTTCAGTTCTTTGACCACATTCATTTTGTGTCACAAACCTATGCTGTGTCAAATATTCAATCACAATCCAAATTCAGAGATGTTTTAAGCTTAAGTGTAGTGTCCATACTTGCTCAACTGTCCAGGGTTCGACCTCTGCAGGAAAATCCGGTTTGCTGTCACTCTGACAGCCTCTTGTTTATAATTTCAAAAACTATAATACATGAAGAAAAAGAGAAACTTTATAAAGGAAAAATGATCATCAAGACAAGATGTACAAATAAGTCTTCATAACGTGCACCATCCGATGACTCCTTATTGGAGTAATTGGCCATTATTGACGATACAAGATCAACAAAAAAGATATTTTTGTTATGAATTCTATTCTAGTCCATAATGTTGGAGAGTGTCCATTGTTGAAGATGCACATAGACCTAGGTGAGCAACACAGGCTTAATGGAGCCTCTAGCTTATGTTTTGAGGAGTACGTCCTTTAATCAACTATATTGTGTATAGAATGATTATAATGTGTATAATTGTCTCATTGGCAATCCTACCACATATTCTTATTTTTATATATGTCTGTCAGATGAGGTTCATCTGGCCTTGAGATCATTACCACGGTATATTGATCAAGCTAATTTTTATACGCCCGTCAAAATTTTGACGGGACGTATAATGGTATACAAATGTCGTCTGTCCGTCTGTCCGTCTGTCTGTCCGGCGTAAACATGTCGCACCGTAACTTGAGAACGACTCATCCAAATTTCATGAAACTTAACATAGTTGTTTCTTATGATGGTCAAACTATCTGTATACTTTTTGTAAATAAGATTAAAACTTTTTGAGTTACGGGACTTAGTAACTAAAACAGGTGTGTGTTTTTTTCACATGTCGCGCCGTATCTCAAAAACAATTTATGATTATTGCTTAAAACTTTACACACTTCTTAGTTATATTAATCTTAAGATCTGTATACTTTTTGGTGATGATTCAAAATTTTATTTTAGAGATATCGAGTATTTTGTTAAAAAAGGGGGAGGGGTTTTTCACATGTCGCGCCGTATCTCAAAAACGATTTATGATTATTGCTTAAAATTTTACACACTTCTTAGTTATATTAATCTAAAGATCTGTATACTTTTTGGTTTTGATTCAAAATTTTATTTTTGAGATATTGATTTTTTTTTAAAAGGGGGGTTTTCACATGTCGCGCCGTATCTCAAAAACGATTTATGATTATTGCTTTAAATTTTACACACTTCTTAGTTATAATAATCTAAAGATCTGTATACTTTTTGGTTTTGATTCAAAATTTTATTTTAGAGATATTGAGTTTTTTTGTAAAAAAAGGGGGTTTTCGCATGTCAGGCCGTATGTCAGAAACTATTTATGATTATTGCATAAAAATTCACACACCAGACGACGGGCGTATCATGCGCTCATGGCGCAGCTGTTTATTTTCTTTGGTTTCAGCAGGTTCCCAGTTACTAGAAGTTATAGGTCAACTGTACTTTTGTTGTATAAAATCATTTGAAGGTGTACATAGATATAAGAAGATGTGGTATGAGTGCCAATGAGACAACTCTCCATCCAAGTCAAAATTTATAAAAGTAAACCATCAAAGGTCACAGTACGGTCTTCAACACGGAGCCTTGGCTCACACCGAACAGTAAGCTATAAAGGGCCCCAAAAATAACTAGTGTAAAACCATTCAAACGGGAAAACCAACGGTCTAATCTATATAAAAAACGAGAAACGAGAAACACTTATGAACCACATCAACAAACGACAACTACTGAACATCAGATTCCTGACTTAGGACAGGTGCAAACAAATGCAGCGGGTTTAAACGTTTTAATGGTACCAAACCTTCACCCTTTTTCTGAAACAATAGTGTAACATCACAACATAGACAACATGTCTGTCTGACAAGGTTCATTTAACCTTTACCTCATTTTTACAGCCCATTATTAATTTAAGTTTTTGTGATAACTGTAGAAATCCCTTTATTCCGAAGCCTTTCAGTATAAAATTCAATCAATCAAAGCATGAGAGCACTACAAAGGCAATTGACGCCAAGTTTGGACCATTTGGTCAATAACTAACATACGTCCTTGATTTGGTTGACTGATTCGATCCATTAACATATTTTTGTGACGTCCATGCATTCTTAAATGTTTTTTTTAGACTCTGGATTACCGATATACGTAATAGTATTGTAACGTGTAACCAGTAAGGCGTTTATATCTTAAACGAACGTTCCAGTAAATAATTGGATTCAAGCTGTCCATAAACATTACGGTATTGCCAAAAACCTACAACTATGTATCTATGTTATGTACAATGACTCATTGTTGCTTAAGTTACATGCTTACGTGTGTTGTATTCGAAGGTGGTGGAAGTGGTGTTGGCTCGAGAGAGAAAAAATTTGTTTATATGGTTATTTCAGTGCTCCAAAGAACTTTTTGTGTTATAATCTGGTGACATCTACACGCATTTATCATTGGCGCAGATTTAAAATTGACATTTAAAAAAATAGTAGACGAGTTTATACCTTTTCAAATTTACCTGGTGTAATTTGACCCCCGCGAAGGCAATCCTTCTAGATTTTAAAAAGTTAGTTTAAGCCCCACCTGTTATAATTCAAACCTTAACGTACTAATATAATGTGATTCTGAGTGTTTAATAATCATTTCTTTTTAGATTTTATAAATAGAATTATAGAATTTGACTACTGAAGTCGGACTATTTTTAAGCAGTTAAGCTGCTTTATGCGAGCACCCTAGATTTGTGTTCTACCCAATAAATGCTGAAATATGTGCCATTGTTATTATCTGGCTGGCTATTATGTTATTTATAACTAATTGAACACTTTTTTCATACTTTTTATTCTGGAATACAAAAAATATGACCAGAAAAACCTTAAATGATCGTCGAACCACCCAAAAGTTTTGAAGTTGCACATAGAAAGTAGTGCTCGCTTGAAATCCTTATGTAGATTGTTCTCCCCTGTGCTTTTGGCTAAGATGTTATAGAACAATTGCCGGTATGAAATATTTAATCGCCGAAAATCTCTAATTACAAGTCGTTTACATTTGCCAAATGGCAAAAAGCGCAGGAATATTGTATAACGGCTGTGACTAATATGACACGGTGTTAAGTCTCAGTTGGCGGTAATTTTAACTTCGTCGACAAAACGTAAATCAATGACGTTCTAAATTTGGTGGATTCAGATAATACGAAAGTAATTAATATTAATCATTTTATTCGTTTTTGTCTGAGATGATTGTGATTATTTAAATCATCTTAATTAAATGTATGCTCATTTGTTTTCTTGTTAACACTATATATTCCGTTTATCTCGTAAATGAGCTTCATGCTTGTCAAATCAAGTTGTTGTTATTGTTATTGAATGAAATAAAACTAGAGATCTGATTGGTCGATGTCAAGGTCATTTCAAGATGGTTTCCTTTGTGTTTTTAGTCAGGCTTTGGTGTTACAGGCTGCTACATGTGCTTTGATTTAGTTCAATGTGCTTCAAATAATATTGAGATTAAAACTTTAACAATTATTTTCTAAAGGACGGCATTATTTAACTTCCAAAGTCGCATATTTTTGTAAAATATTAAGTCCGAATTTGTGACGCGTCTCACACCGTAATTGTTTTTGATTTACAAGGACTTTTCAATTTCCGTGAAAAATACAACTTTTTCGATGTTTCTTTTTATGAATTTTTCATATTTAAACTTCTAGAATCATTTCTATGCGTTTCCTTCAGCAACTTGATGCTGGTAAACGACTTTTCCATGAAAATACTGCAAAAAGAAATCGCATGATACGAAAAGAAGGTAACGTTAACGTTGTCAACAAGTTGAAGTTACAAACAGTTTTATTTTTTAATTCCTATTCCAGTTATTTAAAGTTCAAATAAATGGTTTTTTTTATTATGATATTAGTAATGGAAGACAGTGAAACCGTAATCAAGATATTTTAATTTACTTATAATTTCAAATAAAATTTAGAATGGAAATAGGGAATGTGTCAAAGAGACAACAACCCGATCAAAGAGCAGACAACAGCCGAAGGTTACCAATGGATCTTCAATGCAGCGAGAAACTCCCACACCCGGAGGCTTGCTTCAGCTGGGACATGTATACTAGTTCAGTGATAATGGACGTCATACTAAAATCAGAAATATACAAAAGAAATTAAAATTAAAAATCATACAACACTAACAAAGGCCAGGGGCTCCTGTCTTGGGACCCCAGAGAATATAAACATTAATTATTTCAGCATCAATGAAAATGGACAAAGCTAATACATAATGATTTTAGACATGAAGTTTTTTTGCTACATTGTATTTGTCAAAATAAGCAATATTATACCTATTTGTATTTGTTTCTGTTTCTGTTTCAGCTTGATTCCAACCTTTGGCAATGGCTAATACTAGAAGAGGCAAGGCATACATGTACATGTACAATACATGATTATCTGTAGCACCTGGATTATCCACAATAATTCCATAACAGCAATGAAACTCTAGACTACTATGATGTTATGTACATGTATATCTACATATATGATCAATGTTGAAGATTGTTTATGCCATGTCTCATCATGTTGACTAGTCCGACAAGTTTTGGTTCAGCTTTCTGACAGGAATAATTATAAACTTGCCAGCAGTAACAACACATGAATATTAGTTATTATTAAGTGCCCCTATCGGTCTAGCAATTTTTATTATTGTGCACTAAGAAGTATGCCTAGTAATCCAAAACTTTTTGCATGAAGTTATTTAAAGATAGTTGGAATTCATGATATTGATGCATTGTGCAGAAACATGAAATATTTTAGTTTGTATTCTTAACAATCCAAGAGTAAGGTTAAATTGTACCAAGGAGAATTACTTATTACAATAATTACGCAGTAGTATTTTGATTGTGGATTCTTTTCAATTTTATTATTTACTGAATGCATATTTGTCACTTGTTTAATGCCTTGTTCAAACGTAAGTTTAATTTGAATTGAATGCGAACCAAGTTCACACAATATTCTTTTTTTCATTTTGAATTGAATTCAAATCTAATGCGAATCGAATTCGCTAATAGCATTCACACACTCTTCTTTTTTTAATTCGAATCTAATTCAAATTGGCTAATTTGCATTATCCAAATCTCATTAGAAATACCTTTTTGAGTTAATTCGATTAAACTTTGGTGTGAACACTTTCTAAATTGTAATTCAAATTAAACTATAATAGATTAATTGATAAATTGAATGAAGGGTTAACGTCATTTGGACAGTAAAGCAATTTTGACGCATATTGCAATTTGAAGTAGAATTTACATTTGGACATTAAACATGTTAAACTTTTCGAATGGGTATTAAACTATAAATTCAAACCAGTTAATGCGAATCGAATTCGAATTATGTGTAAACACAGCATTAATATATCTAAGAAATGAGGAATATAAAATTATTAAAAAAAGATGGCCAAATATTTGTATTAATTTTGTTGCAATTTTTGTCTTGCCTTGACAGAGTCGAAAAGAGAGACATCTATATATATATATATATATATATATATATATATATATATATATATATATATAGGCATGCTGTTTTGGCGGCATCAACAATGTATTAGCTTGTGATTTTGTGATAAGGTCTAGGTTATGGTAGGTCAATGATATTTGGTAAGCAGTTGTGTAAGCATAGGCACATTTCATTACCATGTAGAATATTTGGCTCAACCCCCTTAGTCATGGTCTATTGACTTTGAAACTTTGCATAGTTTACATATGTATAAGTTTGTGATTAGGTCATTTTAGGGGGAACCAATAGTATTAGGTCAATGCTATTTGGTGTGCAGTTGTATAAACTTTGTCATTTCTAATTTCCATTGAGATTATTTTGGCCCGCCCCCTCAATCATGCTCTTTTTACTTGGAACCTTATGTTACTTTGAAAATTCATTTATTAGCTTTTGATTACAGTACTACCTGTGACATTATCTTATTAATGGTGGCCATAAAAAATATGGTCACCATGATGGCCCTAAATGTCCATCATTATACCTCCTGTTGCTTAATTAATACACAAGGTATTAATCAAAAACTAGTCAAGGACAAAGGGAAATCATGACTTCATTGAAGTGTTAAAATTATAAAACTTACAGGTAAAGTGTCTCAGGTAAAATATATGTGTTTGTCAAATTTAATAACTGTGATTATGACAAGAAAATTCTAAAATAAAATGAAATAATAAAACTAGTTGAACATATCGCTTCCTAACTTTTTTTTCTATAGATTTTCTCATGACTGTTTGTTTTGATGTTATATACCTTTTAAATAATTCTATCAATTTAAGTTATTTTTTACATGTATTTTTTGGCAAGTGAATAATAAATGAATATCATCTTCTAATATAATGCAAACTTTCACAACGACTGCCTTTTTCCATTGAAAAGGTGTTTCTCAAATTAATTTTCTAAAATCAAAATTGTTTATACTTACTGCATTTAACATTGTTTATACTTACTGCATTTAACATTGTTTATACTTACTGCATTTAACATTGTTTAACAAATGTTTAAGATTATCTTTAGGACTTATTCTAAATAAAATTTAGGCAATTCATTATTTCTCTATTGAATAAATACATGTATATTCAAAATATTCATTACAGAAAAATTTGATAATATTTTTCTTGTCATATAAACATATTACAATTTCATCAAGTTACTGACAAAAAAACAACAAAAACAAACATTATAATGCAAAGAAATAACAATTCTAAAAGAAATCAAAACACATGGAAACAAATTATTAGGTTTCTGCCCTCAGTTCTAATGACTTTTTTTTTATAAAGGAGCCAATATTTTAAACATGTTCCATGTTATAGAGGTTTAGCATTTCTTTTACTTTTTTTTCCTGGTTACGATTTTATTTATAAGATACAAGATTTTATTCATAAACTGGTCAGAGACATTATTATAAGAAGGTAAACAATTTTCAAATAGATTATCTCTAAGTTGTTATGTTAATTTTACAAACAATTCTATCCTTTATAGGAATTTTTATCCACCATTTTTTTTCTTCAAAATTATGACCACTAATTCTTTAGTTAGTGAAGTATTTGAGTTTACTGTTTTCATCATAAGTTTTTATTTTATTTTCAAAATATTCTTATTTTTTTCCTTAAAATTCATTTTTAATCAAGGGCTTTAAACATTGTTAAAGAATCTAATTCATTCAAGTCCCTGCAATTATTAACTTTATCTAAAAGGCCTGAGTTAACGTTGAGTGAAATATTCTTTGCCAATGTATACCCAAGAATATTTATCATGGAATGCCAGTCCTGCAGTTTCGACAATATAATACACAGAACAAAAAGTGATTTAATTAATAGACCATAAAAATGTCACAATCTATATAGAAGTATACTTTATTTTTTTCTGGAGACAAATTTTGCTGTTAACTGACAAAATTAGTCAAACTGAAGATAACATATTTGATAAGTTTACAATTATTTCAAAAAGCAAAACAATTTTTTCTTTAAATAATTTCTTTTCATAAGATTTTCTTTATTAAGAGATAAGAACATTTTTTATTTTGATTAGCATTATGTTTAGCATTTATCAAAATTTGATGATAACTAGGTAGCCATTTGAAAAATTTAAGTCTCTTTAGTGATTCTCCATGCACAACTCCAGTTTTGAGATTTGAAAAATATAAAAGATAAACAAAAGAGTTTATTCCTATACCATATTATGATATTTGTAGTTTTCCTGAATAATAATCATGATAATATATTGAACAACTTTGTTAAACAAAATTTATTGTAAAAGGATTGATATTCATGACATTGATAATTCTAATTTGTTAAGAAACAGGCTTGTTAAAAATTACTTGCTTCATGCATATGGTTCCTTTAAACATATCATTTGCATGATTATAAGTTATAATTAATGAAAAATTCATTTAGTAATGCAAACGAACAATTGAATACCATGTACATCATGTGCAATAACTTTTTTTTACTGAAAAAATAATTATTTAAAGGATTCTGTTTTGTTTTCAAATGCTAGTCAATAAATTATCTTTGATTTTTTGTCATTTCCACTCAATATTCTTTCAAAGAAGAAATTAAAAAAATAAGAAGCAAAAAAACAAATAAAAAATAACATAAAAAAATTAAAACATTAGGAAAAAGGGAAAATAGACAGAAAAATCAACAAATGATATGAATTAACAAAGATTAAAACAACATTCTATTCTACATTTTCAAGAAAAGGTGAAATGTCAAATTGAGAAGAAACCTGAGTTACCTGTACAGGTAAATTTTAATGAAACATACAAGCTGAAAACTTCAACCCTGATTGATTTCAACAGGTAACATAATTAGATAAAACATCAACCTATGTTTCATGACCCCAATAAATGGCCAACATCTCAAGATTGAATACCCCAATAAATGGCCACCATTCGATGGTGACCATACAAGAGGGTGGACATAACTAAGAGGAAGTCACAGGTTGTACTGTAGGTTAGTATTAGGGAAACCAATAGTGGTAGGTCAATGATCATTGGCATGCAGGTGTAGAAGCATTAGTATGTCTCATTTCCATAGTGGACATTTGGTCTTTACCCCTCAGTCATATGCATGATCTATTGACTTTGAAACTTTTACTTAGTTTACATGAATTAGTTTGTGATTTTTATGATGATGTCAGTTTAATATTACCAGTAATCTTAAGTCAAAGCTATTTAGTATGCAAACGTATTGGTATTTAAAAGGTTCATTTCCATGGATATTATTTAACCCCACCTCCTCATTATGGTTCATTGACTTAGAAATTGAATTTGTGTTAAGGTTTGTTTAAAGGGAACGACTTATGAAAAGTCAATGGTATTTGGTAAGCAGTTGTATAAACATTGGCACATCTCATTTCCATGGAGATTGTTCAGCCCTGTACCATCAGTCATGGTTCATTGTCTTTGAATATATTTTACATGTATTCCTTTTTTAATTGTAACATTTGCATTATCAAAATAACAAATAGGCAAAACATGTCTCTGTGTGAACAGCTTATTATAGATTAGACATGTACAATTATTAGAAAAATAAGAAGATGTGGAATGATTGCCAATGAGACAAGTATCCACAAAAATTCAAATGAAGTGGATGTAAGCAATTATAGGCAACCATACAGCCTTCCAAAACATATGTTGCATCATTGCTAGGCCATTTTAACAATATAAGCATGTCTTGTAATATAATATACAAGAAAATTACACCACTTCAGATAGTTTCAGGTATGATTTGATAATTGTGCATAGTACTAGTGGCACCAGCTGATCCAACTAAAACCGCTAATATGGCATATTCAAATTCTAGTACATAGTGGAATTAAACCATATATACACCACTGTTGGACACCATTATCGAAATTATTATTCTGATAAGAATATTCCTCCAAGCAGCCTGCAACAATTAGTAAAACCTATACTGCATAGTAAGCTATAAACGACCATGAATTGACAAATGTAAAACAATAAAACTGAAGCATCCTGATTTATGTACAAAACAATTATAAAAAATAAATATGATATACAGCAACAATCACCAAATTAGTGGGTCCTCACTATGGACAGGTACATGCAGAATGTGGCGGCTTAAACATGTTAGCTGGCACAAAACTCTCCCCTAACATGGGACAGTGTATGTGCATAATCTCAGACATTGAATCTTTAAAAATATAAATTGGAAATAACTTTTGAAAGTGGTAGGATTGGATAGCGTACATATTTCTGTACAAACATTATTTGATACTTCAGAAATAGCTGAGAATAATGCCTGAGATAAATATTTCCACTAATTCTTCCACAATATTCATCTGAACTTCTGCCAAGTTTGCCTTTGGTTTTTTAATTAACTGCCTATAGCGCCCTGGGTGCTTTGATTTTTTGTAGTGACCGTCATTTGCATATGGCGCACTTTTTAAAATTTTTGAATAACTGTCCATGTGTACCCCTTATATTGTATAGCTTCTGTTTTCACTGATATACTATATTGATGACAGAACATAAGTTGGAAAAATATTTGAAAAAGGAATTTATTCCTCCAACAAGCCTTGCTTAGTTGACTCCTGTAATTATTACAGATAGTAATTAAGGGCAGATACCTTGAACATCAATGTACAACAGCATTTCAAAAAAAGTATAAAGTTGTGGTATCACAGGGTATTGCCTGGCTTAAAAATAACATAGCCTCTAAAATTGGCCATTTAGATAACATTTAATATTTGTATGTCTGGTTGGGAACGTGCGACTTGACAATCTATGATCGTAGCTCAAAATACATTCTTGAGACCAAATTATGAAGAAGAGGTACAAAATGTTATAAACAACTTCAAAGATATAAAGGATTTATTAGCAGCTTATCCTGTATGCAAATTAACATTTTTTGAAAATCCTATCTTCTCAATTTTCGAGTGGAACAAATCTCAT